ACCCGCCTGCCAAGCTTGGCAATTACTGGCAAAACTCCCTTTATGGGAAAGGCTGAAATAATAACAAGATTAAAAAAAAATCGAAGTTGGTTCACAACTGACGGACTTATGAGGTAACGAGCATAAAAAAAAACAACCCAATCGATTACCTCTTATTTTTTGAAGTCGGTTAAAAAGAAAACTCAGCAATAGATGCGTTCAAATAAATTTGTGTGAAATTTAAAAATAAACAAAATACGAACCTCCCTTTTTAACAGTCGGTTAACAAGCAAAGTTTAAAAGGTGAAAGCTAGCAAACGTTAGGCGAATAGGGACAGCTAACCGGTCGAGGGGGGCGGGAGGAGAGCTGGTCCCGGCTGAACGGGGATCGATGGGCACAGGGCCAGATTAGGGCACTTTTGGGGGGAAAAACATTAAAAGCACTCGCATGACTCATATGTGTGTGTGTGTGTTTGTGTGTGTATGTATGTATATATATATAATAAAAATATAACGTATTAATATAGAAATAATAGTAAATTAAATACGAATGAATGAGAGTTTTTTTTTTAATGGGTGATAATGGTATGGTAACCCCGCCTGCGCTATCGGTATACACTGGCCGGGTACCAGGGAAACATGATAGGTGAGGATGAAGCAGGTCAGTTAGTCCCATTCGTGTTTCCACCGTGAAGCAGTTGTGTTTGCATGGCTGTGTTTCGGTTTGAAGGGTGGGATATGGCGTGAATTTACACGGTACAGAGGAATAACACCTGAGTCCTCAGGAATGGCAACGCATTATGGGCGAAACAGTACTCTGTTATGTCCACGGTACTGCCAATCAAAAAAAAATAAACGTCTTTGGAAATTAGAAAGAAATTAGTGTTAAATAATCGGTTACGTAATACATTTGTTCCTCCCCTGGCAAGAAATAATCCGGCCCTGGTTTAGGACCCGGACGCTTAATAAACTGAGGGGAAAGAATCGACTAGGGGCGCGGTAAACTACATTTCAGACTCGCTACTTTTATTATCGAGGGTTATTCGAAGTTTAACTATGTATTTGTGTGGCTGTGTGTATGTTCGTTTGTGGCATCGTAGCTCCCAAACTTATGAGGACTTTTTTTTGATACGTGATACGCAGGCGGGGCACCAGTGAAGGGTGATCGATGAGAATGAAAACAGGCCAGTTAGGCCATCGTGACGAATTCATCAGGAATTAACCATGATAGGGAACCGCGAGGAGGTCGACCTAGTTGGGTATATTGCTAGCAATGGGATACTCAGTCTCCATTACTAACAATCCCTTTCCCCCCCAAATTAAGAGGACTTTTTTTTTAATGGGTGAAAATGGATTGGTAACCCCGCCCGCGCTATCGGTATACACCGACGAGGCACCAGTGAAGGATCATAGGTGAGAATGAATGCAGGCAGTTGGCTCACCATGATGAATTCGACAAGAATCAAACATGATGGTTTCCAGGGGGAACCGCGTTGAGGTCAACCTGAGAGGGTATATTGCCAGTAATGGGGCTATTAGACCCCATTACTAACAATCCCTTTCCCCCCCAACTTATAAGGACTATTCGTATTACAAAGATTGTGTCCTACAAAAAAAAAAAACTAATTTAATTGTAGCAAAACAGTAGCAAAAAAGGTTATTTAGGTCTAAAAAATAAACTTCTGTTTTATATGCAAAAATTTTATTGTATTTACGATAAAAAAAATTTGAAATTTTTTTTTTACAACACAGGGGGCAAACGAGCATGCGGCTCTCCTGACGGTAAGTGACTACCGCCGCTCATGGTCACCCACAACACCTACTGCATTGCAGGTGTACTGGCGGCCTTTTAAAAAGGAATATACTCTTTTCTTGAAGGTTATGTTGTCGTATCGGTTCGGAAATACTGCTGCTGGAAGTTGATTCCGAAGAGTGGTTGTGCGTGGGAGAAAGTGCCTTGAAAAACGCACGGTGGAGGACCGCCACTCGTCCAGATGGTTGGGATGAAATTTTAGTTTATGGTTGAAATTTTATCAGCAAGACTTAGCAAAAAGTTAAGTTCAATTAACATCAATTTACTTAGATCATTATTTCAGTCATCTACATTTAGACAATGTTGAGATTGATAGAAATTGTCACGATGGGCTAACGGACCTGCTTTCATCCTGACCTATCATCCCTCACTGGTGCCCCGCCAGTGTATACCGATAGCGCAGGCGGGGTTACCATACCATTATCAAGCATTAATAAAATTTGTATCCATTTAGATTCCATCTTCCAGCCGTCTTTAATAATAATATAGCCACAGAACACAAGATCCATTCTGTGATATAGCTGTATGTAGACAAACCTGTTCCCTAAAAAAAATATAGAACAGCTGATGCACCGTCTGCACTTTTTGTTTACGTCGCATCAGCTGTCTCTTTTATTGCGGTGTGTGCGAAAGAGACTTGCGAGGATAGTGGCGGGTTGCGTAGTTTGGAATGTTGTAAAAAAAGTTGAAAAAAAAAAGGTCAATCGTGTCTTAGAAAGGAAGTGTTATTAAGTGAATTTTCACGTCTCTTGTGATCAATTTTGGTTGTTTTTGGGTCTGCTGAAGCCTTTTGTGTCCTCTTTAATGCTTTTAAATTGATATAATATAAAGTAATTATTAAAAAAAAAAAAAAGAATTATTGATTAGCGGAGAGATTAATATATGTATTAATACGGATTATTCTTTATCTATGCCTCTCGATCTGAACGGAAGACGTTTTAAATTTACAAGATAAATATATTGATATGAGTAGTTGATAATTATGTTAAACTAGCTGTTTCCTGTGGCTTTGCTCGCGTGTATCAATGTATAAAGTGTGCCATGTGTTATATACAACCAGAAGCGTAACAATGGTGTGGCAGAGCGGACAAAATGTCACGAACCTTGGCTTGAGGGGGCCCCTGTTCGATTAGTCGTGAATATAAGATGAATTTTGTTTTTTTTATTACATATGTCAGTAAAAAAGAGTATTTAACTTAAAAATTAGAGTATTAACGCAACAATGTATATGTATTATACAAATAAACAATCAAGACGAAATGTAAATGTATATAATTCAAGGTTTTTTTGTAAACAAGTGTATATGTTATAGGGTATATATGTTTTTTTGGCAGAAACATGAATCCGCCATAAACTAAAATTTCATCCCAACCATCTGGACGAGTGGCGGTCCTCCACTGTGTGTTTTTCAAGGCACTTTCTCCCACGCACAACCACCCTTCGGAATCAATTTCCAGCAGCAGTATTTCCGAACCGATACGCCAACATAACCTTTAAGAAAAGAGCATATTCCTTTTTAAAAGGCCGGCAGCACACCTGCAATGCCGTTGGTGTTGTGGGTGACCATGGGCGGCGGTAATCACTTACCATCAGATGAGCCGCATTCTCGTTTGCCCCTTGTGTTGTAAAAGAAAAAATGAGCAGTACCATGGACATAATAAAGTATACTGTTTCGCCCATGATACCCCCCAAGCATTGCCATTCCATTCCAAAGGACTCAGGTGTTATTCCTCTGTACCCTACAAATGCTGTAAATAAATGTATGTATTTCACACGGGACGCAACCATTATAAAAACAAACAAATGGTGTAAATTCGTGGGAGGACCACTACGAGCCATTGTTTCTGTAATTTAAACATCTCTCCATTATTGTGGTCCAATTTGGGGACCCGACAACAGGGGTGCTGTTCTTACACTGCCATCGGCGTATGGTGTTTCAATTGTTCTAACAGTGTACACTGTAAAGGATAATGGGATGAAGTCAAGTTATTTAACCCATAGTGACGAATTCAAAGAAGTTTGAAGGGTGGGATATGGCGTGAATTTACTGGGTACAGAGGAATAACACCTGAGTCCTCACGAATGGCAACGCATGGGGGGTATCATGTGCGAAACAGTATACTCTGTTATGTCCATGGTACTGCTCATGTGTATAGGCGACGGTTACCACTTTCCATCAGGTGGGCCGTCAGTTTGTTTGCCATTCTAAGTTGAATAAAAAAAAAATTAACCATGATGGCTTTTATGAAGACCACGTCGTTTTCTAGTTTTTGACCTGGTGGTCACAGAACAGGAAAAACTAATCAATGAATTGTTACGTATTTAGTAAGACAAGTTTATCTTAAACGACTCGATTGATAAAATATTGAATCACCAGTCACATTATGATAATATACTATTGTGATTAGGAAAAAAAAACGATAAAAAATACATTAATCAGTATAAATCGATAAAAGTAATACATGTACGGGGGGAGAGGGATTTTTTTTATGGGTGAAAATGGTATGGTAATCCCGCTATCTGCGCTAACGGGATACGCTGGCGGAGCACCAGTGAAGGGTGATAGATGAGAATGAAAACAGGCCAGTTAGCCCATCATGATGAATTCATCAGGAATTAAACATGATAGTTTCCTGGGAGATCCGCGAAGAGGTCGACCTGGTTGGGTATATTGCTGTCAATGGGATTCTCAGTCTCCGTTACTAATTATCCCTTTCCCCCCGGAGAGGGATTATTATTAATACAAATTACCAGAACTCCACGTGGTCTTCTCTGGAAATCGTCGTGCTCAATTCCAGGTGTATTTACCACGATGGACTAATTGACCTGCCTTATCATTCTCACCTATCACACTTCATTGGTGCCCCGCAAGCGTATGCCGTTAGCGGAGGCGAGGATATCATTCTATTATTAACCATGTCCCTCTTAGACCACCGTCGAAGCCTAACCTAAAAAAGATTGTTAGTAATAGAGCCTAATAGCTTCATTTCTAGCAATATACCCTAGCAGGTCAACCTCCACATGGTTCCCCCTGGAAACCATCGTAGTTAATTCTTGTGGAATTAGTTATCATGGGCTAAGTGATCTACTTTCATTATCACTTATCATCTCTTACTGATGTCCCGCCAGTGGATACCGGTAGCGCAGGCGAAGATACTATTCCATTTTTACCTATTAAAAAAAATCAAAATAACCATTGTCTGAACTCATTGACATAATGATATATCTGTGCCGTAGCTGCAATTGAAAAAGAAGAGATTTTTTTTAAATCAGCCTGTGACAGTGACAATTGGACAAATGACAGTGACAGTTTTCAATTGTCCGAGACTAGGGGCTAAAAGAGGAAATAAATTTTTACATTGTTTACGATTACAAAATTCAAAATTGAGCATTATGCGTAGGGAATTTATACTAGTATTCCTTGGAATCATATGTATATCGACGTTATCTTCTTTATTGTCAGGTTATGTTCAAATTGAGACTGACAAAGTGCTTCTGGACACAGTAGTTGGTGCCGTTGGCGCTGGTAACTTCTCCTACTGGCAACTTGGACATACTGGTCCTTTGCTGGTGGAATTGACTTCCCTGAGTGGTGATGCGGATCTCTACGTTTCTGATAGTATAAGGTCGGTGTTCAGAAATGAATAAAACTTACTTATCAAGCCAACTCTAAGGTTACTGGGGGGAAAGGGATTGTTGGTAATGGAGTCTAACTGACCTATTGCTAGCACTACACCTTGTCAGGTCGACCTCCACGCGGTTCCTCCTGGAAACCATTGTGGTTAATTCTAGTGGAATTCGTCACGATGGGCTAACTGACCTGCTTTCGTTGTCACCTATCATCCTTCACTGGTGCTTTACCAACGTATACCGATAGCCCAGGCGGGGTTACCATTCCATTATCACCCATTAAAAAAAAAACTAGCGTTACTTCAGTGTTTGAATGAGATTGTGAACCTTGGATTTTTTATTTATTCTTTTGCTCACACAAAATATGTCTACGGGGCAGACGTAATGACTGATAGGATTCACTACCAGTTAACCATTACTAAACAGAGAGTAAATGATGGTGCATTGGACTAAAAAAAGGAATTTGTTAATGAAACATATTTTAATAAGTAACAGATTTAGGTCAGTGGATACCCTCAGGGCCTAAGAGTATCCACTGATCATATAGTTTTTTCCTCATACACGGTATACTGTGCTTTCTCTCTCTCTCTCTGTCTGTGTATGTGTGAGTATTGACAATTGTATAAAAATAAACTACATAAATGTCTTAACATTGTTACAAAGTATAATATATGTATTTTGAACTACCATTTTTGGTACTAAGCGTTCCCTTTGTGTTTATTTATATACCAGAGAGAGACTTTCTACAAAAGTCGATTGCTTAGGTACCTCTGACCTATTCGTGTTTCAACCTTGAAGCAGTTGTGTTTGCATGGCTGTGTTTCGGTTTGAAGGGTGGGATATGGTGTAAATTTACAGGGTACAGAGGAATAACACCTGAGTCCTCAGGAATGGCAACGCGTGGGGGGGGTATCATGGGCGAAACAGTATACTCTGTTATGTCCATGGTACTGCTCATGTCTATAGGAGACGGTTACCACTTCCCATCAGGTGGGCCGTCAGCTTGTTTGCCATTCTAAGTTGTATAAAAAAAAAAATTATGTATTATACACATATTTATGTAAATTTTGTATTTGTATGTATGTTTATGTTAGTAATGTATGTGAAAGAAAGATATTGTATTTGTCAATTGCAGACCGAGCTACGAGGTGGACAGGAACAACTTCAGTTCAGCAACGTGTGGCCCCGACATGGTCAACATACCGGCTGACTTTCCCAGACCAATAGGTAGCTTGACTTTCGTTTTTCCATTCTGTTGCTTTTGATCAACAATACCAAATAGAGTATATGGGCTTTTTTTTAATAAATGCTAATAGTGACCAGTGTTTTACCAGAGGGAGACTTTGTACAATAGTCGATTGCTTGGCTACCTCTGTCCCATTCATGTTTCAACTGTGAAGCAGTTGTGTTTGCATGACTATATTTCGGTTTGAAGGGTGGGATATGGCATGAATTTACTTGGTACAGAGGAATAACACCTGAGTCCTGAGGAACTGGTGCTCCACCAGCGTATCCCGTTAGCGCAGGTGGGGTTACCATTCCATTTTCATCCAATAAAAAAAAAATTAATTTGCCAAGTCCATTAGTTTTAGTATATATAATTATGTCAACAGGTATTGGCGTATTCGGCCATTGGTCCCATATATTCTCGGAGTACAGCATCCAGGTGTTCCTGGACACCAGCACGGTGCTGAGCGAGGAGCAGGTGCTGGCCATCGAGAAGGCACATCAAGGGAATACTGAGAGATCTGGTAATTATGCAGTATCATCATATCAGCTGTTATTTGTCCACTGCAGAGCGTAGCTTAGCTACGCGGGCAAGGGGGGGGGGGGTTGACAGTAGTAGTCAGTAGTAGTTGATGATGATATATATATATATATATATATACACACGACTTAGAATGGCAAACAAACTGACGGCCCACCTGATGGAAAGTGGTAACCGTCGCCTATAGACACGAGCAGTACCATGGACGTAACAGAGTATACTGTTTCGCCCATGATACCCCCCATGCGCTGCCATTCCTGAGGACTCAGCTGTTATTCCTCTGTACCCTGTAAATCACTGTCATATCTCACACTTCAAACCGAAACACAGCCATGCAAACACAACTGCTTCACAGTAGAAACATGAATGGGACAGAGGTACCCAAGCAATCAACTTTTGTACAAAGTCTCCCTCTGGTATATATATAAAATATAACATTAATTTATTATTATTTTCAGATCAAGACAAGAAAAGTCGCGAGAAGCAAGTTCAGAAGAAGACAGACGAGGAAAACAAACCGCGTCTCATGAAGTTGTTGAGCATATTGGACATGATATTCGAGACCTTTGTCCTGTAGGCAGCTATGAGTCCTGTGTGCACTCAGCATGACAACCCGTCGTCGTCCACTGTTGGACACGGGTCTCAGACATTGTATTTGGCATGGAGGCTTTAGTTTCAATTGTCCTTCTCATCTGCTGATACTTAAGGAAGGGTGATATATAGCAATATCTATATATATTACCAACATATCAGTCGGTAACTGTCCACTGCTGAACATAGGCCTCCCCTTTTAGGGGGGGTTTTCCAGTAATTATATAGATATATTAAATATTTATAAATTGGCACAATAACGGTTATATTAAATATCGTTTATTGAAATAGCAAATCGTTACTGCGTTCGGATTTATTCGTGCGTCATCGCCTGTGTCGACTAGGTCATGCAGAGCGAGCGAATAGAGACTTGAAGAGGAACGTATCTTTAATATAAAATGTAAATTTTAGAACGCTTCTATAAATGTATCACTTGTTTTTAAAACTTTTTTTCATCCAACTTAGAATGGCAAAGAAGCTGGCGGCCCACCTGATGGAAAGTGGTAACCGTCGCCTATAGACATGAGCGGTACCATGGACATAACAGAGTATACTGTTTCGCCCATGATACCCCCCGTGCGTTGCAATTCCTAAGGACTCAGGTGTTATTCCTCTGTACCCTGTAAATTCACGCCATATCCCACCCTTCAAACCAAAACACAGCCATGCGAACACAACTGCTTCACGGTTGAAACACGAATGGGACAGAGGTGGCCAAGCAAACGACTTTTGTACAAAGTCTCCCTCTGGTATTCTATATACTCGTTTCCTCCAAAACATTACAATGTAACTCGTGTACGTGGCTCAAGAAATTTTGTCTTCCGTAAATGGAATGCCCGCCGTTCGATGGTGCATCGGTGTGTTGGACTCAGTATTTTGGGCAATTTAAAGTTAACTATAGGACAGTAATGGAAGTAACGTGTATGGTGACTTCAGGATTTATAATTTTTGTTTTTTAATTTATTGTAGCTGTTATGTTATTAATTCTAGTCATTAAATATTTTTAAAATAAATCCATTTTTGTTTCTACTTGTGTGTTTGTTCATAGATTTGTAATTCCCCTGTTAAGTACTGTACTACTCTATCTCATAATTGGTAGGGGGGGAAAGGGATTGTTAGCAATGGAGTTCGACATTGCTATCAGGTCGACCTCCACGTGGTTCCCCCTGGAAACTATCGTGAATAAAATTCTTGTTGAATTCGTCACGATGGGCTAACTGACCTGCTTCATCCTCACCTATCATCCTTCACTGGTGCTCCGCCGGTGTTTACCGTTAGCGCGGGTGGGGTTGCCATTCCATTATCACCCATTAAAAAAAAATCTCATAATTGGTGATAGTGGAATGAGCTGTCCACGCTTTCGGCATATGCTGTACGGGGCACCAGTGAGAGATAATTGGTGAGGAATGAAGCAGCTTTCATCTGACCTTACTGATTGCTAAACTTCGGACGTGTTTTAAAAGATACGAGATAGAGTGATATGAGATACCAGGCAATGGACATCCATAATAATCCAACGCCCAAGGGAGGAGCGATTGTTAGTAATGGAGACTGAGAATCCCATTGCTAGCAATATACCCAACCGGGTCGACCTCCTCGCGGTCCCCCCTGGAAACTATCATGGTTAATTCCCGATGAATTCATCATGACGGGCTAACTGGCCTGTTTTCATTCTCATCTATCACCCTTCACTGGTGCCCCGCCAGCGTATCCCGTTAGCGCAGGCGGGGTTACTATACCATTTTCACCTATAAAAAAAAAAATATCCAACGCCCAAGGGGGGAGCAATTGTTAGTAAACTATCATGGTTAATTCCTGATGAATTCATCATGATTAGCTAACTGACCTGTCTTTTCATCCTCACTTTTTATACTCCCTGATGCCCCGCCAGTGTATACAGTGTATTGTCGCCTAGCTGTTTTCACAGGGTATTTATATATTTTTTATACGGGTAACCCTTTTAATGGTAGCATTACTTAAATAAAAGAAATATTGGTTAAACAATAAATATTTATTTAAAAAAAAAACTATTTAAAGCAATTTCACACATACTTAATGTAAATTTGAACACAAATTTATTAATATACTTTAACAACGCTTATAATTAGACATATAAGAGAATAGGTAACGAATAATGGGAGAACTCACGAAAAATAACGAGTATCATGAGCGAAACAGTATACTCTGTTATGTCCACGGTACTGCTCATGTCTATAGGCGACGGTTACCACTTCCCATCAGGTGGGCCGCCAGCTTGTTTGCCATTCTAAGTTGTATAAAAAAAAATATCAATGAATCAATTTTTATAATAGTGAGATCTCCTTTGGAAAACACACTCTGTATCGTAAGATAAAAAACATCGCTACAAAGAACATCTTAAAATTCCCATCACTGATAGGAAATTAGCAGCGAACTTTAGAAAGGGCGAGCACAAAAGACCATGGAAAGGTCGCGGTGTCACAGGTTTTTCTGTTTGAAAAAAAAAACCTGGTTTTTTTTTAATAATAATAATGGTAAAGGGATTGAACAAAATAATCAGTTTTACTACTTAATATTCCAGCTACTAACTGTCCACTGCTGGACATAAGCCTTCCCTATAACGGGAGGTTTGCTAGTAGCTGCCACGCTTGGCAAGACACTTGGAGATGTTTTAATAAGAACGTTGCTGCCCATCCTACACCGTCCCTTATTCATCTCTTACAAAACCCATGGGAAAGGAAGCGGTGGCCCATTTTATGCCGGAATACACACAGCAAACAGTTTTACTACTTGGTCGAACCTAAATAAGAGATTCAATGTAACTTATTTAAATATAAAAAAAAAAATACAAATCAGATATTGTGCATATAACGAAATTGTCTTAAAATAAATAGAAAAGCTTCACTTAGGTGTACATTATTCACTTAGGCAATAGGTTAATAGTATTTCTTGCGTTTAACTAATTTGTCGAGTCATTACAATACTTATCGTGCTTAGGTACGCTCGGTCTACTGTTGGTCTACTCGGTCTACTCGGTCTTTTACTGGTCTACTCAGTCTTCTTATTATTTTTGGCATTTGAAAGCTTCTCTTTGCATTCCTGGTATAGGCCGTCTATATCGAAGGCCGCTTTCATATTATCTTTTGAGAATAAGAATCTGAAATAAAAAAAAAAACATTAAGTAATATTTGTAAATAGTCCTTTTTAATTGGACGATAATGGAATGGCAGGATACCGGTGAGAGAAGATTAATAAGGATGAAAAGGCAGGTCAGTTAGCACACCCTAATCAATTTACTTGGGGGGGAAAGGGATTGTTAGTAATGGAGACTGAGAATCCCACTGCTAGCAATATACCCAACCAGGTCGACCTCCTCGCGGTTCTCCCTGGTAACTATCATGGTTAATTCCTGATGAATTCATCATGATGGGCTAACTGGCCTGTTTTCATTCTTATCTATCACTGGTGCTCCGCCAGCGTATCCTGTTAGCACAGGCGGGGTTGCCATACCATTTTCACCCATCAAAAAAAAAATCAATTTACTTGGAATTAAACATGATAGTTTACAGGGAGGACCACGAGCACGAACTTTTTTTAATGGATGATAATGGAATGGTAACCCCACCCGCGCCATCGGTATATAGCGGCAGGGCACCAGTAAAGGATGAAAGGTGAAGATGAAGTAGGTCAGTTAGCCCATCGTGACGAATTCAACAAGAATTGTTTACGATGGTTTCCAGGGGGAACCACGTGGAGGTTGACCTGATAGAGCATATTGCTACCAATGGGGCTGTCAAATTTCATTGCTGACAATCCCTTTCCCCCCAAAGAGGATGAAATGAGGGTGTATTGCTAGCAATGGGGAAGTTAGACCCCATTACTAACAATCCCTCCTCCCCCATTTGTAAACTGTATATTAATCTATTAATCATGCCCTTTTTCAAAAGAATTTGCTCTTTTATTAATAAAAAGTGCATGTATGTAACATCTGACCAGCACCCTGGAGATTACAAGGTATCCTGCTGTTTTTATGGTGTCCATATTTACAAGTGATGGTTACCATTTCCCATTAAGTAGAGCACCAGCTTATTAATCATTTTAAATTGAATAAAAAAAAATAAAAATGAATTATTCACTTCTGAAGTTTTCCAGTGTGATCTGGCTGGGGTCTTCTCATTTTCTCTTGACCTTCGCTGAATAGAAGAACTGTAGGCAACTGTCTGCTGGTCGGGCCGTCCTGTATCCGGTATTTTGCAGCTGCCTCGGGGTACCTATAGTGAAAAGCTTCATATTAGTTTTTCATATATTATCACCAAAAATTCACCGGAGGGAGACTTTGTATAAAAGTCGATTGCTTGGGTACCTCTGCCTCAATTGTGTTTCAACCGTGAAGCAGTTGTGTTTGCATGGCTGTGTTTCGGTTTGAAAGGTGGGATATAGTGTGAATTTACTGGGTACAGAGGAATAACATCCGAGTCCTCAGGAATGGCAACGCATGGGGGGTATCATGGGCGAAACAGTATACTCTGTTATGTGCATGGTACTGCTCATGTCTATAGGCGACGGTTACCATTTTCCATCAGGTGGGCCGTCAGCTTGTTTGCCATTCAAAGTTGTATAAAAAAAAATGTAGAGCTATTACATTTTCATATACATATCGACTGCTGAACATAAACCTCCCCCTTGGGAGGAGGGTGGGTAGATAATGAAATAGCAGGCCAGTTAGGCCATAGTGAAGAATACATCTGGAATTTAGCATGACGGCTTCCAGGGGGTACCGCGTGGAGGTACCCTAGGGTATATCGCGTAAATGTCTTCTGCGTTATAATTGGCGTTCTCACGATGACGTGATGAACCACTCCTATGACTGGTTGTTTTTTTTTTTTAATGGATGATAATGAAATGGTAACCCCGTCTGCGCTATTGGTATACGCTGGCGGGACACCAGTGAGGGATGATAGATGAGGGTGAAGCAGGTCAGTTAGCCCATCGTGACAAATTCAACAATAAACCAATCACGATGGTTCGCCTTTGCTAACTATTTGCTAACTTATTGTTGTTACTGTATGTTTTAGTGCAATAAAGAATATAATAATATGATGGTTTCCAGGGGGAACCGCGAGGAGGTCGACCTGATAGGGTTTATTACTAGCAATAGGGTTGCTAATCCCCATTACTAACAATCCCTTCCCCCCTATGACTGGTTGTTGTTGCAGATGATTATTCATGAATAGCCCAGCTGTCGTCTAATCGCTGTTCCGGTGAAAGCGTCCACTTATACGCGTGAGCGATAAAATATTTATGGCATATTGGTAATGGTTTTAAAACTATGTAAAATGCTGTTTTTTTTTTATTGATGGGTGAAAATGGTATGGTAACCCCGCCTGCGCTAACGAGATACGCTGGCGGAGCACTAGTGAAGGGTGATAGATGAGAATGAAAACAGGCCAGTTAGCCCGTCATGATGAATTCATCAGGAATTAACCATGATAGTTGGGGGGAAAGGGATTGTTTGTAATGTAGACTGAGAAACCCATTGCTAGCAATATACCCAACCAGGTCGACCTCCTCGCGGTTCCCCCTGGAAACTATCATGGTTAATTCCTGATGAATTCATCATGATGGGCTAACTGGCCTGTTTTCATTCTCATCTATCACCCTTCACTGGTGCTCCGCCAGCGTATCCCGTTAGCGCAGGCGGGGTTACCATACCATTTTCACCCATCAAAAAAAAAAAAAAAAAAAAAAAACCATGATAGTTTCCAGGGGGAACTGCCAGGAGGTAGACCTGGTTGGGTATATTGCTAGCAATGGGATTCTCAGTCTCCATTACTAACAATCCCTTTCCCCCTGTAAAATTCTGTTAGGATATTTAATTTCAATCAACCAAAAGTAGTCTGCTTTGATAGTTTTGAGCCAATCCTGTTTATGGTAACTATGCATGCATGGTTTATTTATTTCATTTATTTATTTTGTGATATTTAGGTAACAGTACATAATAATGAATGGTAAAACAAGATAAGTCCTCTATGATCGACCTCATCTATCCAAGTATACAAATATACAATTATATATATAAGAAAAAATTGTTTGCGTTTTGAAGGACATAATGGACAAGACAGTAAAATTACAGGGCAAAAAGGCATATCTTTCGGAAATGGCTATGTTTGAGGGATACTATGGAGTGTTTCAGTGCATTCATATATTTATTATATAAAAAAAAAAAACTATTATAACAAATTTATTATTCATATTTTTTGTTTAAAAAATCCCAGTGTTTACCTGCCCACATCCAATTTTCCAAATTTAAAATTATCCAAACTGTAACTAGCTGACAATTCGGCGAAGACTGGAGCGAAGTTGACGCAGGCTGGATGCCACGCCGCGTACAGACAGACTAGCCATGTTGTCTTGTGCCTTTTGAGTTCATCTTCAAGAGACTGCTGGCCGCGGAAGTAGGTGATATGCTCTGGACCGGAGTATGTTGGTTCGGGGAGCAGTAGGGCACATAAGATCACTATTGCTCCATATGGCAGACCGTATCTGTAATGGAGTTTTTATTTATTTAAATATAAATAAAAGTTTATGCATATTTTTTTTGTTTTAGCTGCCCGCTAATGACATATTTCCCAGCTGTAATGGGTTGACTGGAAGAGATCTCTGTCAGAGATAAGTCCACCTTTGCTCACAACATTTATAAATGTATTAACAATGTAATTTACAAGTTCAGTAAAGAGTATATAAATATTTAGTAAATGTGAGTTTAAATTCAAATTATATTTATTCAAAGATGACATATTTACAATTTTTTTTATAAATCTACTGGGCATAGAGAAAGGTAGGGAACATCAGTCATTACCACATTTTACTGATTATATATCTAAATTCAAAAATCAATGTCAAAAAGATTGGAAAGAATATTTTAACGAAATTTCAAAAGAAAAAGACATTTGGTACAAAACTATTCAGGCTGAACCTCCACATATTCCTTGATTTTGTGGAATTAAAATCAATAGGTACACTATTAAATTAGCTGTTCCTCTACGCTCTGGTCATTATCCATCAAAAAAATTTGCACATATGATGGGAAAGTCCTTGTCACCCCATTGTCAAACTTGTGATACCATCGATGATGTGAATCATATTCTATTAGAGTGTCGTATTAACACGAAGGAAAGAGAAGAACTCTTGCGCCACTTTAACTTAAATAAATTGAATGTTGGTCTTATTCAATCTATGTTAGTTGAACTTAAACCAGAAATTTTTGAACATCTCTGTAAATTATTGATGCCCATTAATTCTTCTCTTTATGTGTCTAGGGAAAGTAGATAAAGTTTTGTTTGAGAAATCAGATCAGGGTACAATAGGACTGATATACCTGAAGAAGGTGAACCTTTAAAATAATATAAAATAAAAAATCTACTGGTGGGATACGAATACTGTTATCTGCTGAGAAGAATATGCAAGAAACTCAACAGCTACTCTTTAAAGTCTCTGTTAACATTATGTATATTTATTATTTAAATGTAACATCTAAAATAAAATAATTGTTTTAAAGACTGTGCATGATCTATCCGAGAGATCATGATTCCTGTTGTTAGGCAGACTACGTTATTCTTGTATCTAGAAATAAATGAAGTTAAACAGTGATAAAAAGAGAAAGCAACTGTTCTCTGTTCTAAAACAGTTCTAACAGGTATCATTCTCGCTTGTATTTTATGTGTGCATGGCTGTTTTAATTTGAAGGGACATATCAGTAAAATTACAGGGTTTGGTGGTTTACACCTTAGTCTTCAAGATAGACATGAGGAGTACCATAAAATGCTGTGTGCAATATTCACAGAGTTGTTCATGTCTATAGGCAATAATTTTTTTTTTGATGGGTGAAAATGGTATAATGGTACAACTTAGAATGGAAAACAAGCTGACGACCCACCTGATGGTAAGTGGTAACCGTCGCCTATAGACATGAGCAGTACCATGGACATAACAGAGTATACTGTCTACTGCCATTTCTGAGGACTCAGGTGTTATTCCTCTGTACCCAGTAAATTCACGCAATATCTTACCCTTCAAATCGAAACACAGCCATGCAAACACAACTACTTCACGGTAGAAACACGAGTGGGACAGAGGTACCCAAGCAATCGACTTTTGTACAAAGTTTCCCTCGAGCTGATAGGGTATATAGTTAGCAATGGGACAGTTAGATCACATTATTAACATTTCCTTTTCCCTTAATTTGTATGCCACTGCTAAGTTAAAATAAATCAAACCTTATATCGGCATAAAACCACAGGATTAAGTTAGTAATCTTCGTATAAACGAACGAGGACGACAAATAATTGATCATTGTCACACTTCCCGCCTTACGAGTCCTCAGCATCACAACTATAATTAAGAAAAACAATATTTCCGTCTCATGACTGTCTAGTTCACAATCGGCACCGGGGAATAAGAAATTACAAATTACGGACGTCCGCTTGCTTGCAACGTAAGAAACACTGAGTAAAATGTTAATCCAATAATACGGCTTTATTAATTGCCGCAAATCTTTATTAAAAGACATTGTTTTGTGTTAATAATTTGAATTATTTTTGTGATAAAATAAGAGGAGACGTAAGATATGGGTATTAGATAGATGTTGAAATATCCTTTGTCAAATTGACATTTGATTTTTACCGCCACCACAGTGAAAAAAGATTTAACCATAGATTACAATCTAGGGATATGCAATCTGTTAACGGTCAAACTTGAACTTTTTTCTGGTGGTCCGCCGGCGTATACCGTAAGCACGGGCAGCGTCTACCTAAGAACAAGGTATTACAAAAATCTTTGGGGGGTATACAATTTCAATGTCATGTATTAAAAAAAACTACTGATTACTGTGAGTCCTAAATTGTTTTCTTTGCTCTTTTAATACAATTAATTATTTAATATCGTATTTTATATATTTATTATAATGTGTATATTACAATAAATAGATATATTATATATTTTGTGTATGTATAATCAATCTAATTATATTTATTTATTCATTTAGTCAACCATAGAGACGTGTCAGAATACACGAATGCGGTACTAATAATTATTGATATAAAAAAATATCAATAATTAAATAAAAAATAAAATATATACATACAACAAATATACTTATATATATAAAATATACTATATTATACACGAAACTAAGGATAATATATACTAGTACTTATTGTTCGGATAAACTATATGAATATATATTGTTTTTTTTCTTCTATTCAATAATGCACAGCCTACCTTTTTCTCTGTTCGCCCAATAGTCGATTGGTAGAGAACACCGTCCGGTGTTAAGTTTGCCAAATGTAACTAGAATTACCGTACACTGTGCATTATAGTTTAAATAGCATAAATGCCATCACGTATTCTGCCCACATATAGACTTTCAATATAATAAAATATGTGCGTGTTTTAAAATATTTAATATTTTTAAACGTTATAATAATAATAATAATTCTTTATTTATAGATTACAAAGATCCATTCTCGTTAGTAACAATTGACTTAACCTATGTTAGTAGAAAAAAAAATACAAAATTCATTTTATGGCCCCTATAATAATTTTGAGCCACAATGAGAGGATCGGGCTATCGTATTTATTACACAATGCCCACAGAATGCTGTTACTGCTGCCACGCAATCGGTATAAAAGATATGCGATCCGTTTGCGTCTGATGGCGTAGAAGTCACCTGTCCATGCCGCTGCAAACATTGTGGATGCAGTACAAAAACGTGGCAGCCGCAACAACACCATGAAAACATTATTGTATTGAACACGCAGAGCGCTGTATGCCCGCTGTGTATAGTCAACCCACAGGCTGCTTATGTATTATGTAATATTAACATCGAATTTGTGTTTCGTACGGCTCCGAAATTTCAGAAAATATTTCATGGTAGGCACTCTGATCGTGTCTATAGGCGACGGTTATCACTTGCCATGAGATGGGCCGCCTGTTTGGTTACCACTCGGAATATTTTATAAAACTATTAAGCATTCCATTTTCGTTCAATAGTCGCTTATTATATATATAAAAAAAAAAAAAACTTTAACTGTGACAAAACCAGTAATTTTGATTCTTAAACCAAACTACTACATTTTCTTGAAATTATGACATCAATCTGAAAGTATAAGCTTTTAGATAAAAAAAATTTTTTCAAATCAGTTTATAATCAATGGGGATCGGAGGTTATGCACCCGAATTTAGAACCTTTTTTTTTAATTTGGTTAAAAATAAAAAGACAAAATGTATAATAATAAAATTATATTTACAGTAATAAACGTTGTAACAGTACTTACATACGTCGAGCATGGAATCATATAGAGGATTGAGTCATGGCCATAGCTTGGGGGGGGCGGGGGCATTGAGGCAGTTCCCTACCTTAAAATGAAAGGCTCCAAGAAAATTAGATAGATTCGCTTTTTCGAAGTCATTTTAAGCGTCTAGGACAGACAGAGGATCAGAAAGTTCTTTTGCCCCACCCTAAACTTAGGTCTAGCTATGGCCCTGGATCTAGTATAAAAAAAAAAATCAGACGAGGCAGTGGCATTTTTCAGTTTATATTCTGTGGTGGGATGAGGGGTGGAGAGGGTTGGTTAGTTTTATTTAATGCTCTTGTATCAATCACCCTTTTTAAGACTTCCTCGTTAATTATTAAATTTAATTTAATATCAGTGATCAAATTTGGATACCATTTCATTAGACTATATAGCTTTTATTTTCATGGCTTTGAGCCATTCTCCATCCGCAAAAACTATCTATAAATCAGTCTATCATCAACAGCTTTCCACTTTAATTATCATCGGTGTACTATGGAACTTGGTCATGTGTTTCTTCAGCTGCTGAGTCCTGCCGAACTTCGCGGGGCACTCCTTACACTCGATTTTAAGACCTTTACCGTGTCTTCGCTTCGCGTGCTCGGACCTACGCGACGACGACAGGAACTTTTCACCGCAATCCTCACACTCGTACGGCTTCTCGCCGGTGTGGCGTCGTCTGTGGTACACGACGGCCATTTTCGACACCAATTTCACACCACAAATGTCACATTCGAATTTCCTCTCCCTTGTATGGACTATGCTGTGTTCAGCTAAACGAGTTGACGTGTAAAACCGTTTCCCACACCACTGGCACTGATGCGGCCGTACGTCCATGTGTATCCATAAGATATGATTCTTCAACTGCGGTCTGGAAGTGTACGTCTTTCCGCAGTAGTCACAAGTGAAGAACGCCGGGTCCCGGATATTGGAGCGTTTGTTTCGGGGCAACGCGTGAGGGTCCGGCCGAGCGTCGGGCTCACACTGCAGCCTGTGCTCTCTGTAACAGCCCCGATTGCTGAACTGAATCCCGCATTTTCGACACGTGCGCACCGCGTGCATTTGTGAGTGTGCCTCGAACGACGCCTTCCTAGTGAAGAACCGGCCGCAATCCCCACAAGTGAGCGCGCCCACCGAATGGGCCTCTTTTACGTGCTTTCTCAATTGGGCTTCGTCGGTGAATAATAGTGGACATTGTTGACAAAGTATAGAATTTGTGTTGTGCGCGTAATTTAGGTGGTCCTGTAAATCTCGGCCCCTGAATAGAACTTCGCCACATGTTAAACAGGCTTCCTTCTGTCCACTATTTATAAGGTGCATATTCAGGTAGTATGGGCTCATGAATTTCTTCCCACAGTCTGGACACTCGCACTGAGGTCCGGCTCTGATGGATTTAGGGGTTTTTCTTCCCGGCCGATTGTTGTTCAGTCTATGCACTACATCCTTGGGGTCGCAAGGACTATAATCTTTCATCGTGTGTAGGGTTAACGTGTCTGGTTTGACGATGCCGAATAACGTTTTGACCATGTGGTTGGTGGCGTCTGGGAGTTCGGTTAAAGAGTTTAAGGCTTTCTGCCATATTTTCTCGGAACTCTTCACGAACAGTTTGAACATTTGCGCCGCGATCACGGAGTTGACGCACGTAACGCAGACGCCGTGGGGACATAGCGATTCGTCGAGCATCTGAAACGATTAGACAAGATTTTTTTACAAAATATATATAAATAACATAAGTAATCTTAGATTACAGTTACAGTATGTATATATCTTATGTATTTTAGATAATATTTATGTAATATATACTATTATAAGTACTTATGTGTATGTTTGGTGTTCACATCATTATTTGCATGGTTTTTATATATTATTCTTGTTATTTATGTGTATTATTCCTTTTTATACGTTATTGTACTCATGCTTTCCTAGGTGAGCGTATTGGAAGACTGTAAGGCTCACCAGTGGATGTAATAAATAAATAAAAATTGATAGAGGGATGGGCCACAGCGTCCCTCTTAAAACATTTCTAAAGTCGTAACTTCGGTTGTCAATGCGCCTAGCAGTAATGGCAACTACTGGCTAAATCCTCCAAAGTCACAAACCATTTTTAGAATTATGGCAGATTATAAACAAATTTCCATTTAAATTCCTTTCTTTAGCCATGATGCTCCGACTCAAATATACAATTACTACTTCGTATGCATGGATTTCAGAAAACTAATGCAAAATACCATTTATAGATGGCGTATCAAAATAAAACGTATACCAGTTTTTAAGATTGAGCTTTAGAAATACAACTGTGAAAACCATTGCATTCAATTTGATGCAGCAGTCTTTCTGTGATGCTGGAATAAACGTGTCACCATCATCATCATATCAGCCTTTAACTGTCCACTGTTGGACATAAGCCTACTTGTAGGGGATTTTGCTAATAGTTGCCACGCTTGGCAGGCGTATTGGTAACCACAGTCTGGCTTTAAAGATGTTTTAAGAGGAACGCTGCTGTCTATCCCTCGCTATCCCTTAGTCGCCTCTTACGACTCCCACGGGAAAGGAAGAGATGGCTTATGACAGAACCGCATGACTAATAAAAGAAATATACTTGTGTATTTTAACTGACTAAATATATTATATTTCATAGCCATTCGACGAAACTCCAGAAAGTTGCGAGGCAAATACATCTAATTATTGATATTGGGCCATTACTTTATTTAAATAAGATATTTCTAAATTTTTTTTTATTATAAATAAATAAATAATATACAGGATATCCCGGCTTGACAATCCCCCCCCCCCCAGATCGAAATTGTTAAGTTGAAAAACCCATACTCGATTGTACACTTAAACTACCTTCAATACTTCTTCCTGACACCTCGAGTGGCTGGCGTCACCTCTATATGAGCATAATGCACCGACAGATAGTGCTTCTTCAGTTCGAACGGCCTTACGAACCTAGCGTGACACTTATCACATCCGTGCGGCATTTCTTGGGTGCTACGGTGCCGGCGTTTGATATGATCCAACCTTCTGGAAGCCGATAGAAACTTCTCGCCACATTCCTTGCATTCGTACGGTCGCTCGCCGGTGTGGATCCGCTGATGTAAATTATAACCTAACTCTGTCCGCAACCTAGCACCGCAGTAGCATTCGTAGATTTTCCTCACGTTCGTGTGTACACTCTGGTGTGATTTCAAATGTGCGACCGTGGACGTGCGTTTACCGCAAATCTGACATATATAGGGAAGAACATTCAAATGTTTTTGGATTATGTGAATGCGTAGCGAAGGCTTTTTAGTGTACGAACTGTTGCAATAATCGCAAATGTACTGTTTGGTGTATTGAGACGACTCTTTGGGGAACGAACATTGTTTTAGGTGATACTTATAACATTTTCGGTTCTCGAAACTGCGCCTGCACGTGTTGCAGTGGAACAGTGAATGCGAATACATGTGCGCGCTCAGAGCTCTCTCGTTGGCGAAACTGATGCCGCAAACCTTGCACGGGTAGCCTTTATCGTCGTGATGTTCATAGACATGTTGGCTCAAGCCGTCTTTAGTATCGAATAATTTATGGCAGATCTTGCAATCGTGCACCCACTTCCCGTGGGCTGTAGCGAGGTGCTGCGCCAGCTTCGTTTTGGGTATGATCATGTAACACTCCGTACATATTCTTTTGCTTGTATTCATTAGATGGAGATTCATGTAAACGGGGTCGGAGAACCGTTTGCCGCAATCTGAACAACGGCAAGGCACTACGACGCCATTGGATCTTTTAACTCGTGGTGCGTAAGGCTTCTTTTTCTTATCCGTTAGGAATTTTGTGTTCAATTTCTGCACCGCTCGCTCTTTTGAGCTCACTCTTTCTGTCTGATCTCTGATTAACGTTCTGTCTGCGTTGTAGAATACATAAAACGCTTTGTCCTCGTCTGTCGCGCCGTCTATAAGCGACAGGTAGTCGGCAGCGTCGTTCCATAGTCTTTTGGATGTGTTGCAAAGGTCTTTGAAGCTTATTGCAGCTATGGTGTGAGCGGTGCACCCTCGGCATATCCCCTTTGGCAGTCCTGGCTGCTCCTCCATCTGAAACCACGGCATTGATCAGTCCGCCCTTCCTGTGGCACTCTGTTAATTATACATCTATCTTAGCACTATTCTTGAGGCGCTTTTAATTTATAATGTGGTACTTGATTCTATTTATAAATATTAACATTGTTATTGATGTTTGATCAAGAGATTGGAAATGTTTTGTTATTCCTTTGTATGTAGCTATGTTCGAATAAACTATATGTGGTTACTATAAAACATCGTTTTCTTCGCTTGGGGTATTGAATAAACAACTTTAATATCGCACCTTCGGTAAGACAAGGGCACACTGTACTTTTTGTTATTTTACAGAACAGTCATTTAAAGTTTTTTTTTTTACATTCATTATTGTGTTGTTTGCCAAATTCATCCAAAACGACATAAACACTGATGCTGTACTAGCGGCGAATAATCCGTATTTATTTCAAGTCTTTGTTCGACCAAAAAAGGAATGTTTTTATTGTTCTTTTGCATATTTAACTCATTATGTATGAGGTTTTGTATGTTGTGCCCTTGTCTTACCGAAGGGGCGAATGTCTTTTTATGAAGATTAATAATTTTAAATTTATTATTTATTACCTTTAAAATGTTAAAATTGATTTATTATATTTATCAACTAAGGGAGCTTGACAAGTCCCCTAAGCAATCTCAGTATAGAGGAAACATAATAAAATTCAAGACTGAGAATCCTATTGCTAACAATATACCCAACCAAGTCGACCTGCTCGCGGTTCCCCCTGGAAACTATCATGGTTAATTCCTGATGAATTTGTCACGATGGGCTAGCTGGCCTGTTTTCACTCTCATCTATCACCTGTTACTGGTGCTTCGCCAGCGTATCCCGCTACCATACCATTGTCACCCATTAAAAAAAACCCTCTCTGGGAATATGGTTGGATCAATTATTCATTTCTCTATTCGTTTGCTAAGTTACATTGAAACAAAATATACGTAGGTTAAAAAGTAAAGTATGAATGGTATCATATAGTTAACAGATTAGCCAGACAAAGGAATATTCGGTCTCATTTTCTTCACTAGTGCGAAGGGGAAAGGAATTGTTAGTTATGCGGACTACCAGTCCCATTACTAGCATCATACTCGGTCAGGTTGACCTCCACGTGGTCCCTCTTGGAAACCATTGTGCTGAATTCCAGCTATATTTATCACAATGAGCTAACAGACCTGCCTTTCTATCCTCACCTATTTTCATTGGCCTGTTTTCATTCTCATCGATCACCCTTCACTGGTGCTCTGCCAGTGTATACCGTTAGCGCAGGTGGGGTTGCCATTCCATTATCATCCATTAAAAGAAATACATTAGTGCGAAGCCGGGGCGGTAAGCTAGTATGAAATTAATCTTATTTAGGTTTTTTTTGTAATTTTGTTAATTGTAAACACATTGAAAAAAAAAAACAAGAAAAGATTGTGTTCCAAAAAAAAAACAACTTTTGTTGTAACAAATCCAGTGATTTTATTTTAAAAACTAAACCGCTGAACTGATTTTGATAACATTTGTATGCGACCAATCTGTAAGTACATCCTTTCAGATAAAAAAAGAATTTACCAAATCGGTTCACAACTGACGGAGTTATGAGGTGACAAACATAAAAAAACACAACCGAATTGACAACTACTTTTTGAAGTGGACTGAAACAATAGCTTTCAAAAAATAAACTTCTAACCATTTCTACAAAAGAACTTTATTACAGAATCAAGGACGAGTTTAAAACTGTACATATCTCTGTGTCTAGTCTCAACTATTATATATTACTTGATGTTTAACTTTAAGATGGGTCTTAAAACTTTTGTGATAGCAAAATTTCATTTTGCACATACCGCATTCATATTTGATATTCGAATTAACACTTGTTTCTTGTAAAATTTTGCCTTTTCCATCGTTTAGGATAATCGTTGCATTTGGTTTTGTATGCTTCTTACTGTGCCTCTCGTAACCTCTTCTAGTGCTGTATTTGGCGCCGCAAACATTACAAATGTATCTATCCAAAACTTTATTATGTGTATTGCCATGTTCCGACAAGACGGAACGATTCGAGAATGTTTTACCGCATTCCTCGCATTGAAATTGGAAACCGTATAGATGATTATGCATTATATGCACTTTCAAAGCGTTTTTAAACCCATACTCTTTAGAACAATAATCGCAGACGTATTTCTGGGATGCAAAATTGGTTTTTGGGTTGCAACGTTCCGAGTGATTCCGAAAACAAGAACGGCTTACAAACTTTTTCGAGCAGCCACTGCACACTTTCGGTTTGTGTACTGGCATATGACAAATTAGATTGGTCGCCGATTCGAAACCTTGTTTGCATTCGACGCAGAAATGTGACAGCACTTTGTGGCATTTCTTCCTATGCTTGGAAAACCTTATAGGACCCTCGAATGTGTCCATACAGAATTTGCACTTATAAATCTTAACAGAATGACCTTTCAAGTGCTTCAAAAAGAGCTCAGTACTCAGAATCTGTTTACATACATGACACATTTTCTTTTTTATCGTTTTCATGTGTGCGTTCAATTTGTAAAGATTCTTATATGGTTTCTCACATTCCGGACAGGTGAATTTCGTGTTTACCTGTTTGGTATTAACATTTTTTTCTCTACACCTCCGGTTCAACCTTTCTTTGAAGTTATTCAATCTCTCTTCATTTCTAGCGTCTGTTTTCGCTCTTGTGTCCACGAAACGATCTATTTTCCCATTATCTATCAAAATATATACACTCTTCTGTCTGTTTGGGATCTGAATTGTTTTCAGACTGTTCAAGATTGAGGCAATCTTTTTGGTCGAGTCTCTGTACAGCTTTATGAACGGTAAAGCACGGATCGCACTGTTGTAGCACTGAATGCATATCTGCAGTGGCATGAGTGCTGATCTCTCCATCTGTAACAAGTGCTTCCTAGTAAGTGCTTCACTATCTTATAGTTTCTTGAAGTAGTTAGTTTATCCGGGAATTTCTGTATTCAGTCTCGCAATTGGATGGTTATGTGCGAGTGTAATTGGTTCAGACAATTTAATAGCTTCAGAAACTTATTTTTAATAACATATGTAAATTTAATTCAACGTGGTAATCTACCTAATAAAATTGCTTATGATTTACATAAGGCATTATAATTGAAATTGTTAGACATTGAATTAAAATTAATTATTTTTGTAATTTGTTTCTTTTAGAAACTTTTATTCAAAACATGAACATGCCAGACCTATTGTTTTCTAACCTAATACACATTAAATAAGAAAAAAGTTATGAATATGTTACAATATTAACCAACTAAACAACAAACTGTTCTTGCGCCAGTTTCGCTAGAATACTCTGAATAATTCTTACATTAAACCCATTATGATTATCACTATCTTCCCTAGACTGCTATTCCTGACACAGTCCATCATCAACTACAGCATCTTCACCTAGGACGCCCATTATTTTCTCAGTGTGATGTTTAATTGTAATTCCCTTTTTGTATTTTACAAAATTTACTGCTATAATGTTTTGGAGAGAACAATAAAGAGTATCTATCTACATTATAATTTTGTGAATCCTTTTTCTATGGCCTAGTGTGTGTATCTGATATATCTTCTGTTTTTTTTAATTTTGATATTGTCTTTTTCTGACTATACCAATTGCGGTTTTTTAATATATATCCTAGTAAGGACTATAGATTTATTTAATCCTTTGGTTTTACATACGATTTTGGTTGGTGAGCCGTATGCTTGTTTGCCACCTCAGTGGTATAAAAAAAAAAACATACGAATTTTTTCATGTAGTGACGGAATAAATATATATTTTACACATTCCCGGGGATTTGTTACACGCGGTTAAGTGACTAAGTACCGTATAGCATTGCAAGAAAAGGAAAACTGTTGCCACTGAGGTTTTTTAGAACATGTATTATTTTTAAGTTTATTCTGTGTCAGACTTTTATAAAAAAAGTCTTATAGGTTTTTGTTTAAACTGAATATTTTACATTACAAACACATATATGTTTTAGTACTACATACATTCCGCTGTTTACATCAGGTTATGGGCCCAGGACGCTTCCACTGTTATATCAAGTCGCTTGGACAAGTTTTTAAAGAATGAAAATGGAATGGTAACCCTGCTTGCGCTATCAATATACGCTAGCGGAGCAATAGTTAGTGATGATAGGCGAGGACGTAAGCAGGCCAGTTGGCCCATCGTAACTTCTTAAACAAGAAATAACAGTGATGGTTTCTAGAAAGAGACGCGTGGGGGTGGACCTGTAAGATCTATTGTTAGCAATGACGCTATTATGCCCCGTGTCAGGCTATATCCTGCTATGACAAGAAAAGTAGAATTCAAACATTTATTTATATTCATACATATAATAAAAATATATAAACAGGATACAAGACAATATTTTAAAAACAATTATTTCAATTCCAATTTCAAAGGCTAACTACACTTGGATATTGTACTCTTCGTTTGGCGGTGCCACTTTGTGCTGGTGCTTCCGACTGTGATGCAGCAGTCCTCGGCAGCTGCCAAACTTCTCGTGGCATTCGGAACACTCAAACTGCACCTGGGCTCCGGCTTCTGAGCTATGCGCCGTGGCTACATGCTTCCTCAACCTATATGGTAGATTGAACCGAGCAGGACAGAAATCACATCCGTGCCGTAGCACCTTCTGACATTTGTGGACCTTCCGTACGTGTTCTGATCTTCTGGAAGATGCCGAGAATGTTTCGTTGCAGTAACTACACGCGTAAGGCTTCTCGCCGGTGTGCAAGCGCATATGCTGTATATAGCCCAATCTGCTTCTCAGTACGATACCACAGCAATTACATTTGTAACTGCGAACTAACTCGTGAGTTTTGACATGTTCGGTCATGTGCGCGGCCGCCAGGAACTTCCCGCAGTAGATGCAAGGTCTGTGTGTGTTCTTCATGTGGACAATTTGTATGTGAGCGCCAACAAATTTCTTTCCTGCAAACGTTTTGCCACAGTAATCACAGATACATTCGTTCGAGGCGCTCCCACGCAGTCCTACCCGTTTCCTCTTCTCGCTCTTTCTATTTTTAACTTCCACCGTCACTTTGTGCTTCGTGTGGTGTGTGTCTTTCCTATTTTTGTCCAAGTTGCAACATTTCTTCACGTGGTGCAAGTAACAGGTCTGGTTTCGGAATGACTGGTCGCAACCTGGACACGTCTTTACAGCGTGAACGGATAAGTGAGCATGGTAGGCGTGTGACGATTGGAAATTCCTGCCACAGTCGCCACACGTGCAAGCACCAGGCGCGTGGGCCTGTTTCAGGTGGCTCGTGAACTGAGGTTCCGACCAGAACAGTGCAGGACATTGCTTGCATTTGTAAGGCTTCTTATTATGGACTTTTGACAAATGCGCAACCAAATCGTCCCTAGACATGACTTCTGCGCATATGTAGCAAGCTCTCTTCAAGTCGGTTGACTCTTTCAAATGTTGGAACAAATGTTGGGCATACAAAAACTTCTTTCCACACGTCGGACATTGACAGCGGAAGGTTTTGACTGTGTTTCTGTTCGTACCTGCTTTTGGCTTCAACTGTGCAGTCAGCCGGTGCGCTGCTAATTTAGCCGACTCTATACCTTGCTCATCAACGTCAACCAGGGTCATTTCGTCTTTACCGATCACCACAAACACTGTGGGAGCGTCGTCTGCGTTTGGTATGTTCTGAAGCAGTGCCAATGTCGCGTCCCAATGTTTGGCAGCTTGTTGGCACAGTGTCCGAAAGTTGCCGGCTACGAATGCCGAGCTGGAACATGACAAGCAGAGTCCGGACGGCAGGTCACCGTCACACACCACCTGCAACCACCGTTCAGTCAATCCGCCACAGTAGATTGTACACCATTTTTTTTTTTTTTGATTCCCAAAATAATGCTTGTCAGGTTTTTTTTTCTCCACTGCTCAGAATAAGATTTCCAAGATGTATATAATGTATATCAAGAGGAAACAGTGGTAGAATCGTAAAAAATTACATTTTAAACATACTTTTAATTAAGTTTATTTAAATAATTATTATTTCTATACTATTCTGGGGTTTGAAGAATTTTCTATAAATGTAAAAGGAGTAGGCAATGGGAGACAGGCGTGACAGATATGATGATGATGATGATGTAAAAGGAGTGTCTGATACCAACATAAAATTAATATAACAGCTATAAACTTACAAAAATATAGAAGTACAATTTACTTTTCAATATTTTTATAAATAATAATGAAATGGTAGCCCCGCCTGCGCTAACGGTATACGCTGGCGAGGCACCAGTGAGGGATGATAGGTGAGGATGCAAAGACAGGCCAGTTAGCCCACCGTGATAAATACACTTTGAATTCAGCACGATGGTTTCCAGGGGGGACCACGGGCAGGTCGACCTATAAGGGTATATTGCTAGCAATAGGACTGATAATCCGCATTACTAACAATCCCTTTCCCCCCGGGGTGGCCTATTTGCAGGACCACATGGCAATAAATTATGATATTATAATTTTTTGGGCTTTAAGATCACACTGATTATCACATGACAGTTGGTCAAGCTGTTACCTCACCAAGAGGTAACAAGTATTCTAATTTATAGTATTTATAAAAAAAATAAGTATTTTATAATATTAATAATATTAAACACAAGAAAAGGTCCATTTGACCCCTACGAGAGTGCAGAATTAATAAATATATATATAAATATATATTGCACCAGAGGGAACTTTGTACAAAAGTCGATTGCTTGGATACCTCTGTCCCATTCGTGTTTCAACCGTGAAGCAGTTGTGTTTGCATGGCTGTGTTTCGGTTTGAAGGGTGGGATATGGCAGTGAATTTACTGAGTACGGAGGAATAACACCAGAGTCCTCAGGAATGGCAACGCATGGGGGGTATCATGGGTGAAACAGTATACTCTGTTATGTCCATGCTACTGCTCATGTGTATAGGCGACGGTTACCACTTTCCATCAGGTGGGCCGTCAGCTTGTTTGCCATTCTAAGTTGTATAAAAAAAAAACTATACTTATAATAAATCTGTAGAGAGGTCAATTCTATACATGAAATATATTTACAAAATAACTATCAGGCGGTGATTAGTGATCGATACTGATGCCAAAAATGCAATCAGTAAAATTTTTGTCTGTCTGTCTGTAAGTTTGTTATAGAAACAAAAACTACTCGACGGATTTTACCGAAACTTGGTACGATTATTCTTCATACTACTGCGCAGGTTATAGTATACTTTTCATAGCGCTATGATCAATAGGAGCAGAGCAGTGAAGGGAAATGCGTCTGCTATATCGAAACCACTGAACCGTGAGAAAGGACATAGACTACTTATTTTACGAAAAACAAAGGAAATACAGACAAAGTCGCGGGGAACAGCTAGTATATAATAATATTAATAATAAAAGATTTATTGCACATGAAAATATACAGTCTTATATATGCTTAATAAAGTAAAATATAAAATAAATTTCAAAGTAATTTAAAAAAATTTACTACTATTTTCTTTTTTTATTTATTTAATTCTTTATTGTACACACCAGTTATAAGAATATGACAGAGGTAATCAAATGTACAGAGGCGAGCTTAACTCTAATAGAGTTCTCTTCCAGCAACACCCAAAGTGGAAAGGAGCATTAATGTCAGCGGGTAGAGCGGTGTACAATATTGCGTCAATTTTTAAAGAAACTAGACTTTTTCTGTTATAGACTGTGAGAAATAGGTAAAGATCAGAGACTGTACTACTGTCAATATGTTCAGTGTAATAAAAAAATAAATAAAAAAAAAATAAAGTATTACTAATATTTTCTGTATCCCTAGTACCTGCATTGCAGTTTTTATTTCATGATTTAAAGCTTTCAGCAGCCCATGAAAAAAAATTTCTTTACAAATATAAAACAAATAGGCAAATAAGAAATAAGTATTTATAATAATTATAGCTGTCTAATAATTTTTCTAAACCCATTTCAAAAATTACCATTTCATTTTGATATCACAGCAAAAACTTTGTAAGGGACAATATGAACTACTTTTTTTTAATAGATTAAGTCAGTTATTATAATTTTAGTTCATGATGGTTCTTAAAACAATAATATAATGAAATTTGCAAATTAAGTTTAGAGAAACAGTACCTCAGAATCGGCCTGTTTTATTTATATCAGAGGTTAAATTTACAAAGTATATAAAAATGAATCTTATTGCCTCACAATACGGAACAAAGTAGAATTATCAAAACTAAATGTCATTCACAAAGTACGCTGTATTTGACTATGGGCTAATTCATGATTTGTATCAGGTCTAAATAATTTTTAATAGATAAAATAACAATAAGTGTACGAAAAATAATCAAGAAATTTAAATATATTAGGGATTTATTATTGTTAATTTATTCTATTTCTTTGCTCAATTCTTATTCGATGTGATGATGGTAGGCAGATTACGTCATAAAGGACGCGATCTTTATAAACGCGTTTGTCAAAGCGATATTTGTTTTGCTTACTTCTTAATTATATAAAAAATACTAATGTATGGAGAATTTTAGTTATTAACCAACAATAGCATTAAACGCTTTTGCGTCTATAATGAAAATAAAACTATAATAATTGAATTTCTTTAAATTAAGAATGGCAGCCATTTTGTTCGCAGGTACAAGGCGGGAATGACGCGTTCCGTTATTCACAGAAAATAAACATAAAGTTTCAAAATGAAACAAATTATGCTAACCTCTACTCCTGTTATGGTCTCCAATAACTCGGCAAGGGTAACCGGTTTGTCTCCGTCGGTCATTACAGTGTCACCAAGAAATACTTGGCCCTCAGTTGTATCGCCCATGCATATTCTGCATTTATCCATCCCATCTCCACGCACTATGTGCGATACCAAAGCCTTGATGTCCACTTCTCTAGTCATTTTAATTACTATTTTCGCTTTTTTCGCCGTATTACTAATTAAACATTTATAGAAAACTTAACGAACCGGCAAATGGTTCTAAAATAAAATACTTATATGAACATTTATTTTCATTGGTTTGACAGTTATAGGGATGTCCATTTTGACTATTGTTAACTGAAATCGAAGAATTTACACTCTGTAAATTTATACTGCTTATCATTAAAATTACCAAACATAATTAACTAACTTAAATAACATTATCTTTTTAAGTTTTAAGAAAATACTTCTTTTATACAATTTCTGTTTTGTTGATTTTTTTTATAAGTTATACTTAAAAAAAAATAACAGAATATTGTATTATAAAAATCAAACTAAAACAAAATAATGTTATGATTTATTTATTAAATTAAAATTAGTCTTTCCTAGGAGCTATCTCCAGAATTATCGAGGTTACATAATAAAAATTGATAATTATTATCTCCACTCTTATAATTGAATGAGTAGTCGTGCGTACACATGCCTCCAGTTCTTCACCATTCCAATTTTAAGTATCGAGGTGGAGGGAAGGAATGTTAGCAGCAGTCGTTACAAGCAATGTACCCTGTTGACCATCTCTCAATCTCCGAAAAACCATCATGGTTATTTTTTCATATTTTTTTTTTATTGTTAGGTAGCCAAAAGATCAGACGGTCTACTTGATGAAAAGTCAGCTACTTACCGTTGCTCATAAATACCTGCAAAACGAACGAATGAACGATGAACCAATTGACTTGACTTCATTCTTACCTATCATCCTTCCATCACTTCTTATTATTCATCACGAATGCCCTACAACTGTGTGCCATTAGCATAAATAGAATTATCATTCTTTTAAAACATTATACATTAAAAATATTAAATACCTTCTTTCTTTTATTAGTCTTAAGTGTAGAAGGAGATAATTCTATGTAAAAACTATAATTTTTTATATGTAATTTGTATTTATAATAAAATCATCAATTTATAATTAATTTTTCTGTTAGTATACAGGTCTTTAAGATTTTTTTTTAAATATTTTAGGTTTTGTGAATCGATAATCGATATATTGATTATTACAAAATCTACGTCTCTACACATTGAGACAAACTTCAAATAAAAAAATTGCTACCAACTGGAAAATAATGGTCTGTGTTGTCATATAATAAAAAACTTGTAAAAATTTATTGTCGCACTTATTCCTGTTTTTTATAAATTCAACATTTTTATAGCAATTTATTTTACAAAATATTTTTTTCATATAGGACACCTGTTTACCTTATTTGTTATTAAAATAATCCTCAATTATTTTTTCCATATTTAATCCATATTTGAAATAATTAGATTCCCTATTTTAAAATTTTAATACATAGAATTGAATTAATAAAATAATTCTAAAACTTACCGAATGCTATTAAAATTGTCTAATAATTATTTGTACAGTATCTGTTTCATTCTTGGTAACATTATGATACTCTTCTAGATTTTTTTTTATCATAATTGTCAACTGTCAAAACCAATCTGTATTATTCGAGATTTGTATAAAACAACAAAATGGTAAATGAAGCGAATTTTTCTTTAATAATCTTTTGTTATTTTAATGTGATTTCTATGAATCCTGAAACTGTATACATTAAACTCTAAATGCATATTTTTATTTTGTGCTTAACTCCCGTAAATGTACTGTAAAAGAAGAATCAAAGAACTTGGATATTCGGTTTTAATTATCCGGTTTTTGTTTTTATTTTTAAAATAGTGTTATTAATTATGTGTAACGCCGGTAATATAGACCTTTTAATCATGATATTTAAAATTATCGTGTTCGTCTTAATTAGAGAAATTTTAAAATAAATTTTGATTCATCAATGAATCATGAATAATGTAAACCAAATGGTTTTTTATATGTTCAATACATCACATAAATTACATCACGTGATGGTCTTAATTCATGGAAATTGTTCGTTTTACTAAAAACTTTAATTGTGCATGGAATTTTTTATTTTTATTATTTTTTTTTTAAATTGATGGATACCATAGACTTGTATTTTAAAGTTTATTTTTAGCATTCAGGTAGCAAAGATAATTTTTCTAAAGTCTATATTTGTTTTTAATAATTTTTTTTTTATTATCTTTTTAGCAACCTCAGATTCTGGTGTTGAGGGAGGGCACAGATCAGTCACAGGGCAAACCGCAGCTGATCTCCAACATCAATGCTTGCCAACTGGTTGTCGATGCTGTATGTATACCAATATGACACTCATGTTTTAAGTAGTTTTCCTTTTTACACAAGTAGAAAAAATAAACAGTAATGTTTTCAGGTATCATATTTTTTTTTATACAACTTAGAATGGCAAATAAGCTGAGGGCCCAACATATCCCACCCTTCAAACCTAAACACAGCCATGCAAATACAACTGCTTCACGGTTGAAACATGAATGTGACAGAGGTACCCAAGCAATTGACTTTTGTACAGTCTTCTTTTGGTATATATATATATATATATATATATATATATATATATAAAGTCTTAAGTTACAAGATATACGAGTTCTTAAGAAAATAATGGGTACAATGGCCGACTTATCCCATAAAAAGGATTTCTACCAGTCAACCTATGAATGTTTGATAAAAATTCTGAATTGGTGGGGACAAAAAAAAAATAGAAAAATAATAAAGCATTCTCTACCAGTCAACCAGTGGGATTAGCAGTGAATCATTCATTGTTGGAATATGTAAAGAAAATAACCACTAATAATGTGTACCTATATACAATATAGTTGACAATGTGGTTTCGGCATAGAATAGGCCAGCACTTCCTTTCCCATGAGTGTCCTAAGAGTTGACTAACTGAGGGCTAGGAATGGACAACAGCGTCCCTCTTAAAACATTTCTAAATGTTATATATTATTATTATTATTATTATAGCTTTTTTTTATCCACTTCCGTGGTCCCCAAGGGTAAAAGCCTCCTCCATCTTTTTCCACTTCTCCTTATCTATAGCAATACCCGTCCAGTTCTTTCCTGCTATCTTTATTATGTCATCAGCCCATCTCTTTCTTTGTCTTCCAACATTTCTTTTTCCTGCTGGACCTCGCCATTTTGTTGTTTGGAGAGTCCACCTTTTATCTTTGTCTTTGAAATGTTATATATATACCCTTCATCAAATAAAAATAACAAATACCAAAATAACAAATGTTATATATATGTTAATATAATGTTAACTATAATTAATTTGTAATGTTTTATTTTATAATTTAAATCTTTATTATTATTATTGTTATTATTAATTTTATTAATTTCAAAATTATAATGTAAATATTGACTTGCCATTGTGTGGTGAAAACTGTTACATTGGTTAATAAAGAAATATGAAATTGACTAAAGCCTAACTGCGGTTGGCAATCCGCCTACCGAGCATGGCGAATACTAGCTAAACCCTCATGGGGGTGGCTTATGGTCAGCAGTGGACCGTTAAAGGCTGATATAATAATTATGCTACAAAATAATATAAGATGATGATAAGTTAAACTATACCAGAGGGAGACTTTGTACAAAAGTCGATTGCTTGCGTACCTCTGTCCCATTCATGTTTCTACTGTGAAGCAGTTGTGTTTGCATGGCTGTGTTTCGGTTTGAAGGGTGGGATATGGCAGTGAATTTACAGGGTACAGAGGAATAACACCTGAGTCCTCAGGAATGGCAACACGTGGGGGGTATTATGGACGAAAAAGTATGTGTGTGTACTGTTATGTCTATGGTACTGCTCATGTGTATAGGCGACGGTTACCACTTTCCATCAGGTGGGCCATCAGCTTGTTTGCCATTCTAAGTAGTATAAAAAAAAGCTAGTTTTTTTTACAAATATTATCAATTGCAGGTGCGTACAACCCTGGGCCCGCGTGGCATGGACAAGCTGATTGTAGATCACAACGGTAAAGCGGTTATCTCCAACGATGGCGCCACCATCATGAAGGCAAGTCTATACTTGTAGCTTTTGAGATCTGCAGTCTAATTGAATGAATAGGAAATTGCATGGATGTTGACATTATAGGGCAGGCGTGGTCGACTTGATTGGACCCAAAATCTACTGTTTACTGGCGAGACCCTCTGTAATTTACCAATTACATACTTCTTGAAATCACAAATGTAACAACATAGTTCAGTACACGACCGTGTAGTGTTGCAGTATTGTTTATTGTATTAAGAGGGAGAACATAAAACTGAAACTGCTTCTCAGCGATTACTTGTTTATATTAGTGCAAGCATTGCGTCCGAGCATCTTCCGCTGGATTAGCAATATATTATATTGTTCGCCTTGCCACCATCCACTGGACTAACGGTCAGGAACGATTGGTTATCTACCCCTTTTTACTAGCAACCCGTCCCGGCTTCGCACTGGTGGATATTTTTATAACATTTTAAAAAGCGAATATTGTGACATAACGATAATAGTTGGACATATAGTGTCGCGAAGTTTTTTGTAGTTACTGATATTTTCTTCAATATTGTAGAACATACTTTTGTTCTATCACCAATAGTTTCCGCAGCGCACGCGACCAAAGATATTTTATAGCATTTTTTTTACACCTCGAGTTGTGTTACTAAAGTTTTAGTAAGGATCCCTAATCTTTTCTAGCAATAAATATAGCCTATGTTACTCAGGGTAGGTTTCTAATGGTGATAGAATTTTTGAAATCGGCAAAGTAGTTTTTGAGTTTATTCATTACAAACATACACATAAAAATACAAATCTTTCCTCTTTATAATATTAGTGTGGATTATTAGTATTGGGAGCTGGAGTTGTTAGACTTCATTACTGAAAACCCTTTCCCTCCCACCATTAGTGTTACCCCATAAAAGTTGCTATGCATATGAGTCTATGATTAAATATCTTTTGGACCTGAAGTGCTATGTGGTTCCTGATAGTAGACATGAGACTCGATGCATCAGTATATTGTATTTGCTTGTTTTTTTTTAATGGGTGATAATGGAATGGTAGCCCTGTCGGAGTTATCGGTATATGCTGGCAGGATACTAGTAAGGGATGATAGGTAAGGATGTAAAAGCAGGTCAGTTGGCCTGGTGTATGGATACATCTGGTGTTCAGCATGATGATTTCCAGGGGGACTACGTGGAGGTCGACATGATAGAGTGTATTGCTAGCAATAGGACTGGTAGTCCGCATTACTAACAATCCCTTCCCCCCCCTCCCCACTAAATGTTACGCCATATTTAATATGTATCGCATTTATTTTCAGTTATTGGACATCGTGCACCCGGCTGCGAAGACTCTGGTCGATATTGCAAAGTCACAGGATGCAGAGGTAAGGGTAACAATGTTTTAGGGTTCCGTACCTCGAGAGGAGAAATGGATCCCTTATGGGATCACTTTGTTGTCCATTTGGCAGGACCCGTTTTCAACTTGTAATTAATATTAAGTTGTTTGCTTGGGCACCTCTGTCCCATTCATGTTTCTACCGTAAAGTAGTTGTGTTTATATGGATGTGTTTTGGTTTGAAGGGTGGGATATGGCAGTGAATTTACTGGGTACAGAGGAATAACACCTGAGTCCTCAGGAATGGCAACGCATGGCGGGTATCATGGGCGAAACAGTATACTCTGTTATGTCCACGGTACTGCTCATGTGTATAGGCGACGGTTACCACTTTCCATCAGGTGGGCCGTCAGCTTGTTTGCCATTCTAAGTTGTATAAAAAAATATTTTATCAATGATTTTAACATCGGATCCAATTTCCTAATTCCATTGAGGATTCTACTATTATGAGATGCCAGTGCAATTGTTTTATATTTTTTTTTTGTCTATAGATACTTGTTTATGATAAATTTTATATATTTTAGGTCGGCGATGGGACTACGTCAGTTGTGATCTTGGCTGGTGAGCTCCTGAAGCGATTGAAGCCTTTCATTGAAGAAGGTGAGTCTTCTAATATAATGATAATGGAATGGTAACCCCATCTGCACTCTCAGTGTTGCAGGCGTCTATAGACTACAGTGACCGTATACCATCAGATGGGCTGTATGTGCTGATGTGCTTTACCAGAGGGAGACTTTGTACAAAAGTCGATTGCTTGGGTACCTCTGTTCCATTCGTGTTTCAACCGTGAAGCAGCTGTGTTTGCATGGCTGTATTTCGGTTTGAAGGGTGGGATATGGCGTGAATTTACTGGGTACAGAGGAATAACACCTGAGTCCTCAGGAATGGCAACGCATGGGGGTATCATGGGCGAAACAGTATACTCTGTTATGTCCATGGTACTGCTAATGTATGTAGCCGACGGTTACCACTTTCCATCAGGTGGACCGTCAGCTTGTTTGCCATTCCAAGTTGTATAAAAAAAAAACGTAAAAAAATAAACAATAGAATTAGCTTAACACTTTGCACTCGAGCGGCGCCGATACGGCGCTGGCTGATTCGAAGTGGCAACTCGAGCGGTGCTGCTGCTGCGCCCGAGTGTTTTAAAACTTTAAATCGATCTACGCTGCTACGACGCTATGGCCTTTTGTAACCGGATCTCCTTATTTACAATATGCGATAAGAAAGTTTTCTCGGAAGTACTTTCGTGGACTAGGCTCTGCTTACATTGTAGCCAAAAAGGCGTCGAGTGCAAAGGGTTAATTCATCAATATTGTTTTTTTTTTTTCGCTGGCAGGCGTCCACCCTCGCATCATAGTTCGCGCGGTCCGTACCGCGTCGTGGCTCGCCGTCGACAGAGTGAAGGAGTTGTCTGTGAGAATCGACAACAAATCGCCAGATGAGCAGAGGTAAGTGTGTGTATATATATATATATAATGATATGCGGGGTACTGTGTAATATACCAAATTTGGTATAATAACAATTTTAACGTTTTATTATATTTAAAGTAGTTAGTCTGATTTTTATTAACAAATGTAGGTACACATTTTGACACAAGATTTTTAAGAAAATTAATATAATTTAAAATAAATATCTAACAAGTGCAAGTGCGTGGCGGCTGGCGTGTGTGTGTGCAGTAATCAGTGGTGAGTGGACAGTGATCCCTGGACGTGATCCACGGATCTCTTGGTTGAGTAATAGAAAATTGTAATGTAACAAAAATAGTGGGAAAATGTATTTTTTTTTTTTTTGACGGATGAAAATGGTATGGTAGCCCCGCCTGCGCTAACGGGATACGCTGGCGGAGCACCAGTGAAGGGTGATAGATGAGAATGAAAACAGGCCAGTTAGCCCATCATGATGAATTCATCATGAATTAACCATGATAGTTTCCAGGGGGAACCGCGATGAGGTCGACCTGTTTGGGTATATTGCTAGCAATAGGATTCTCAGTTTCCATTACTAACAATCCCTTTCCCCTCGGGAAAATGTATTAGGCATGGTGAGGGGTCCCTCGATTAGTCAAGTGTGATGAATGACTATGGCCAGTGATCCACCTGATGGAAAGTGGTAACCGTCGCCTATAGACATGAGCAGTACCGTGGACATAACAGAGTATACTGTTTCGCCCATGACAACCCCCGTGCGATGCCATTCCTGAGGACTCAGGTGTTATTCCTCTGTACCGTATAAATTCACGCCATGTCGTACCCTTCAAACCGAAACATAGCCATGCAAACACAACTGGTTCACGGTAGAAACACGAATGGGACAGAGGTACCCTAGCAATCGACTTTCTAGATCTGTAGGGTCTAATACCAAGTAATCAGTAATCACTAACAAGCGACATTGTATGTTTTTTTTTTATACCACTGAGGTGGCAAGCAAACATAGGGCCCACTTGATGGTAAGTGATTTTTTATCGGTGATAATGGAATGGTAACCCCACCCGCGCTATCGGTATACACCGGCGGGGCACCAGTGAAGGATGATAGGTGAGGATGAAGCAGGTCCGTTAGCCCATCGTGACGAATTCAACAAGAATTGTTCACGATGGTTTCCAGAGGAAACCACGTGGAGGTCGACCTAATAGGGCGTATTGCTAGCAATGGGACTGTCAAACTCCATTGCTAACAGTCCCTTTCCCCCCCATGGTAAGCGGTTACCGTAGCTAATGAATGCCTGCAATACCAGAGGTATTACGTGTGCGTTGCCGACCCTGAAGAAACCTCTTTATCCCCGATCTAATGTCATACATATAGAGAGCTGCTGAGGAAGTGCGCCGCCACAGCCATGTCGTCCAAACTGATCCACCAGCAGAAAGACCACTTCTCCAAGATGGTGGTGGACGCTGTGCTGTCGCTGGACGCGCCCCTGCTGCCGCTAGACATGATTGGTGAGATCATTATGTTTGCAACTTAATATTTTACTCAATTGATATTTTACAGAAGTCCTAGTTATAATATCTATATAATAGTCAATAAATAGATATTATACCTATATACTGACTATTATAAAGAGGAAAGATTTGTATTTTTGTGTGTATGCATGTTTGTAATGAATAAACTCAAAAACTACTGTGCCGATTTCAAAAATTCTCTCACCATTAGAAAGCTACATTCGCCCCGAGTAACATAGGCTATATTTATTGCTAGAAAAGATTAGGGAAACTAAAACTTTAGTAACGTAACTCGAGGTGTAAAAAAAAATGCTATAAAATATCTTTGGTCGCGTGCGCTGCGGAAACTATTGGTGATAGAACAAAAGTATGTTCTACAATATTGAAGGAAATATCAATAACTACAAAAAACTTCGCTACTACTACATACTACATGTCCAACTATTATCGTTATGTCACAATAATCGCTTTTTAAAATGTTGTAACAATGTCCACCCGTGCGAAGCCGGGACGGGCCGCTAGTAGTGTATATAATCGAATCTTAAAGACGGAAATAAAGGTTTACCATCACCCATTTCGATATCAGCATGTTTCAGGCGACGGTTTTTTTTAATGGATGACAATGGAATGGTAACCCCGCCTGCGCTAACGGTATACACTGGCGGGGCACCAGTGAGGGATGATGGCTGAGGATGGAAAGACAGGTCAGTTAGCCCATCGTGATGAATCATGAATTCAGCATGATAGTTACCAGGGGGAACCATGTGGAGGTCGACCTGACAGGGTATATTGTTAGCAATGGGGCTAGTAGTCCGCATTACTAATAATCCCTTCCCCCCTTATAGGCGACGGTTAACACTTACCATTATTTAGTTTTTTTTATACAACTTAGAATGGCAAACAAGCTGACGGCCCACCTGATGGAAAGTGGTAACGGTCGCCTATAGACATGAGCAGTAACGTGGACATAACAGAGTATACTGTTTCGCACATGATACTCCCCATGCGTTGCCATTCCTGAGAACTCAGGTGTTATTCCTCTGTATCCGTTAAATTCACGCCATATCCCACCGTTCAAACCAAAATACAGCTATGCAAACACAACTACTTCACGGTAGAAACACGAATGGGACAGAGGTACACAAGCAATCGACTTTTGTACAAAGTCTCCCTCTGGTTACATGTAATATAATGCATTTATAAAAATTGTGAGCAAGGGTGGACTTATCTCTGACAGACATCTCTTCCAGTCAACCTAGTACAGTGAGAAAGCATGCCGTTAGCTGAAGTGCTAGCAAGCAAAAAAACCAGTGTCACTGCAACCTATCCATGGTCTTTTGTGTTCGCCGTTTCTAAAGTTCGTTGCTAATTCCTATCAGTGATGGGAATTTTAAGATATTTTTTACTACAATTTATAAATATTGCTATAAATTAAGAAAGAAAGAAGAATTACTAAAGAGATTTATGGAGCAAGTATGAATGGAGATGTCGGCAGGGGCCGCCCTAGACGGACGTATGTCGACCGAATAGGCGACGTGCTGAAGAAGGGTCAAATTAAAAGTACCCGTAACCGGCGAGCGTGTATGAAAAGATTGATGAATGTGGAGGAAGCGAAAGAGGTTTGTTTGAATCGAAGCATTTGGCGTTCCATTGTTTCTGCCTACCCTAATGGGAGACAGGCGTGACAGATATGTATGTATGTATGCTATAAATTATCCGCACATACTAGGTATCACAAAAATATTGTCCTCTGCCCAGCGGTGGGACGTTTTATGGGTCGTTAAAACTAAAATTGCACGATATTGTACCAGGAATCAAGAAAGTGTCAGGAGGTGCCCTGGAGGACTCGTTCCTGGTGGCGGGCGTGGCTTTCAAGAAGACCTTCTCGTACGCCGGCTTCGAGATGCAACCAAAGAGCTACGACAACTGCAAGATCGCCCTCCTCAATATCGAATTGGAGCTGAAGGCCGAGAGGGATAATGCCGAGGTATTTATTTATTTATTTATTCATTAGTACAAATATGTGTACATGGCGGACTTAATGCTGAAAGCATTCTCTCCCAGTCAACCGTAGGGAAGTGGCAGAATACTCGAATGCGGTACTAGTAATTATTGGCCTTTCATTTTAAGGTAGGACATTACTCCTCTATCCCCTCCACCCACCCCCTAGCTATGGCCAAGATCTAAACTTAGAGGTAAGAAATATGGATGGAAGAGGGAATTCTTAAGAATTCCCTCTTTTTTAGAAAGTTACATTATCTGTGAATAACACGAGCTGTATTTTATATCGACAAGATACTTGTAAATACCCATAGGGAGTGTCAAGGGCGTCGACAGTATACTCTGTTACGTCTGTAGGCGGCAGGTATCATTTCCCATTAGGCCCGGCGGCTTGTTTATGTAATTTTGTCCCCCTTTATACTAGTAACATAAAGGTATCCAAGCAGACGAATTTTTACATAGTTCTTGTTGCGATAGGATCTTACCGTGGGTTTACCGTGGATTTACCGTGGGTGTCGTATGAGGCGACTAAGGGACGGCGAGGGACGGGCAGCAGCGTCCCTCTTAAAACATCTCTAAAGTCTAACTGCGGTTACCAACCCGCCTGCCAAGCGTGACAACTACTGACAAAACCCCCTGGATTGTATTTTATGAACCCCTACGAAAATTATCTATTTATCCATGTGCAGCCGGGGCGGATCGCCAGTGAATATATAAATCACAAACATCTTTCGGTCAGGTGCGCGTGGACAACGTGAAGGAGTACCAGAAGGTGGTGGACGCCGAGTGGCAGATCCTGTACGAGAAGCTGGCTGCTATACACGCGAGCGGTGCCAACGTCGTGCTCAGCAAGCTGCCCATCGGGGATGTCGCCACCCAGTACTTCGCAGACAGGTCGGTACTAAATTGTATTGAGAGGTTTTAGACTAGATTTACCAATGTATGCCAATCACAGTTCGTTCTCGAAACAATCTCGGCTCGTATTCGGTTCTATATCGGTTTGTTCCCGGTCCGATCTTGGCATGTTACCGGTACAATCTAGATTTGTTCTCGGGCCGATCTCGACTCGTACTGTGTCCTATCTCGATTCTTTTTTTGACCAATCTCGGTTTGGTCCCAGTTCAATTTCTTTTTGTTCTTGGTCCAATCTCTTTTTATTCTCAGTTCGATCGTGTTTGTTCCCAGAATAGTCTTGGTTTGTTCCTGGTCCAATCTCTGTTTGTTCCCAGTCCGATCTGTCTCGTTATGGCCTATGATTATAAACAACGGATCCAATTACTGAACCGTACGTGTGGATCACAGTGCATATGAGGCCTGTACGCGACACTAAGAGCGTCCACAAAGAAGTGTGGCATGTCACAGTTATTTGCCAGTTTTCAAAAGCAATTAAAGAATTTTCAGTGTTGCTGATTTACTATTTAAAAACATAACATCTATTTCATATTTTGCTTTAAAATTTTTCATCTTTTTTGCCATCAGAATTAAAATTTTCAACGACAACTTAATCAGTGTATTATTATACAATTAACGTTTTAGTTAGCAGTTCTTTTTGGAAATTCCTTTTTATTATAATTGTTTTTAACTAACGACCCGCCCCGGTTTCGCACGGGTGCAATGCTGAAACCACAATTATCCCTAAGAGATAGACGTATACCATCGCGGACTTTTTTGTAGACCATCTTAAGGTGTATAATTCTGTAGTAAATTATATTGATCTATCTCGTATCTATCCCTAGGCGACAGTTACCACTTTCCATCAGGTGGCCCGTCAGATTGTTTGCCATTCTAAGTTGTATAAAAAATTTGAATTAAACAAAGTAATTCTAATCGACTAACTAGCGATAATAATAGTATCCCTATTTGATAGATGATTCATTGATAGGGTCCCTTGTTTTTCTCTTTTTGTGTAACATTTATATATCGTATATATAAATATAATAAAACATTGCCCCGTGTAGGTGCAAACTGAAAATCAGCGCTGAACGCATATTAGTCCAGCAAAAGCTGAGTTTGTATTTATTGCCAGGCATACGGATACTTCACAATGTATTTATTTATTTATTAATATATGTATATTATAATTTCTGTATCATATTTATAAAGAATGACAATAAATTTATTATTATTATTCATGTGTAGTCGTGATGGGGTACTGTGGGGATTAAGAGTTTGTAGTACAGTGATAGGGTACTGTAGGGGTCGGCGTGGTTGTACAGGGACATGTTCGGATGTCTGTGACTCCGATAAGGGCCTGTTATTGATGTGTAGCGGTGACGGGGTACTGTGGGGGTCCGTAAGAGCGTGCGGCACAGTGACAGGGTACCGTAGCGGCTGATGTGCGTGTGCAGGGACATGTTCTGCGCGGGCCGCGTGGCCGAGGAGGACATGCGGCGCACGCAGCGCGCGTGCGGCGGCGCGGTGCTGAGCTCGGCGCGCGACGTGCGGCGCGCCGAGCTCGGCGCCTGCAGGCACTTCACCGAGCGCCAGGTCGGCGGCGACCGCTACAACATCTTCACCGGTCTGTATTGCTTCATTGTTGCCCTTGAACATTTTACACAGCGACATCTAGGTGTTGTAAAAAAAAAGACTTACAGCATGGGGTTCTTCAAAAGGGGGGTAAAGAGGTTTCTTCAGGGTCGGCAACGCGCGCGTAATACCTCTGGTGTTGCAGGCGTTAATAGGTTACGGTAACCGCTTACCATCAGGTGGGCCGTATGCTTGTTTGCCACCTCAGTGGTATAAAAAAAATCTAGGTGTAAACTAAGTAATTACTAAAGATATAAATACATGGCTATTAGAGAAGACTGAAGGATACCCTTTTTTTGTAAAGAGTCAGGCAACTAACATATCTATGTCCTCTACCCAAAGGTTGTCTGGAAGAGATTGCTTAGCGATAAGGCCGCCTTTTGTATAATTTCTCATTACAGTTAAATGTATTTACTATTTTATAAATGGTGCATGTTACGTGCTGATGTCTTCAACAGATCGTTAAAAAGGTCAATTTCATATAAACAAGCTTGAATTATTCGATTTTATTTGCGTTTAGTTATAAAAATATAAATTTAGATAAGTTGCGTTGATCCACTTGAAAATTTTTGAAAGTCGTCCGTTGACACATACAGCAACGTTTTGTTCCCTTTTCTTAACGTAGACGGACCAATCCTGGGGCATGTCCGGTGTTGTTATCATTCGCTTCTTACTGTACGCGACAGTGCAATAAAGTGTGAAATAAATAAATAACATCTGGGAGCGGGGTGAAGGGATTGTTAGTCGCCATTGCTATCAATATACCCTAGCAAGTCGACCACCACGCAGTTGCCCTTGGAAACCATCTTGTCTAATTTATTGTTGAATTCGTCACAGTAGGCTAACTGATCTGCTTTTTCATCCTCACCTATCACTTCTCACTGGTGCCCCGCCAATATGTACCAGCATATATATAGCCAGCCAGCATAGATAGCACAGGCGTGATAAATATTTCATTATCATCCATTAAGAAAAAAAAAGTTTATATCTTTAATTGTATGGATCAGGAATCGAACCTGTGACCTGTTTACGCAAAGCAACATACCCGCCACTGCGTCACGAAGATCATTGATGTTTTACTCAACGTTAACAGTATAACAATATGATTGTTATATATATATATATATATATATATTAATGAATGAATGAATGAAAACTATTGTTCCCTTTAAAGAATTTATTATAAAGATTAACAATATACACATAAATAGAAATAATAATTAATTATATAGATAGATAGATAGATAATTTATTTACATTACTTACAACACACAAATTACAATAAAAAAAAACATACATGTATATATATATATATGTTTGTATGTATGTATGTATGTTTTTATATATAAAGTAACAATCTCCTTTCTTCATCACAGCTCAGTTTATTGCTTTGCCTTTAAAAGAGTAAAACACTGATATTCTGTTGTGGCCAAGAGTCAGTCGCGAAACTCCTCATTAAAAATAACAATAAAAAGAAATATAAATAAACTGCATTGTATGTGTTCATTACATTCGCATCCATTTGATATTATATTCTAAATAAATAAATATCAGATACCATTAGATGAGGGGTAGACATATGTAAACTTAAATACATAAAAGCAAAATAAAGAGGCAACAATGGGCGGCCTTATCCGCTAAACAGCGATCTCTTCCAGGCAACCTTAGGATGGAGAGGAGTAATTGAAATTGTGTCTGGTCAAGGCGTAACAGAAAATAATAAGATAAGAAAAAATGGACTAAAGTTGAATATATATATACTGTATGTTTCGTTTGTCTGTGCATTCAATCACCAATTCCTATCCTATCCCTTAATTGTGAAATCCTAACCTATCCTCCTCTATTCTTTAGGTTACAGTAAGGAGAATGCACCCGATGGTGAGATACCTAAATAAATTACACCACAGTTAATAATGTTTTCCTTGTTCTAGTACATAGTATAGACATATATATACTAACCAAAGGGGTTATTTGTTATATAATAGTCACAGTAATTTTTTTCATTACTATCTAGTTAATATACTCCATAATTACCCCAGTATTTCAGAGTATTTAGTACATAAATGTTATAGTTCTCCATCCCTAACATTTCAGATCCTCCCTTAGTAACCCATTATCGTAGCGTTTCCCATTACCAATCTCAATTAACGTAGTACTCCTTAAGTACCCCCATTAGTGTAGAGTTCCACAAATAACCCCAATTATCGTAGGGTTCCGTAAGTACTCCCCATTATCGTAGTGTTCCAACAGTGCCCACATTATCAGTGCTCCATAAGTACCCCAAGTATCGTAATGCTCCCTAAGTACCCTGTTATTATAATACTCGCATGAGTACACCAGTATTTTAATGCTCACATTGGTAACCTCCAACATTTCTGTCTCCCTTAGAACCCTAATATTTCAAAGTTTTCCTGACCTCTTAACGTGTGGGTACTTAGATTTTACGTATAATACGGAAACTAAATGTATGTATGTCTGCCAATGATTATAAACACGGATCCAATTACTGAAATGGTTGTGTGGACCACGTTGTTGTATGAGGCAGCTTTTTATGTATGGTGACATTTATTTATTTTATTTATTTATTTATATATTTAAGATATTTACATCCCTTCATGGGTGTATTCTTTGAGTGACTAATGTTGGCAAAGTAAAAATAAAATTGTAATCTCCCATACTGACACTGAACGTCCAATTGTATCTGAATTAGCATGTTTAAGTATATTGTTCAAAGTAGATCTGGTGTAAAAAAAAACGCATATATACATATGCGTTTTTTTTTTACTTTCTAATATATTTTTGCGAAGATTCGCTTGGATCCTTGAGTTGGTTGGTCTATCATGCTCTTCTTGTGGAGATGGGATTGTTAGTAAAAGGGATTAGCAACGCCATTGCTAGCAATATACCCTGTCATCAGGTCTCAACCTTCCCGCTGTCTCCCCAGTGAAACCCTCATAAATTACTTGTGAAACTAGATTACTACCCTCAAACAACAAATCGAAATATGAAAGATCCGGCTCGAAGGACCATCAACTCTTATTGGTGATATAAAGGAATTTGACAAACACAAAATTGACGTAAAAAAATATATATATTAAATTATAATGTCAATATAAATACGTATCTGTAACTGCCATTCAACCTGATCGCAGGCTGTCCAGCCGCGAAGACGTGCACGCTGGTGCTGCGCGGCGGCGCCGAGCAGTTCCTCGAGGAGACGGAGAGGTCCCTGCACGACGCCATCATGATCGTGAGGAGGACCATCAAAAATGACGCGGTAGTTGCCGGTGAGTTCGTTTTTTTTATTACAGCACGACACGTGACCACATCATTCTGAGCGACACCAAAGAATGCCTAAACATTGCAAGAATGTCTAATATTTAATTTACGTAATAACATAATGATTAATGGCCTACATGAGAGAATGATCAGTTTCCAATTGACACCACCAGGTGGCGGCGCGATCGACATGGAGGTATCGAAGCACCTGCGCGAGTACTCGAAGGGCGTGGCGGGCAAGGAGCAGCTGCTGCTGGCGGCCGCCGCGCGCGCCTTCGAGGCCATCCCGCGCCAGCTGTGCGACAACGCCGGCTTCGACGCCACCAACCTGCTCAACAAGCTGCGCCAGAAGCACCACCAGGGTACCTGCACTTTGTTCACTGCCTCCATCCAGCAGCTCTTAACTGTCTACTATTGAATATAGGTCTTCTTTTATGTATCTGACAGTGGCAAACAAGCTGACGACCCACCTGATGGAAAGTGGTAACCGTCGCCTATACACATGAGCAGTACCGTGGACATAACAGAGTACACTGTTTCGCCCATGATACCCCCCATGTGTTGCCATGTGAGGACTCAGGTGTTATTCCTCTGTACCCAGTAAATTCACTGCCATATCCCACCCTTCAAACCGAAACACAACTACTTCATGGTAGAAACACGAATGCGACAGAGGTGCCCACGCAAACGACTTTTGTACAAAGTCTCCCTCTGATAAGGTTTTTCCCTACTGGTTCATTTGCTACATTTGACAGGTGTTATTTCTTATTATTTTGCCTTTATGAAGGAGGAAAGAAAATAACAATAATTCTGATTCTGATAATATATTGACTTCTGCCATGCGGTCCCGGCATAGAATAGGCCACCCCTTCCTGTCCCGTGGGTGTCGTAACAGGCGAATAAGGGGGCTTGTGGTGGAGGGATAGGTAGTAGAATCCCTCTTAAAATATCACCAAAACCCTGACTGTGGTTATCCGTCTGCCAAGCGTGGCTACTATTCACAATATGTCCCAAGGAGAGGAGGTCTGTGTTCAGCAGTGAACTGACTGTCCCCTGTCACACGCTGGGCCCATAACCTATCGCCGCTGTCCGCTCGGTCCGCAGGCGAGGTGTGGTACGGCGTGGACATCCAGCGCGAGGACATAGCGGACAACTTCGCGAACTGCGTGTGGGAGCCCGCCGTGGTGAAGGTGAACGCCGTCACCGCCGCCTGCGAGGCCGCCGCACAGGTACGCTTTTTGGTTTTTTTTTTATCGTGATATAAAAATAATTTTCCAAATCAGTTAAAGACTGACGGAGTTATGAGGTGACAAATATAGAGAAAAAATATAGCCGAATTAAAAATCTCCTTTTATTTAAAGTCGGTTGAAAGTATACAAATTGGTAACGTAAAAGAGACGGTAACATCTATATTGCTTTCAACGCATCTGTAATGGAATGGCAACCCCGCCTGCACTATCGGTATACATTGGCGGGGCACCAGTGAGTGACGATAGGGTGGGTCAGTTAGTCCATCGTGATGAATACACCTGGGATTCAGCACGATGGTTGCCAGGGGGAACCGCGTGGAGGTCGACCTGACGGTATATTGCTAGCAATGGGACTGGTAGTCCGCATTTCTAACAGTCTCTTCCCTTCGGATTATGGTGTTACACCTCCGTATCGTGTAGTCTTATTGCCATATTTACCCTTCAAGCCGCAACACAGCCATACGAGAACAGCTGGTTCAATACGAGTGGGACTGGACAGAACTCATGCCATCTGTCGTCAAATTACGTTAAATATCTCCTTTTTTTTAGTACGTTTGTTCCGTTGTGGAACAGGCTAAGGTCGGAGACAATGTTGCCTAAAATAAATGGCTTTTATTCCAACTGTCAAAGTTCAATAATCGTTTATCCGTACCACAAGAGATGGCGCTGTATGTATATGAAGTACAGTTTTAGTCTCTGTATCTATGAAAGCACTGTATATTGCTCTCCCCCCCCCCCCCGCCCCTCTCTCTCTCTTCCGCTGGATTAGCAATTAAAATGACCCATTGTTTGTGTTTCTCGAATTTATTCACTTAAATAGTCCTAAATGATATACCCAATCGAGTTTTTTTGTCCAGAGACAATGGTACCAATGTAAGTCTTTCGATAGGAAACTGTTAAATGATTTTATTTATTTATTTATTCTTTATTGCACAATAAAACTTTGTGGGGGGGGGGGAAGAGATTGTTAGCAATGGAGTTTGACAGCCCCATTGCTAGCAATATGCCTTATCAGGTCGACCTCCACGTTGTTCCCCCTGGAAACCGTCGTGAACAATTCTTGCTGAATTCGTCACGATGGGCTAACTGGCCTGTTTCATCCTCACTTATCATCCTTCACTGGTGCCCCGCCGGTGTATATCGATAGCGCGGGTGAGGATACCATTCCGTTATCACCCGTTAAAAAAAAAAAACTTAGTACAAGTGGCGAGCTTAATGCCATATGGCGTTCTCTACCAGCTAACCATTAGGTAAAATAAATAAATAAATAATGTATTTTCTTCACAGATTTTGTTGGTGGATGAAACCATAAAGAACGTGAAGGGTGGAGACGCGCCCCCTCAGATGCCGGGTCGTGGCAGAGGCCGTCCGCGCATGGGATAAGGAAGCAACCACAATATGCTCTAATGTAACAATTCCCTATAGACGAATGTAAAAATGCACGTGTATGGGCATAAGCGTAATTAAAAAAAGGCGGGGTTGGCTGTGCCCACTCTAGAACTGTCCGGTGTCCACCGCAAGATGTGAGCGAAGCTTCGCAGAGACATCTCTGAAAGCACTTTTTCCCACGCATAACCACTCTTTGGAATCAACTTCCAGCAGCAGTATTTCCGAACCGATACGACAACATAACCTTCAAGAAAAGAGCATATTCCTTTTTTAAAGGCCGGCAGCACACCTGCAATGCCGTGTGTTGTGTGTGATCATGGGCGGCGGTAGTCACTTACCATCAGGTGAGCCGCATGCTCGTTTGCCCCCTGTGTTGTAAAAAAAATAAGGGCCGATTGTAAAGCGTAATTTTTCAAATATTTTAATGTAATAGTTTCGTGAAATTACTGTTTTGTGGACAGTCATAAAGTCATAAAGTAAATGCGTCAGGCTCGTGCTCGAATCACAGTCGCTTGTGACTAAGGGTCCCGAATTGATCCCGAAACTAGTCGAACTTTCTCGATCTAATTACGTATTATTATGTCATATAAAAGTATTAAGTGGCCCGTACACGTGCATGATAGTCGTCTAAATGTTGTAAAATTCGACTAAAATTATAGGGTACATGAACATTGTATCTGCCTTATTGCTTTCACAAAGTTAAAACGCTAGTTTTTAAGTTATTTTAGTATATTATTAATTATAATAATAAATTACTAAACCAAATATTGTTTTGTTTTTAATTGATAACCTAAATTGGACCAGCCAGGACTACTCTTGAATCTAATTTTTTTTATACAACTTAGAATGGCAAACAAGCTGACCGCCCACCTGATGGTAAGCGGTTACCGTAGCCTATGAACACCTGCAATACCAGAGGTATTACGCGCGCGTTGCCGACCCTGAAGAAACCTCTTTACCCCCCTTTTGAAGAACCCCACGCTGTAGTCTCTTGGGAGAACCTCGGCAGGGAGCTTATTCCATAACCTGAGTGTTCGTGGGAGGAAACATCTCTGAAACCGTGCTGTACGCGATCATCTAGGCTCTAAGGTATAAGGGTGAACTCCCCGTCGATGGTAAGCCGTGCGATGGTAGACAGAGGTAACATTTCCTCTGAGCACAGTTCATTGTACAAGTGGTAGAACACGCAGAGTGAGGCAAAATCTCTCCTAAGACTTAAGGATTCGATACCGCTTGTAAGCCTGGGATCATCGACAATTCTCATAGCTCGTCATTGTAACGAGTCGAAGCGTTCAAGCTGGTATCTAGGTGCTACCGCCCATAAGTGACAGCAATACTCCATGTGGGGTCGGATTTGCGATTTGTAAAGCATTAATCGCTGATCGCTTACTGATCTGGCGATGATAACGATTTCAATTGCTCCCATTGCTCTGCTAACAAACTTTCACGAGATGGGTTTCCAGGGGGAACAGGGGGGGGGGGGTACAAACAAGGGGAAGAAACATTAGTGATGTTAAATTAGACCACCAGGATTTAGACTTTGTAAATAAAACCACTTTTCTTGGCATAGTAGTTGATTATAAGTTGCAATGGGGCTCCCATATATTTGAATTGGCCAGCAGGCTGAGTTCAGCTGCTTATGCTGTTAGAAAAATCCGACAATTAACTGATACAATAACAGCTAAGCTTGTGTATTTTAGTCACTTTCACAATATCATGTCATATGGCATTATATTGTGGGGGAGGGCTGCTGACATCGATACAATCTTTGTACTGCAAAAAAGAGCGGTTCGGTCAATATTTAATTTGCCTTCTCGGGAATCTCTTAGAGAATATTTTAAGCAAACAGGTATACTTACTGTTCCCTCGCAATATATATATATATATATATACGAAAATTATTATGTATGTACGTAAAAATATAAATCTTTTTAAAAATAACAGTGACACACATAATTTCAATACAAGAAATAAAAACAAATTGAATGTACCTTGTTATCGACTTAGAAAAGTCAGTACATCTTTCATGGGGAACTGTATACATTTTTATAATAAACTTCCAGGTGACGTTTTACATTTAAATGAAAGAAAATTTAAGATATATATAAAAAGGACTCTCTGCACAAAAGCATATTATAAATTAAATGACTATTTAAATGACAAAACTGCATGGATTTGAATATTGTATTAATGTGCATTGTATTTTAAATGTAATTATTGTAATTTTTTTAAATTTATATTATTTTCTATAGTAATTATTATAATAACAAAGTGACGTATCATAAGAATCTGTAACAGACGTATATGAATAACAATGATTGATTGATTGAATGGTGTCTACCAGCACCATTCTTAATAATATAATTATAAAACGATTCATGGCTTAACATAGATATAAATTTGATTATTTATTAACTGTAATTCAACTGTACGTTTTCCAAAAAATAAATAAAAAAATTTTTTTTTTTTCGAATTCGATAAGCCAACTAACCAGAGGGCCTAGCCTACAATGAAATGTATATAAATATAAATGAAATATATATATATATATACATGATGAATTCATCGGGAATTAATCATGATAGTTTCCAGGAGGAACCGCGAGGAGGTCGACCTGGTTGGGTCTATTGCTAGCAATGGGATTCTGTCTCCATCACTAACAATCCCTTTCCCCCCAACTATCATGGTTAATTCCTAATGAATTCATCATGATGTGCTAACTGGCCTGTTTTCATTCTCATCTATCACCCTTCACTGGTGCTCCGCCAGCGTATCCCGTTAGCGCAGGCGGGGTTACCATACCATTATCACCCATAAAAAAAAAACACACACACACACACTCGCACACATACTAGTACATACATGTAGATTATAATTTTTTTCTAATTTCATTTATTAACTTGTATACTCTTTATAGATCAAGTAAAATAGATGTCCTCGAGTTTGGAAGCCTGGTGATCTGTAAGAGGGAGACCTTGTACAAAAGTCGATTGCTTGGGTACCTCTGTCCCATTCGTGTTTCAACCGTGAAGCAGTTGTGTTCGCATGGCTGTGTTTCGGTTTAAAGGGTGAGATATGGCAGTGAATTTACACGGTACAGAGGAATAACACCTGAGTCCTCAGGGATGGCAACGCACGGGGGGTATTATGGGCGAAACAGTATGCTCTGTTATGTCCACGGTACTGCTCATGTCTATAGGCGACGGTTACGACTTTCCATCAGGCTGACGGCCCACAGCTTGTTTGCCATTCTAAGTTGTATAAAAAATAATCCTAGTACTGACTCCGGTCTCACACAAAGATTGTTTTAAATCGTAACCTATGTAGTTGTAAGATTTATAATGCTGTTATTTTGTGAGAGAAATAAACTTTTTTTTACATATTTACCTATTTTCTTGGGAGAAAGGGATTGTTAGTAAAGGATACTGAGAATCCCATTGCTAGCAATATACCCAACCAGGTCGACCTCTTCGCTGTTCCCCCTGGAAACTATCATGATTAATTCCTGATGAATTCATCATGATGTGCTAACTGGCCTGTTTTCATTCTCATCTATCACCCTTCACTGGTGCTCCGCCAGCGTATACCGTTAGCGCAGGCGGGGTTACCATACCATTATCATCCATTAAAAAAAAAAACAAATATAATAATAATAATAATAATAAATAAAAATTTATTGCCATTCTTCACAAATTATAATGTACATATATTAATTAATCAATATATTGTCCATTAATCGTATGCGCCTGGCAATAGGTACAAACTCAGCTTTTGCTGGACTGATGTTGGTTCAGAGCTGATTTTCAGTTTGCACCTACACGGGGCACCGTTTCATTATCAATTATATATATATTGATGTAGATATTACGTAAAAAATAAAAGAAAACAATACAAAAACTAAAATAAACAAGTATAAAAGCAATGAATAAAAGAAAAAAAAAAATAAAACATAACAGAACAAAAATCCAATGTACCAAATTAACGACAAGAAAAAAAAAATCCTTAAAAGTGTCATACAATTTGCGATGCACTACATTCGATGACGAGAGCCAGCTCCACGATCCGAGGGTTGCTTCCGCATAAGTAAAATCCTTTTCTTCATTAGATTTTTGAAATGTAATGGCGTTAATGGTTGGTGTAAGTGTGGAGGCATATATTGACACGCCCTGATTTCGCATAGTTCTTTTTTAGCATAGTTATTATTAATTATAGGAGTTGCTAATATAGCTTTCTATAGGTGAAAGAGTCTCTATAAACGATTCACTAGTTTCCGAGCTTATCCGTTGTAAACAATAAAAACACGTCCCTTTTAAAACATCTCCAAAGCCTAACTGCGGTTGCCAATCCGCCTGTCAATCGTGAGGACTACTGGCAAAACCCCCCTTATGGGGGAGGCCTATGTCCAGCAGTGGACAATTAACGGTTGATATAATGACGAAATAATAAACCTGTAGTCAAGCCTTCTTTGCATAACGGTGGAAATTTCCATCATAACATTGAACGCCCAAAAATTATACAAAAGACCAAGTTCACTTTAAGTTGATCGTGTCCGGATACCTTTTTAATGTCCATTACAGAAAAAAAAAACATAGCTGTCAAATTTACTTTTTTTAACCATTTTTCCTTTAATTTTGAACATGAATTATATCGCCTTGATTTATTACACCAATAAAAAAAAAATAATGCAAAGAAGATTTAATAAGTTCTCAATCTTTTGGCCGAAACTATTACACCTACCTGTGTACTAATTGGGGAGGGAAAGGGATTGTTAGTAATGGGATCAAATAGCCCCCATTACTAGCAATATACCCTGTCAGGTCGACCTCCACGCGGTTCCCCCTGGAAACCATCGTGGCTAACTGACCTGCTTTCATCCCCATCAGTCATCTATCACTGCTACCCCGCCAGTGTATACCGATAGCGCGGACGGGGTTACCATGCCATTATCACCCATTAAAAAAAAACCTGTGTATTAATTTGCATACAATGTAATTATTAGGTAATTAAGAACTGTTCCTATACATGCATCTATGAATACAGATGCAGTACAGTGCATACTGACAACATTATCCGTCCACTTCTGGACATAGGCCTCCCCCATAGACTGCCATAAGGAAGCATCCACCTGAGCGACCTGCATTCATTGATTCCCTGCATTGCGTTTGAAATCGTCACTCCATCTAGTGGGGAGTCGTTCTACACTGCGTCTGCCCGTACAAGGTCGCCATAGTAGAATTTAGACATAGTGCATTTAAATAAACACACATAATGTTAACAGAGATTTAAAAGAGTAACTGTTGAGTTTCTCGCGGACTCTTCACAACAGATAACAACCTTCCGAACCCTGCATACGTAAAGAAATGACGATTTAAAAGTGCTTGTAAACAAGTCTATTTGAATTGTTTTTTATACAACTTAGAATGGCAAACAAGCTGACGGCCCACCTGATGGAAAGTGGTAACCATCGCCTATACACATAAGCAGTACTATGGACATAACAGAGTATACTGTTTCGCCCATGATACCCCCCATGCGTTGCCATTCCTGAGGACTCAGGTGTTATTCCTCTGTACCCAGTAAATTCACGCCATATCCCACCGTTCAAACCGAAACACAGCCATGCAAACACAACTGCTTCACGGTTGAAACACGAATGGGACAGAGGTACCCAAGCAATCGACTTTTATACAAAGTCCCAAGTGACATGCAACCAAAAGTTTTTTTTAAACTGACTTCTGAAGACTGAAAGAAGGTCTCAATACGGTTATATTTTTTTTTTAAATGTAAGATATAATCGTTTATGGGTGTACAAATTTTGTTTATCTCTAATAAATCTGAACAATCGATTTTGTTATTATTTATAGCTAGAACTTTCGAACCAAAGTACCTGTTTGGGTGTTGAAATGAATTATAATCGTTAGGTTTAATGTAGCATGTCTAAAATCTTGTTTCTAATCTAACGGAAGAGGTAAACATCTTGCTTAACCTCAATACCGGACAATGCACGCGCGGGAAACTGATAATTATGCAAAAAAAAAATCGCACGTCCGTTTGTTTGTTAATTTTCCATTCCCAGTTCTTCATACAATTCCTGTGCACATACACGCGCACAAATTATCGCGTTGTATCATTTATACTAGCACCCGTTTAGTTTTTAATAAGTGAAATTTATTTAAACCACTATTCACGTACACCTTTGCCGGGTACAGTTGGTATTAAAAAAAATAATAATCGAAAAGCGCGCGTAAAATGACATTTAAAAATGTCGCGATCAGTGGTATTTTATTTATGGTCGCGGTCAACGGGGTCACGTCGTGGACCATAGACCTGCCGGAAGTGAGGAAATACTTTTTCACCAAGCACGACCGAGACAATAATGACGTCCGTCATATTGATGAAAACAGAGTATTGTATGACAATATTAAAGGGAATAGCTTGCACAACAGCGAGAATCATTACTATGTAAATAGTTTTGACAATTCCGAATACTCAGGCAGCAATGAATTGAAATCTCCTACAGATAAATACGCCAAAGATTATAAATATCGAGGTTACATGGAGAAAAAAGTAAGTTTTATTAAACCATTTTTTTTAATGGGTGAAAATGATATCGTAACCCCGCCTGCGCTAACGGGATACGCCGACGGAGCACCAGTGAAGGGTGATAGATGAGAATGAAAACAGGCCAGTTAGCCCATCATGATGAATTCATCAGGAATTAACCGTGACAGTTTCCAGATGGAACCGCGAGGAGGTCTACCTGGTTGGGTATATTGCTAGTAATGGGATTCTCAGTCTCCATTACTAACAATCCCTTTCCCCCTTTAATAAACCATTAAAAATGGCACATAAATTGACGGTCAATGATTACGTCATCTGTGACATCACAGTATATACTGTAACGCCTATCGTACTCGGCATTATGCATTTTTTTTTATACAACTTAGAATGGCAAACAAGCTGACGGCCCACCTGTTGGAAAGTGGTAACTGTCGCCTATAGACATGAGCAGTACCGTGGACATAACAGAGTATACTGTTTCGCCCATGGTACCCCCCATGCGTTACCATTCCTGAGGACTCAGGTGTATTCCTCTGTATCCAGTAAATTCATGCCACTGTTACCTAAAATATATCTTGTTTTTTTACATTTTATTTAGTAAGCAACTATGTTTGCACGACTGTGATAGGGAACTGATAATACCATGGTTTTCAGGAATAGCAACGCACGAGGGGTACCATGAACGTTACAGGATGGTCACAGTGCTGTTAACACTTTCCATCAGGCGGGCCGTCAGCTTGTTTACCATTAGTGGCTATCATAAAAGTCATGGCATGATTTAAGATTTATTTATTTGTTACCATTTAAGCGAGCTTGCTATGTAGTCCCGGCATAGAATGGGCCACCGCTTCCTTTCCCGTGGGTGTCGTAAGAGGCGACTAAGGGACGGCGAGGGATGGGCAGCAGCGTCCCTCTTAAAACATCGCTAAAGGCTTAATTGCGGTTGCCAACCCACCTGCTGAACGTGGCAACTACTGGCGAAACTGCCCTTATGGGGAATGCTTATGCCCAGCAGTGGACAGTTAACGGGTGAAATGATGAAGGGAGCTCGAAAATTACCTCAATTAATTCTTATAGGAATCGGTTAATATATAAAGTACAGAATAAATTTAATCATTAGATACTTTATAAATAATTTATTGTCATTCTACGAAATTCGACAAGCGCAACAAGTAAGTAGACAGACAGACAGATAGATAGATAATTTATTTGCATCACTTACAGCACACAAACAGCAAAAGACACAAATGCAAAGTGAAAAAAGATAAAAAAAAAGATACATGTACAAAAAATAATAAAAAAAAAAAATCAAAAACAAAATCAGAATGCATAAAATTAGTAAAGTTTTTTTTTTCTTCACGCGTGTGCATTCCACGGTAATACAAAATGGCCACGAGTCAGCTTTTTGCTTTGCCCTCAAAAGAGCAAAACACTGATATTCTGTTGTGGCCAATATTAATATAATACATAATAAAGTGTTCAGATGCTGGTACAAGATACCATCAAGTAAACTCAATGTCAGTGATAGAGAAGCTTTTTTTACTCACTTTATTCTTTTCCGCATGAATCCTGTGATTTCAAGGACTGCTCTCTTGCTAAGTCTAAGATAAAGGAACAGTTTTAGAATCTAAACTGCGATGAATGCGAGAAATAGCTTCAGACTATGGGCTATTCTATTTAAGAGCTGCTCTCTTGTCGGTGGAGCTCTTGCCGCTCACTACGATTGTCAGCGAGTCCCCTCACCTCTTGATACGACACGACACCAAATTTTTCCTTGATCTGCTTGCTGTAATTATGCTTTGGCCTCCCTTTTCCTTTCCTTCCTTCTATCTTACCTTATATTATAATATTTTTTTATGCAACTCAGAATGGCGAACAAGCTGACAGCCCACCTAATGGAAAGTGTTAACCGTCGCCTATAGACATGAACAGTACTCAGGTCGACTGGTAGAGAACACCGTCCGGTGTTATATCCGCCATATGTACATAGAATTTTACTGCTGTGTTAAATTTATTTAATTTAATTTACACAAAACGTGGAAAATTCTTTTTTCTTCGACGTGCTAAAACATAATTAGCAGGCGCTCGAATGGATGTCGACGCCAGGATGCCTTGATTATATTTATGACCTTCGAGAACGTGAAGTATGCCAACTGCGCAATAATAAAAAAAAAAATAAACATTTTTAATTGTCTATGATTGATTATTCAAAAAGTGCTCTACTAACGAACTAGAACTAGGCAATTGTTAAATATTTTGCATTATAAATTAATTATTAACAATCTTTGTGCCCATTTCATATTTTTAACATCTAAATGTAATGTTCTAATAACATTTTTATAAGACAATTATAGCATATTTTTTGTGAGGTCCATGAACGTTACAGAATGGTCACAGTGCTGTTAACACTTTCCATCAGGCGGGCCGTCAGCTTGTTTAACATTAGTGGCTAACATAAAAGTCATGGCATGAGATTTATTTATTTATTTGTAACCATTTAAGCGAGTTTACCGTGTGGTCTTGGCATAGAATAGGCCGTCCCTTTCTTTCCCGTGGGTGTCGTAAGAGACGACTAAGGGACGACGAGGGATGGACAGCAGCGTCCCTCTTAAAACATCTCCAATTATCTTTCTTAATTACACAATATTATCATAGCTATTTGTACAAGAATTAGTCCATTACCTTAAGGTTGTCTTGAAAAGATCGCTCTCAGCAATAAGACTTTTTTTTATACAACTTAGAATGGCAAACAAGCTGACGGTCCACCAGATGGAAAGTGGTAACCGTCGCCTATAGACATGAGCAGTACCGTGGACATAACAGAGTGTAATGTTTCGCCCATGATACCCCCCATGCGTTGCCATTCCTGAGGACTCAGGTGTTATACCTCTGTACCCAGTAAATTCACGCCATATCCCACCGTTCAAACCGAAACACAGCCATGCAAACACAACTGCTTCACGGTTGAAACACGAATGGGACAGAGGTGGCCAAGCAATCGACTTTTGTACACGTACTCTCCCTCCTCACTGTACTCATACAACTGTATGGTTGCATTTATTAATTGTCTCGCTTGCTCCCTATATTGTATAATGCAAATAAAGCATACTCATTCATTCATGACATACTATCTTTTATTTCTATGTATCTTAGTAATAGAATAAAATTGTAACTGAAAGATATCTGTATATCTGGGAAATATAGGTTGCTTACAGCATGAACGCTCGCAGACGTCCATAGGCTACAATGACCGTTTACCATCAGACGGACTGTATGTTTTTTTGGCATCTTTGTGGTGTAAAAAAATATGTAATGGATTTAGTAATAGGGGGCAATAGAAGACAAAACAATTTTTTTTTAGAAATTGTCTGTCATGGTTTTTTTTTAGTGAAAATGGTATGGTAACCCCGCCTGCGCTAACGGGATACGCTGGCGGAGCACCAGTGAAGGGTGATAGGTGAGGATGAAAACAGGCCAGTTAGCCCATCATGATGAATTCATCTGGAATTAATCATGATAGTTTCCAGGGGGAACCGCGAGGAGGTCGACTCGGTTGGGTATATTGCTAGTAATGGGACTCTCAGTCTCCATTACTAACAATCCCTTACCTCCCTGTCTGTCAGAGTGAAGGGATTGTTAATAATGGAGACTAAGGGCCCCATTGCTAGCAATATACCCAACCGGGTCGACTTCCACGTGGTACCCCCTGGAAACCATCGTGCTGAATTCCAAGTGTATTCGTCACGATGGACTAACTGACCTGTCTTTTCATCCTCACCTATCATCCCTCACTAGTGCCCCGCCAGTGTATACCGTTAGCGCAGGCGGGGTTACCATTCCATCATCACCCGTTAAAAAAATTTTTGTCTACCTATGTTTTCGCTCCAGCGTTACGCAAAAACTAATACACCGAAATGAATGCTGTTTTCACTTTCGTGTCCCTTAAGATCTAACTTAAAAATTGGTATATGTTTTTTTTTGATACTCCATCTAGAACTGGCGTTTTTCATTAGTTTTCCTACATCTGAATTCCACGTGTACGAAGTAGCGGGTGAATAGTATACACTAGCAATGATTTGTACAGGTACAAAACGCACTGCAGAAGGGCACCGCCTACCTGGACGGCCTGCGATATTCCATCGAGCAGTACACGGAGCTTCTGAAGAACTGCAGCAGGTCCAACATCACTGCTATTAATTGGGTAAGATATTAATGTAATGTTAGAATATACATTGGATTACTAGATTGTATACCGATTGTTTTACCAGAGGGAGACTTTGTACAAAAGTCGTTTGCTTGGCCACCTCTGTCCCGTTCGTGTTTCAACCGTGAAGCAATTGTGTTTGCATGGCTGTGTTTCGGTTTGAAAGGTGGGATATGGTGTGAATTTACAGGGTACAGAGGAATAACATCTGAGTCCTCAAGAATGGTTGGTATTTTGGGCGAAACAGTATGTACTCTGTTATGTCCGTGGTACTACACATGTCTATAGGCGACGGTTACCCCTTTACATCAAGTGGGCCGTCAGCTTGTTTGCTATTCTAAGTTGTATATAAAAAAAAGTATTTCTTATATATTATGCCATATGTATAATTTTGTTTTGGCTGTAACGTCCCGGCATAGACTAGGTCACTCTTTCTTTCCTGTAGGTGTCGTAAGAGGTATTTAAAAGGAGGGCAGCAGCGTCCCTCTTTAAACATCACTAAAGCCCAACTGCGATTGCGAATTCGGCTGCCAAGCGTGGCAACTACTGGCAAAACTCCCCTAGGGAGAGGCTTATGGTCAGCAGTGAACAGTTAAAAGCTGCTGATGATGATGAAATATGTGTTACAATGATGTGACAGTGAAGGTAGGGCAAAAAAACTTTTTGGTAGGGCGGAAGTTAAAAAAGCGAATCTATCTAAGTTTTTTGGGGCTTTCCGTTTTAAGGTAGGGCATTGCCTCTCTTTATGCCCTTTATCCCCCCGCTACGGCCATTCCTGTCTATTGATTATCGTAATATACTTGTTTAATTTTTTAGGGCAATGTAACAATATTTAACTTCACGGAAGTGTTCGGCAACTCGTCTGACTTCAACATCTCGCCTGTCTTCAACGCCTCGTCTGCTTTCAATGCCACGTCCAATCTAAACTTCACTGGCGTCTTCAACGGTACCAGTTACACCAACGCGAACTTCACGGAAATTCTGTTGAACTTCACTAGAAACTGGAATGCGACGTGTCAGCGTGCTACGGAGAAACGCGAGCATATCAGGAGGCTGGCAGACCTGGCGCTGTGGGCCACCAAGAGACTAGAAGACAGTGTTTACGCAGAGAAATATCATAAGGTCAGAATTTTTACGGACCTAAAATAGTGCCTTGAGGAACACCCACTTTGACATTAGCTCCTATAAACTTTACACCATTTATTTTGGCAAAACGTGTTCTTTTAAAAAAAAAGTATGATTGTATCAAATTCAGAACTTTACTTCTATTGCCGTAATGTTATATTTGTATAAGGAATTTTATAATATTGTTTGGAAGTGGTCACATTGGCCACTTTCGTACAATTTTCAAAAGTTTTACTTTAGTTTCGGCCAATTTGCTGCCTAAACCGACCACCTTTGACCCGAAACTGGCTTCTGCCAGAAATCAAAGTGTCGTTGAAAATTGTTTGGCAATGATGTTTATAATTATTAACAGCACAGCGATGGCGAGGAGAAGGAGCTGATACTGCGGCTGGCGTGGTACTTGGACAGGCTCGCGCACTTCACTGGCTTCGACCCCAAGGTCGAGGACTACATTACCACCACCACAAGTGGGTTTAACACTATACATCATTCTTTAAGATATACATTATATTTGATGCTGCCCTGCAAAGGCGAGGATCTTCTGTCTCCAGTCGAAATTTGCTTCATCTTTCCAGGCTTTTCAAATCCTAGGGATGACAATTCTCAACTAAAATTTTACTCAAGTCATAATAAATCTCCTAAAATTGTATCCACACGTATACTAAGCAGATACTCGACAACGGTACAAAAGGTAATGGAAGGGAATGGAATGGAAGAGATTGTTATTGACAGGAAGTATCGGCTCCATTGCTATCCAATACACGTTCTTAGGTTTACCTCCAAGCGGTCACTCCATCATCAGTAAATGCTGGTGAGTTCATTATGAGGCCAACTTATCTGATTTCGTCCTCTACCATTCCTCACTGGTGTCCCGCCAGCGTGTACTGATATCTCAAGCGTGATTACTGTTCTATCTTCATCCATGGAAGATAAACTGTCTATTTATTTGCCTGACCAAATTGCATAAAAACTCTTTGGACTCAAATACAAATAATAATGGTTCTCGGCGCCTCCGGACATCATTCGCGGCGCAGTGGTAGACATGTTACTTTGCATTAATGAGGTCCCAGGTTCGATTCCTTCTCTGAATTGGCTCGGATCTGGATGTTCCGGATTGTGCCCCCAAAGGGTCATCGCCTGGTTCCTCATAGGGCATTCTAGCTTGAAGAGCAGGCGATTGCTATACTCGTTTGGTAATTATTATTAATCCCTCTGCAGAACCTCCAAATGTTGTGACACTACCATCTTTCGTTGCCGCGGTGCCGCCCAGCGTGACTGCAGCCATGATGGACTGCCTCAAGCGGAACTCCTCGGTGCCTGCTACCATACGCTGTGCTTACCCGTTATCACTGCCGCCTGTTATACAGCTGATCCTCAATATGAGCAGTTAGTATTTCTCCATTGTTGTATTTATCTTCACGCTATGTTCTTGCAGGAAAGGCAGAGAAAACTGTATACCAAAGACGTCTGAATACCGAAGAAGTTGGTCCCAACATACGTCTATTGCCTTATCCATAATCATGCCACTATTATTATAAATCTGAAAATTTGTGTCTGTATGTATGTTACTTACTCTTTCATGCAAAAAGTACTGAATGGATTTGAATGAAATTTAGTAAATAAAATATTTAAAAATACATATTATTATTATTATTAAAAAAGACGGGCTTTTTTCAGCCAGAAAAACCTGTAACATTGCAACCTTTCTTATTCGCTCTTTTCTTAAAGTTCGCTGCTAATTCCCGATCAGTGATAGGAATTTTAAGATGTTCTTTGTAGCGATGTTCTTATCTTCTCAGGATACAGAATGTGTTTTGCAAAGGAGATATGTCGTGTATGTACGAGTGGGCTACAGCCACATATCTGATGCTGCGGCGTTTCTTCCTCATTGTGACAAGATCTGTAAACACTTTTTGGGCATAAGCCTACTTGGACCGTGTGCTTGTTTAGTTTGCAGTATCCAGTTAGAGCCCTACACACATATTATTTTAATTCAAATCAATTAATTTCTAAGAGTATTTTTCTTAACCCCTTAATCAAGGCTTTGGAATGATTTAATCCTGGCCATAAGAGCTAGCTATATTCTAAATACATAGGTACTTCAAGTAAGCGAGCGAAGCCGCAGGACACAGATAATATTCTCCATGACAGTTCTGGAATGGATGATGAGTGATGATGATGACGAATGGAGAATATTATTGTATATTTCAATTAGGATATGATCAATTCTGATCATTACCAGTGCAACCTGCACTAGTAATGATTCCCCTTGTTTTCCTTTAGGAGATCCCTTCTTCTCAAAGACCAAAATTATGTTTAACATTTTAATTTGACAGATAGTCGCAATCAACAACAATTCATGACCCTCGAGGACCGAGCAGCAGGATTTAGACAATTTACCGACTCTTTGACAACACCATCATCTTCCGAAGTTCTGATCGCTGCCTCGTCTCAATCAGCCAACAGCTACCTTCCCGCCAACATTTTGACAGATGTCAAAACCGTACAAAAACGGTCCATAGACGAGAGCGCCATGATGAAATTCATGAAATATTTTGTGAAACACAAAGTGTGGGAAAATTCTAACCCATCAGATAAAGACACGAATAATAATGGCGATTATGATGTTTCCAATAATTTACCCATAAAATCTATACAGAAACGCTCCCTATTTCACAAGAAGGGCCGCCATCTGCTTCCCACAAAGAACCGTGTACGAGGTATAAGCAAACTGTTTAAAAAGAAGGCCGAAATACACTATCCCAAAGGTAAATTACAAACGATCAAAGTCAAGGAGTTTCTGGATAAAATGCGTAAAAGCAATTCATTCACGCTCATCAATAATTTTAAACATAAAATAGGCGGCATACACGATCTTAGCAAGGATTTGCCGAAAAACATTCATAAGAGATCTATAGAGGTCAAAAATAATATTCGTATGAAATTGCCCGAAGATCCTATGCAGGATTTAAGTAAATATGTCAAAAACAAAGAGGGAATACACTACATCAATGACAAAACATTAATTGAAAGAATCAAAGCCGCTTTAGAGCGAATACGTAATCAAACAACCAACGATTCGAGCAAGCAATTATGGCGGGAAAAGCGTTCTGTAGTCAAATCGAACGTTGTCATTCAAACTCCTCCACATTACCCGGAAAAACATCCGATCCAGAAGATAGGCGAGTTCATTCGACACAAAGCTAAAGTACACATACAAAAGAATCATGCGCGCGCGCATAAAATTAAAGAAACGCTAGAGAAACTCTACCACGCGTCAGTTGTGTCGCATAACCTCAAAATTAAAGACCATTTGGGCCATATTCATAAAAGATCTGTTCATTACAAGAACGTTTACTCACCGCGCAAACCTGAAGATCCCTTTCAAGATTTGAGTTATTATGTTAAAAACAAGAAAGACACTGTTTACAATAGGAATCCTGTGCAGGCATTACTGGTAAGGGCCGGTTTAGAACAGGTATTTCAGACTGGCAACATTGAAGTGATAAGAAGGTACGGCGCGAACTACAATCCTGCTGTGCCAAATCCGTTTTACTTTGGTATTGTGAGATCTGTAGCCGATGTATAGGGACAATAACGGCTTGCTTATTTGCTTCGTCTTACGGTTTAGGTATTATAGATATATGTATGTAATATATTTTTATAATACTTTATGTATGCTAAAAAATATCAAGTGATACTTTTTGCTCAATTGATTTGTCTTTAAATTGCTAAGAAATTATTTTCCATTCGGTAATTTATGCGTGTTACCAGTCCCACGCTTTACCAGTCTGGAGTGTAACAAAAAATATCGAAGTGGTTTATACACTAAAATACCTTTTTGCAAATTGAATTTTTGAGTTAAACATGTTCCCATTTATTATTATATTATGCAGTTTGTCCAAAATGTATATAAATTTTTTATTTATATTATTTTGACTGATGGCAACGAATTGGTATTTCCTAGCTAGTTGTATCTTTTAAGTAATAAAAAAGGATATATTTGTGAGTAAAAATTTTAAAAGAAAACCAATTGTTTTATTACAAGAAAAATATATTCATATTTCAGTTAAAATAACACGGTCCTTCCTTACTAATACAATTGATATTACAAAAAAAAAAATACAACGCATTTGACAGCTGTCAAACGTGACAGATGAATGGCGGCACGTAACCTTGCACTGCGGAGAAAATAACAATGCTATAAACTTAGAAAAATCAACGACGCTAGGTGGAGTTATTGTACTATTAGGGATCCGTGGGAAGGGATGCGAACCCTTGCGGTATGACATTAAAGTGTGTAAATTTATTAGTTTGATTGTGTAAAAGAAAACTTTGTAGAAGTCCCGTTGTCCAGTTACATATTCATCATCATCATCATCATCATCAACGCAGTTATATATGCAGGTATAAATTTCTTCTCTCATTACTATACACAATCAAACATAAATTTCACAATAAAACAACAATGCAGTACAAGGCTACGCGAGTACGCAGCGGCAAATATACGCAGCGAATTTAACATTGATCTGTGACTGCATACAATGAAATGTCGATCGTTTGAACACATTTATATATAAATAAATAGAAGGTAGTAGATTTGCTGTTTCCCAAACTTTGTTTTTGGCGGATGCACTTTGTGCCGTGCCATAAGTAAAAAAAAAAAGGTAGTTGATTGATTGACTGACTGACTGACTGACAGCACAGAAGTAACCGCTGAATCTAATCTGTACCTAAATCTCTGTTTCTTATTTTATATTTTATAGTATATACTTAAACTTATATAATTATTGTGTAAATACAGATAAATTTTGAATAAAAAAATAACTTAGATTTGGAACAGCTGTTTATGTGATATTATATTTGCTAAGTATATTCTATCACGATTAACACATCATTAGTTGCGTTCACAGCACAATACAGATGATGCAAGCTAACATATTATTATGATAGAGAACTTAATTATAACTACATGTAACACTATTATTGTCAAATTTCGTATATTGCTTTTCATATAATACTTTTACGTCCATTTAAAAGGCACACTGACATTTGAGAAACATTATGTTTGATTTGAAATAAAACATATAATTCAAATCAGTCAAAATTGTATATTAAAAGCGTAATATATAAAATATAAAAATCTACAAATTATAATAAATATAAAAGCTACATAATTTTGTATAAGGGAACATAAAACGTCTTTTATAAGGCACTAACAGGCATGTGTTTTAATCTATACATTTTATATAATATAAAGCAAAAATACCAAAAATAATGCATTCCGTTCAGTAAATTAAAAAAATAAAAACACTATACTCGTTCTAATTACTGTTTTTTTTTTTTTTTTATTTGTAAATATGATAATCGTGATAATTGTGATAAAATATACAATGGTTGAAAAATATATATACTGTTTTACAAATATGAAATAATAAAGCATCAGTTTCTCAATGTCTGCGATATGTCTGGTCCCCGAATGTCTTAAACCAATAGTTTGTGACTGTCAACACATCAACAGGAATGTATCGCTTATATACTAAAAGTAAATACTTATACAATGAGTAAAAAGTGTAAACCGACCAACCGTCATAACGCTGTACGAACAGTGCGAATTGCGTGAGAAATATATAGAAAAATACACACTTACTACAATGCCCACATTTCGCCGAGCATGTTAGAATTTACTAGTAAATCATTAAATAGAAGATTTATAAATCAATATTAAAACTTATAATTGGTCGGTTAATAATGTATTTGATTAAAACATGTTCTGTAATGTATATAAATATCACAAACACATGTTAAAACTCGTAATTATCTAAAAAATAACAAATGAAACTGTAAATTTATAATATACCGAATAACGGTAAGTATATATAAAAGAAGGCACGATTTTAACAACTCCCCGACTTTACTCCGCCCGCCACTAGTATATATTGCAATATATATATATATATATATATATATATATATATATATATATATATACAAACTGGCAAATTTTGGTGCTACATTCTTATAGTTATGATATACAATTATAAACTGTGATACTATATTGTATATATTGTAAATAAAGTTCTAATTTCGCGTAATTCACAATTTGGTGCTATGCAGAAGCGTAAAATAGTTTTATAATATCACTATTTCTGTTTGTATCGTATTATTTTGTTGTGATAAACTAAAATTTTTAAAAACTGATATTTTCTAATTAGCTCAGGCGCCTCAAATGCAAATAAGAGACAAAAACACAAAATGACTTACGCGAAATTAGAACCAAATAACGATATTACTTTACCGTGATCATGTATACAAAGACATTATTACTCTGATAAGAAAACAATGTTCAATCAACAAGAATCATTAAGAAATACACAATGTACTTTGAAATAAGTATTTTTATAGTAAATCCCGTATTACGAATGACCGATTTGCTTATTAGAAATTGCGATTTAATATTAAAAATACAGGTTGAAATCATTGGGCGTATTAAAAATTAAGAAAGTAACCGAGTACATTAGAACTAGAATGAAATGTCAAGCGATGAGCCGTCCCTGTTTGGGGACACAAATTTAATGTGCATAATTTTTCTTTAACTTATTTATTTTATACATAAAAATTACTTTTAATTTATTTCAAAAAAACTATTGAGTTTAATCTGGAATGTCCTAAAAAGTTAGTCTGGAATGTTCAATGAACAATTTAGTTTAGTGTGGAATGTCCAAAAAGTATTAAATTTAGTTCGGAACCTCCGAAAACTACTAAGTTTAGTTTAGAATGTCCAAAAACTACCAAGTTTAGTTTGGGATGTCCAAAAACTACCAAGTTTAGTTTAGGATGTCCAAAAACTACCAAGTTTAGTTTGGAATGTCCAGAAACTAGCAAGTTTATTCTAAAACTTCCGAAAACTTTAAAGTTTAGTCTGGAATGTCCAAAAAGAATTTAATTTAGTTTGGAATGCCCAATAACCTATCGAGATTTTACTGGAATACGATCTATTCGTTTGGAATATCCATAAATAATAGAGTTTAGTCTGGAATGTCTAAAAATAATTGAGCTACGTCTGGAATATCAAAAATTTCGGTCCTAATGTATCCACTAGGGTATTCTTTATTTCAATACACCCAACAACCTCATTTTCGCCCTGTATATTATCAACATATTAAATTTAGGGGATAAAAACATCCCGTTCTGCTTAAGACTATTATTATTGGCTTAACATAATTACATGTGACTCTGCGGCCGTTTCTTCCGACTGAAGAGGCCGCCGAACACGCCCTTCTTGTCTTTCTTCTCTTTCGTAACACCACTCACGGACAACTCGGACTCGCCTGAGGACCTGTAGAGGAAATTTGCCTATAGAAATACCTAGCGGAGTTATACTGGGAGATATGTTCGGGGAGGAATGAGTAGCATTTTAAATTATTTATTTCATTTATTTACACTTAATTACACCAGTTCCAAATAATAATAAATTTGCTTGGCCACCTCCGCTCCATTCGTGTTTCAACCGTGAAGCAGTTGTGTTTGCATAACTGTGTTTCGGTTTGAAGGTTGAGATATGGCAGTAAATTTACACGGTACAGAGGAATAACACCTGAGTCCTAGGAAATGGCAACGCATGGGGGGTATCATGAGCGAAACAGTATACTCGTACTTTGTTACGTACATGGTACTGTTCATGTCTATAGGCGACGGTTACCCCTTTCCATCAGGTGGGTCGTCAGATTGTTTGCCATTCTAAATTGCATTTTTTTTAATTGTCTTACCTGGATGCTGGTCTCTGGTCGAGCGCGGGCGAGCCGCCGCTGCCGGCGATTGACGCTGGCCGCGTGCCACTGTTGTTAGCGTACGCTGCTGAATTGAAAGCTAAGCTTTAGAATTCTTACGTCATTTAGAATTATTCAACTAATTTAGAATTTTAAATACACTATTGGGACTTAACGCGATAGAAAATGTTTTGTCCTGTCGTGACCACGACGTGGTGCAATCCACATCGAAACGTCGGCAATGAAGAAGTAGGTATGTAGGTACTATTTACTTGTAAACATTTTTGGTTGCGTTAAGTCCCGATTGTGTATTTAAAATATGTGTAAACAACACGAAAATTAAAAATTAAATAAATTAAATTTTGGTACATTTGAATGATTCTAAATGCAGCAAAGTGATGCAAAAATTAATTGGAAGGGGTTTGAGCTTGGTCGTAGCTGGGGGGAGGGGATCATTGAAGGACAATGCCCTACCTTAAAATGAAAGGCCACAAGAAAATTTGACAGATTTGTTTTTTCGAAGTCTTTCGAAGAATTATGACTTCTGTCCTACCAAATAGTTCTTTTGCCCTATCTTAAACTTGGATCTAGCTACGGCCCTGGCTTTGTGGACTTGCGTACAGACTTGTTGACGTCGTATTTCTTTTGTAGTATCTACTGATCATATTATTTCTATTTTAAACACAATTTTTTTATCTTTTTTTTTTTTTTTTTTTTTGAGGTGTAGAGATATTTGAAAATAGAATTCTATAATAATCGTCATTTAACAAAGAACTCAAAAATTATATTTAAATACAAAAATTGTACTCTTTCTCACTTTTTGTTGTAAATAAATATTATTATTATATCTTTTAAAATATATCATTATTATGAATAAAAGATCATTTAAAATAACGCCAACTTCACCCAAACCCCTTTAGAAAAGGAACAAAATAGACTGTACGATTTTATTTACTTTGCGTAATTTAGAAATCATTCATTTTGCATTTATTATCTAAAAAAAAAAATTAAAACTATTCGTATACTAATATCTACATAAATCCCACACACCAAACCACTAAAAAGCGACAGGACACAATAAAAAAAAAAATAAGCAAACGATACAAACATAACCATTCTCATTATATTTAATAATATACAATTCTTAGATTATATAGACAGAGCATCGAGCCTCAAAAACGGGTCAACTTTTCGTCAGCTAATTGTCAAGTTGGCTGACTCGTTTCCTTACCAGTGTTCTATATACTTACGCACACAATGCACCTTGACGTATCTATATTTAATTGTTTAATAAACAAAATTAGTTTTTACGCATTAAAAAGATGCAGAAATTATAAGACAAAATAAATATAGAAGTTATAAAGGAATCATTCATAACTATTTATCACGCAAAATTCTATAGAAAAGTTGACCCACTTTTCTCGAAGCATTTGTATGGCATAAGACACTCTATCTAATATATATATATATTCAAGCATACAATATAAAAGCACATCAAACAACTGCAGAATAACTACACAATAAAATAAGCTGAAAGGAATAGTACAAACTAAATATATCCAAATAATAGTAGAATTACAAGGAAGAAAGAATATTCCATTGCATTAAAGATACTTTTATATTTTTAACATATGTTACTATAGTGTACATTATGGGTGGGAAATATATAGCAATATCTATAAATTTTAGTTACAATATCTATATACTTGGTCCAATAACGAATACGTTTAAAGTCTGTTATCCAAAAAATCATATTTAGATAACAGACTTTTAATATATTCGAAAATAGATATCCGACCGATATGGGCGATATCGAAATGTGTGATGACCATTTTCCCGCCATCAGTGTGCAGAGGAATCCGATATATAGATATTGGATCGGTATCCATATATCCACGTCTAATGTGCTTTTAAAAAAAAATCACACATTCTCATTATGCCAATGAAAAGACAGAGGAAAAAAAAATGGAAATTATTCGATTATTTTGTAATTTTATTTTTATATTTATCGAAATATAAAAGTATCTTTGAATTGATTTGAAATAAAAGTCCTTTTAAGAGAGAAATATTAACCAACTAATAAAAAGGAGTTTATAATATGATTATTTATGATTGGCATTGATAAATATTATATTTATATTCTTCTTCTTTGCAATAAAGCTTTATAAAACACACACATAAACAAGCGAAGCCACAAAACAATATATAGCGACAGTAAACACATATAAATAATACAGAGTCGTACACTGGACCCGGTGTAACACGTATAGTAGGTGGCTCGATCCTGAGCGCGCCATAAATAAGATAATTCGACGATTAAAAATTTAGAATTCTTAATTTAAAATTCTTAATAACATTATACCTATTACAAGCAGGAAAAGAAATATATATAAATGGCGGTGAAATAATTGGCGTATAGTATAAACACATGGTCTATTTTGTAATCACGTTTAAGTTGAAACTCAAAACCAAACAAAACCAAGATGGGATATACAGATTTTTTTAATATTATATATTTCTGCTTTTGGTAAAGTGAGGCTGAGAGTAGATTATTTCAAAGATTAATTGTCAAATAACACTGGGACCAATTCTATTTATTATATTTAGTGATAGATTTAGAGAAATTGCGCCTTAAAATCGACCTCTTTAGAAAAAATATTTACTCAATAGACAAAATAGACATGTGATTACACATTTATCATAAATTATAAAATTGCCAATTAAAAAATACGAAGGTTTCTTTTATTTAAATAAAAATATATTTAAATGCTATAACTTTCAAGGTATGGAGCAAAATTTGAAGAAAGAAAGAGCTTAAGTATAGAAAGCTGAGCATTTTCTGTCAAAACAGAGGATTCCCACACGAATACAAGGTAATATATTTTAAAACATTTACAGACAATGTAACAAAGAATGAGTATTTGAAATAATATCATAAATTTACTAAGTACATTTAGAATTCTAAATATTTCCCTTTTACAGTTACATAATTCTAAATTTAATTTAGAATTCAATGACTACAATATAACAAAGTATAAGTACTTTAAATAAAAACATAGAAAATACATTTAGAATTCTGAATATTCCCCTTTTAGTTCCATAATTCTAAATTTAATTTAGAATTCCATGACTAAATTAGTTTCCAACTGTTTTCGTGTGAGAAACTCTTCACAAATTGGGCTGTCGTTATACAGTAAAATAAAAGTACAGATTGTAGCGGTAGTACGTAATAACATTTGAAATGATTTGATGATTCTTTTTTTAAATGAACGAGTCGAAATTGAAGTAGATATATTTGAAAATCTAGAATTTTCTACGTATATAAATTGCTAGAAGATTATTAATAAGGGATTTCTATGCAAAGAACCAAGCTAAGCTGATCAATTCTTCTAGGTCAATAATCACAGACTAAAGAACTACCAGTGTTCCAATGGACATGCGTCCCGATGGCGTCATATAATCGTTTGGTACATATCAAATGCGTTGGGTCACTGGTCGTTTTTTACACTGTGGTATCGGTACTGTAGAAATATAAAAGTTTTTACTTAATATCTTCACGACTGTAACCTCTAACGGGGTAGTCAGAGTCTTCTGTCGATGTTGCTGTTGTGTCTGTCCACTGCTGAACATAGGCCTTTTCCTATTGGGTGATTTTGCCTGTAGTTGCCACGCTTGGCAGGCGGGTTGGCAACCGCAGTTAGGCTTAGTGACGTTTTAAGAGGGACGCTGCTACCCACCCCTCGACCGTTAAGTTCCCTTAGTCGCCTTATACAACACCCACGGGATAGGAAATGGTCCATTCTATGCCGGGACCACACGGCAATTTAAATAATAATACAGAGTGAAAATGAGATGGTTAGCAGTTGGTAAAATTAAAAACCTACCTATACTGAAAATGGCAGGTCATACATGAATGACGTATGTATGGGACATTCAAAACTTTGTGCTTTTCATTCAACATGTACAATTTAAATTCAATTAGTAATATTATTTAGGATTTAAATACTACTAAATTTAGATTTAAATAATATGTATGTATATGTGTATGTATGTGTATGTGTGTGTATGTATGTATGTATGTATGTATATATATATATATATATATATATATATAATGAGTAGGGATAATATTTATATTATTATATGTATCACATCTCCATATTTAGAACTAACAAAATTTTTCATCGTGCCTCCCACCAAATTGTTTAGAATTACTCCTCTCCATCCAGAGGTTGGCTGGAAGAGATCGCTCTTAGCGATAAGGTCGCCCATTGTTCTCTCATTGTGATTATTTCTTGTAATTATTTATATTTATAATAAGTTTACTATTGTAATCTTTTGGAGGAAACAATAAAGAGTATCTATCTACTACACTACGCGTCCAAATAGTGAGTACTTTATGTTTTCAAGGCCGGGGATATGGTGCAGACGAGTGGGGAAAATTATTACATTTCTGATGCGACTTCAAAAAGAAGCAGATTCTCATTTCAGTTGTATTTTTTTACAGTTTGTCGCCTCATAACACCATCGTTCGATTTAAAAAAATTCTAATTCTTAAATCTTAATTTTATTTGACCCACATTTTTATAGATAATTTAAGATTTTCATAAAAAAAAACTGACTTTAATCGTGGCCAAACCAGTTATTTTTATTTCAAAACTAAACCACTGAACCGTTTTTGATAAAATTTCTACACGACCAATCTGTAAGTATACACTTTCGGATAAAAAAAGAATTAACCAAATCGGTTCACAACTGACTGAGTAATGAGGTGACAAACGTAAAGACAACCGAACTGACAGCCTCTTTTGGAAGTCAATTGAAAATGTTTAATTTCACTGGTAGAATTTCAAAGGACGCCGTCTAATACTGATCTCACCCTGTATTTTGTAAAATCTAGAATGTTCTACAAGGATTAATTGCTAGAAGAGTATTAATAAGAGAGTAAATAACACGCGAAGAAGGAAACCAAGCTAAGCTGAAAGCGTCAACTCTGACTGACCAAGTTCGCTTGCGGTATAAAAATGCGATGTAGTCTCCACATTCTGCCAGTTATTGTTCGGCCTCTCGGTGTACGTGTTCCTGTTACCGTCTCTCCCTTGGTAACTAGTGGTCATCCTTTGCTGGTAGCTGTTCACCAGGGCCGTTACCGACTGCTTCTCGGGCTGCGAACGGTCGTAGCCTCTCTCTGATATGGACTGGCCTCGTTCCGTCCCATGTCTTTCGGTGATGGACTGCATTCGCTCCGTAATAGATTGTCCTCGATCAGATATTGTCTGGCCTCTTTCGGAGATGGAGTGTCCTCGATCGGAGATCGACTGGCCTCTTTCGGAATTGGAGTGTCCACGATCGGAGATCGACTGGCCTCTTTCGGAATTGGAGTGGCCTCTTTCGAGAACGGGTTTGCCTCTTTCGGTTGAGTGGCCTCGTTCAGTGGGCGCCCGTTCTGGTAGCGCCGGGGCGCGTTCCGGTACTGATGGGCGGTCCGGTATAGCGGGGGCGCGATCTGGCGGCCCGGACGAAGGTAATGGCGGTGCTTCGTTGGCGGCTAGTTGGGGATTTAATATTTTGAAACTGTGTTTATGTGATTTATATATTTTACATATTTATTTATACGTATAGTGTAAAAATACTATTTCTGGACCATTTTTTTTTTTATTTTACATACATTTTTTCCATTTTTTTTTGCATTTTAAGAATTCCTTATTTCTTCCAAATATACTATTTAATAATACATAAATCACACAGACATACGTTTAGTTGAACAGAACAATAACTAATTCTGTATGTACATTTGGAACCGAGTCTCATGCGGACAATACAAACATACAAGCGACTTCACAAACATGCATGCGTACATGGAACGGATCAATTTTATAATTTCACATCCTTATTCATTCATTCGTTCACTTAATTTTATCATTATTTAATGAATAAGATCTCAGGACAAGTATCCAACTTGCTTGTTTTTTATACTACTATGCTGGCAAAGAAGCATACGGCCCGTCTGATGGTGAACGGGGTTACCGTAGCCTATGAACGTCTGCAGTACTAGAAATGTCACGTGCGCGTTACCGATCCTGAAGATACCTTAATATAACTTTTTTGAAGAACCCCATGCTGTGGTCTGTAGGGAAAATCTCAAAAAAAATATATTTATATATATATATATATATATGTATATATATTTTTGAATTTCAATTAGAAACCGATATTGATGATTCTCTATTCACAATCGTCATTCTAAATGCCTAAATTGCTGGTAGAAGACTAAAACGGTGTTTAAAAACAACAAAAAAAAAAAATTACCTGCCTATTGTTAAGAAAAAAAAAACGAAAATTAATCACAGATTAGAAATAATTTCAAACATTTTTTAATTGTATTTTTTTTTTATAAATCTACTGTCAGTAGTAACAGTTCGGAGTGCAAATTTATCTGAGAACGACGGACGAGACGCGAGGAAGACAGCTGTTGCTTTTTTTTTTACAAATAAAGTTAATTTTACAATTGCTTCGTGTCAATACAGTCTAGAGCAATGTTTCCCAACCATTTTTTGTGCCATGCCCCACTTGGATCTTTCTAAAATTTTTATGTCCCCGCACATAATTTTTCCCGACAAAGTTTACTTGACGACTCTAATCGCCCAGTTGATATTTTGGTAACGTCAAACGAAATTGTACCTAATAAATATTTACAGCATTTTTTTATAAACTTTTTTTTGTTAAATTTGTCACCGATTGCATTTAAATGGCCCGGAGCAAGAGGGTTAAAATCACTGAGTCCATTTTTTAATTCCCCCCCCCCCCCTTAACTATCAAATTCCTGAGGGGCGCGGGCCCCACGTTGGGAAATACCGCTCTAGAGTGATTTTTGTTGCATGTTGTTAAGAGAGCGCCTGGCTGAGGACCAGCGCTGTGCAGCTGTACACGCTGCACTGGGACACTGACAGCATCAGCCGAGCCAGTTCCTCTTGCCTGATACGGGACACTACCTACATATGTACTATTTTCTGTATTTTCTACTGTAATTATGTGTTTTTCTGACAATAAATCTATTCGCCTAGTTTATGAGTAAATACTAACCGTCCTTCTGCGAGCGTATGAACTCTATGCTGAGGTCGCGTCCGTTGGAGAACCGCGAGCGGCCCCAGCCACCGGCCGGCTCCGAGTTCCTGCACACGTGAGGGAATCGTCAGAAAAAGGGTCTGTCATCCCCCTGAAGGGGGGGGGGGGAGGGAGATGTGATTGTTAATTTTTTTTATACAACTTAGAATGGCAAACAAGCTGACGACCCACCTTATGGAAAGTCCGTCGCCTATAGACATGAGCAGTACTATGGACATAACAGAGTATACTGTTTCGCCCATGATACCCCTTATGCGTTGCCATTCCTGACGACTCAGGTGTTATTCCTCCGTACCCAGTAAATTCACTGCCCCATCTCATATCCCAACCTTCAAACCGAAACACAGCCATGCAAGCACAACTGCATCACGGTAGAAACACGAATGGGACAGAGGTGGCCAAGCAAACGACTTTTGCACAAAGTCTCCCTATGGTTACAACCCTGTTAGATCGACCTATACGTGGTCCCTCCTGGGTACCAACATCCTGAATTTTAGATGTATTAATCACGATGGACCAACAGACCTGTCTTCTCATCCTCACCTATCACCACTTAAATATTATAATTTGTATATTTATAGAGGACGGTTACCACTTACCAACAGGCGGGCCGTCTGCTTAACCTACAATAACGTCTAAGTTACCTTAATTCCAAGTTGCATAAAAATGACAATAGTGTAGACGGTACCTGAGTATCACGTCGGTGGCGTCCTCTTGCGACGATTGCCGCGGCGGCAGCGAGGGCAGCACCGTCGACTCTGTACAAATAAAAAAAAATCACAGTTGGTCACTTTTTTACTACCATCTTATTAATAAAAACTGAAGCCTCCTACAAATCTGTTTGAACTATTAAATTGCCTTCTTTTTTTTACAACACAGGGGGCAAACGAGCACGCGGCTCACCTGATGGTAAGTGACTACCGCCGCCCATGGTCACCCACAACACCAGCGGCATTGCAGGTGTGCTGCCGGCCTTATAAAAGGGAATATGCTCTTTCATGTTTCTGCTATTCTGCATTCGTGTTTCTACCGTGAAGCAGTTGTGTTTGCATGGCTGTGTTTCGGTTTGAAGGGTGGAATATGGCGTGAATTTACAGGGTACAGAGGAATAACACCTGAGTCCTCAGGAATGGCAACGCATGTGGGGTATCATGGGCGAAACAGTATACTCTGTTATGTCCATGGTATTGGTCATGTCTATGGGCGACCGTTACCACTTTCCATCAGGTGGGCCGTAAGCTTGTTTGCCATTCTAAGTTGTATAAAAGAAAGTAACTTCATTTCAGTTCCAGCGTTAAGAGTCAAAGTAACTCACCTATATTCCTGTCGTTCCTCTCTGGAGTGGTGCTCGCCCGTTTCTGACTATTCCTATGCTCTTGTAATATTTCCGTTTGGGTGCGCGGCTTGCGTCGAGGTTCCGGTGTGGACTCCGTCGATGATGATGATGACGCGTTCCTGGGGATTCAGAATGGTATGCAACCATGAGATGCAATTGAAATTAAAATATTTTGATTTTTGTGGAAGAAACCATTATGTTGATTTTTTTTTTATATCAACTACAGTGCATGTGGTAGTTGCTCAGGTATTAGATCAAGTTTATGGAATTAGTTTTTCTATATTGTAGATTTTTTCTAAGAAACTGTTTATAGTAAAACATTACATACGTTATTTTTTTAAGCTTCGGTGAGTTATGTTGTTTAAAATGATTGTCATTCTGTGTTTCGGAGTGTACATGCTCCCATACAAGTCATTGTGCAGTCAGCCACATCAGAAGCCTTTATGTATAAGAAAGGCGGTCTGGAGACTTGTCGCAACTCATGAGAGGTACCATGAGTATCACAGTGTATTCCGAGGATTACCACTTTCTATCAGGTGGACTGCTAACTTGTTTATCTTTATTTTTTATAAACTTACTCGTGAAGCCGCCTCTTCAACTCAGCAGTGGGAGACTCTGAGGCTGGTGAGTATGGAGTTAGCTGCAGCTCCGGCGGCAGCTGCGCGTGGAAGGCCAGCTTGGCCACCCACTCGTCCATCAGCTCCTTGCTGCTGCAGGCGAACAGGTACTCCGCCCCGTCAGCGCACACCAGCCGGAACACGTTCGCGCGCTTCGTGTAATCACTGGCTCTTTCGCAGCGAGCCTGTACATTAAAAAAAAAACATATTGTTACCCTTAACGTGGTAAATTAACTATTACAATATTTTCTCCCTTTCTTTCAACTTGAAAATTGGTGACAATGGAATGGTAACCCCGCCTGCGCTATCGGTATATACCGGCGGGGCACCAGTGAGGGATGATAGGTGAGGATGAAAGCTGGGTAATTAGCCCACTATGACGGATTTACCAGTCGAGGGATGGCCAGCAGCGTTCTTCTTAAAACATCCAAACCTAACTGCGGTTACCAACCTGCCTGGTAAGCGTAGTCAGCTACCAGCAATATCCTTCTTACGGAGGAGGCCTATGCCCAGCAGTGGACGGCTAACGTCTCATATTACAACGACAACTTGATAGGCAATTAATTGATAGATGTTAGACCAGTACGGAAACAGTCTAGGACCCCCCCCCCCCACCACCCCACCTCTACTAGATGGGGTGACGACCTCACATGCAACAAATGCATTGCAGGGAATCAGTGGATGTAGGTGGTTCAGGACCTTTCCTTATGGCAGTCTATGGGGGAGGCTTATGTCCAGCAGTGGACGGATAATGGTTGATATGAGATGAAGATGAGAACCCATTACTCACTTCCTCCGCATCATTCTCCACAAAAATATTATCTCTGTACCCTGTAAATTCACTGCCATATCCCACCCTTCAAACCGAAACACAGCCATGCAAACACAACTGCTTCACGGTTGAAACACGAAGGGGACAGAGGTGGCCAAGCAGAACAGCTTTTTGCAGTCTCCCTTTGGTCATTTCAAATTAAAAAAAAAAATGAAAGCGCAACTTACGTTGAGTATGGCGACTGGTGGGGCGGTGGCCTTGGCGTTGGCGAAGTCGGTCTCGTCCTTGAAGAAACAGAGCAGCTGTCCGCACAGCACCGAGTAGTAGCCGCGCCACGACCGCACCGTCGCTCGCTTGCCGCCGCAGCCTGCCTCCTGCTTGCGCTCCAGGTAGCCTGTCAGGGAGAAACCAAGCATATACTCTTCCACCATTCAGGCTATCGAGCACTGAAATGCTTCAGCCTTTGGCATTAGCGACTTGGAACTACTTCATACAGTTACGCTGCAGTACTGTCCACTGCTGTACATAGGCCTTCCTCAACAGGGAGGGTTTTGCAAGTAGTTGCCACGCATGGCAGGCGGGTTGGCAACCGCAGTTTGGCTTTTAGAGATGTTTTAAAAGGGACGCTGCTACCCATCCCTCGCCCTCCCTTAGTCGCCTCTTACGACACTCACGGAAAAGGAAGGGATGGCCTATTCTATGCCGGGACCACACGAAACCATAACGGGTTAATAACCTTACTTCCTAATCCATTATCATAAATGTGCAAATTTGGTTGTTCATTATCTCTTAGCACCTTAGCTAAACCAATCACTATAGGGGGGAAAGGGATTGTTAGTAATGGGGTCTAATTGACCCATGGCCAGCAATATACTCTGTCAGGTCGAACTCTACGCGGTTCCGCCTGGAAACCATCGTAGTTAACCGTAGTGGAATTCGTCACGATGGGCTAACTGCCCTGTTTTCATCCTCGCCTATCATCTATCACTGGTACCTCACCAGCGTATACCGATAGCGTGACGGAGTTACCATTTCACTATGAAATTTGATATGCAAGATATAAAATGGTCTCGGCAAAGAATGGGCCACCTCTTCCTTTCCCGTAGGTATCGAAGGAGGCGACTAAGGGAACTCAATGATACAGAGATACAGCAGCGTCCCTCTTGAAAGATCACCAAAGCTTAATTGCAGTTGCCAACTCGGCTGCCAAGTGTGGTAACTCCTGGCAAAGCTCTCCTTTTAGAAGAGGCCTATATTCAGCAGTGGGCTCTTAACGACTGATATGGTGATGTCAGTGTGTAATCATGGGGAGGAGCTTGGGAGTAAGATTTAGTTAACAAACAATGCTTGCCTTCTATTTCAACGGGCGGCAGCTTGTCGACGTCGGCGCGGTGCCGCCTGAAGCTCTGCGTGCGGCGCCGGGTCGTGAACGACGGCGTCCGCTTCGGGGTCTTCATCACCTGCGAGCGAAACCAGCTTTCAACTTGCAACATACGTTGTTTACTAAAGAGGATGGACATCGGGCAGGCGGCTGGTCGTGAAACCAAAATTTATCTTTTTGGATCTATCTATCTATCCTATTTAAGAGCTGCTCCCTTGTCGGTGGAGCTCTTGCCACTCACTACGATTGTCAGCGAGCCTCTTCACCTCTTGATACGACACGACACCTACTCCTTCCTTGATCTGCCTGCTGTAACTATGCCTCGGCCTCCCTCTCCCCCTCCTTCCTTCTATCTTACCTTCTATTATAATGTTCACAAGTTCGTCTTGTCGTATCAAGTGTCCCAACATTTTCTCCCTTCTATCCTCAATAGTTCTTATAATTTGTCTCTTTTCCTTAACTCTAAGTTTAAGTTTATTTATTATTTCTTATTGCAATATTTTTACATGGAAGCGAAAGGGATTGTTAGCAATGGAGTTTGACAGCCCTATTGCTAAGTCGACCTCAACATGGCTCCCCCTAGAAACCGTCGTGAACAATTCTTGTTGAATTCGTCACGATGAGCTAACTGACCTGCTTTCACCCTCACCTATCATCCTTCACTGGTGCTCCGCCAGCGTATCCCGTTAGCGCAGGCGGGGTTACCATACCATTTTCACCCATACAAAAAAAAAAACAAAAAAAAAGGAATGGGGACCCCTGTGTTAAGCGATGGTGACGGGTGATGATGACGAGGTACTCACGCTCATGCTCTCGGCGCGCTTCACCTCGTGCTTGGGCAGGCGGTCGAACTGCGGCGCCGGCGACAGCGTCTCGGGCGACGGCGGCGCCGCGCCGCGCTCCGCCTGCACGGGAACAACCATCACAATCGGCACACAGTTTTACATTACATCTTTTTTCAAAATTAATACCAATAACAAAAAATAAAAAAGGTTAAGAAGTCCCTTCAGGGTCGGCAAAGCGCGTGAAATGTCCGTACTAATGCAGGCGTTACATAGGTTACGGTGACCGCTCACCATCAGGCGGGCCGTATGCTTGTTTGCCACCTCAGTGGTATTAAAAAACTTAAAAAATTTTAAAGTGGCGTACATACGACGTATCAGAATGAAACATACACCAGGTTTTAAGCTAAACTTTTACAGAAACTTAGGTGAGGCATTGTCAGACAATCAACTGTGAAAACTGCATTCAATTTGCAGTAGATTTCGCTTGGTATCCAAACAAACATACAGAGAGACAAAACTTCTAAAAATTCGACTTCATTTACTCGTGTTACGAGCCGTGACATCATCTCTTAGCTCTCCCCTCCTGGCCTGAAGGCCGTACCTCCGGCGGGTGTCCAGGCGGCGCCTCCCGCCGCCGCTGCTCGGCCAGCCTCTCCACCTCGCGGCGCCGCACCAGCTCCAGTCTCTCCGCCTCCTGCCGCTCGGCCGACCGCTTCCGCGCCTCCGCTTCTTCGTCCTTCTGGTCCTTGAACGCCTTCTCCACCTGCCCGATAACATTTTAAATGTAATCTTTTGGAGTGGGGGGAAAGGGATTGTTAGTAATGGGCTCTAACTGACCCATTGCTAAGTATACACCCTATCAGGTCCACCTCCACGTGGTTCCCTCTGGAAACCATTTTGGTAAATTTTAATGCAATTCGTCACGGTGGGCCAACTGACCTGCTTTCATCCTCACCTATCACCCCTCACTGGTGCCCCGCCAGCATATACCGATAGCGTAGGCGGGGTTACCATTTTATTATCATTTATTAAAAAAAATCTTTTGGAGCCATTTAGTAAAGAGAGAGGCACAAAAAACCAAATTAAGCCGTGTGGCAGAAGTAAACTCGCATCCTGCGATGTTGGATTCTAACATGCTCAGCAAAATGTAGGTAAGTTAAATATTTCGTTCACCACAACAGCCGACAGATGGCTCTGACTGAAGGAGAAGGAATGGTAGCTAGCAATATAACATGTGAAGTATTTCCTTCACACGATGTCTGAAGGTAACTATCCTGGTTAATTTCTGGTGAACTCACCAAGATAGGCCAACTGACCTGCTTTCATCCTCACCTTAACCAGCAGTGGACAGCTAATGGCTAATACAACATATGGTAGAGTTATTACTTAAACTCTTTCCATCCTGAGGGTCAGGAGATGCGTGCTGCCTCCGGCATTCAGCGGCCATCAGCCTTATTAATCGCCGCATACTCACAAGTGTGATCCGCTTGAGGGCGTTGAACTTGTCCTTCTGCGACTCGATGGTCTCCTCGAGGTCGCGGTGCTTGTTGATCAGCTCCTCCACCTGCGACACGCTGTCGCCGTACTTGCCGTCGCGCACCAGCGGCACCCTGCGGCGGAATGAGGAATTACAGGTAAAAAATACAAGAATCCGGCTCAAAGGACCAATAAAATAAATTACCAATAGAAGCGAATTGTATATGAAAATTTTTTTTCTTCAATTATTATTATTCTTAGAAGAATATGGTTTTCGAGGTTTTCCCAAGAAACTACAGCATGGGGTTCTTCAAAAGGGGGGTAAAGAGGTTTCTTCAGGGTCGGCGACGCGCGCGTAATACCTCTGGTATTGCAGGTGTTCATAGGCTACGGTAACCACTTATCATCAGGTGTGCCGTATGCTTGTTTGCCACCTCAGTGGTATAAAAAAAAATCAGCTACAGGGACTTTCCTACTGCAACACTGCTAATAGTACTGTCTGGTCGACCTCCACGCAGTTCTAGAAATCATCATGGTTAATTCCTGGTGAATTGGTTATGATGAGCCAACTGCTCCAACTTCATCCTCACCTGTCATCGTCGGTGCCTCGCCAGCCTACACCAATAGCGCGGGAGGGGACACCATTCCATTATTATACTCATATAATACCCTTAAATACGGCGAAGAGACCCTAAAATAAAATACGTCTATATTATCCAGTTCTCTGAATTTCAAATCTGGAAAAACTGCGTTAGAATGTACTACATAGGCGATCTAGAAAATCCCGACTCCAGAGGGCGCTACCCTCACACGACTAGTCGTAGTGGTGGTAGCTGACCTGTTGGTAATCCAGGCGTCCAGTGCGTCCGCGTCCCGCTTGAAGACGAGCGCGTCTAGGTGTTGTTCGTAGATGGTGGCTCTTGCAGCCCAGGCCGAGTCCAGGGTCTGGCGGCGCGCGCGCAGCGTCGTCATGCGCTCCTCGATCTCCGACGACATGAAGTGGCCCTCGCGGACCAGCTTCTCGCCTGCGAGACCATGCATTGAATAACAGAACGAACAAGTTTGTTATTGAGTGAATAAATGAATGAAGGAAACTGATTCTTTAGATGCTGGCAACCCTCACTGGTGGCTATATTTCATACTTAACCACATGTTACCGTGAATATAAAAGAAGGGGTAGTTTACCCTTTGGTGTAAATTTTATTAAAAATCATAACAAGTTTACCAAATATATCAAAAGTTTTATTTATTCTCACCTGGCAACACTAGGCTTCGGATTTTAGACTAATAGAGAAAAAAATAGATGAACGAATAAATCCTATTAATAACTAATAATAATAATAATGAATAAATTCCATTCTATTCTAATATAGTAGCTCCATCTATTAGTGGTTCGTCGAACTCACTTCCGCGTCTGAAAAACCAACTCCAGGCGCATGCGTCGCGCGGACCAATTACAGATGGCGCCGCGTCTCTCACGCGCCGAAATGCTACCTCTAAACGTTAAACCTAACTTTGTTATTGGGATTTTATAATAAAAAAAACTATTTAAAGCAGTGTGCATGTTTTTCTAGAATCCCACGAAGCTAACCGAGTTAAAATATTATAAATACATACATACTAAAGATGGACAAATGGATGTTTCTTACTCTTTCAAGCAAAAACCACTGAAGAAACTTGAAAGAAGTTTGGTACATTTTTTTACAACACAGGTGGCAAACGAGCATGCGGCTCACCTGATGGTAAGTGACTACCGCCGCCCATGATCACCCACAACACCAGCGGCATTGCAGGTGTGCTGCCGGCCTTTTAAAAAGGAATATACTCTTTTCTTGAAGGTTATGTTGTCGTATCGGTTCGGAAATACTGCTGCTGGAAGTTGATTCCAAAGAGTGGTTGCGCGTGGAAGAAAGTGGAATGAGGTATGGGTTGTTTATATTGTAACATAGTACATAGAATACTTTATGAAACTGATTCACGCGAGCAAAGCCGCGGGATACAACTAGTGAGTGATTAAATCAGCCTTTCCCAAAGTGGGCGATAACGCCCCCTCGTGGGCGCTGCAGGCCTAAAGGGCGGTAGGAGACCCAGAAAAAAATGAGGGCGTCGTGTAGAAGCCGGGGAGGGGGGGGGGGGTTGTAATTAGAAGTAATAGTGATTTTTTATTAGGTGAAAAAATGGGGGCGCTAAATATTATAATTTATTCTCAAAGTGGGCAGTAGACAAAATAAGTTTGGGTACACCTGGATTAAATGAACGTATGAACAATACGTGAGCAGGCCATGGCCACGGGTACTCACCGTCGGCGTAGAGCGTGCGGAAGGCGTCGTCCTTGGCGAGGACCTCGACGTGCAGGTCGTGGTGGCGCGCCAGCAGCCGCTCGGCGCCCGCCACGTCCCGCGCCAGCTCGCCCGCCGTCACGCGCGCCACCATCTCGTTCGTCCACGCGCTGCACAGCACATGCATGCATCACAGTACGTCGACTCTACATCGACATCGCTAGCGAGGCCGCGAGACAGAATGAGACAACGACACCGGACCACTCATTCCAACTCACGGACTCGCTAGCGATGTCGAGTCCAGCGACGAATTCGCTTGCCACTTGTCTAGAACCCAGGCCCGCATGCCAACTACTGGCAAAACCCTCCTTATGGGGGGGGGGGGAAAGGGATTGTCAGTAATGGAGACTAAGAATCCCATTGCTAGCAATATATCCAACCAGGTCGACCTCCTTGCGATTCCCCCTGGAAACTATCATGGTTAATTCCTGATGAATTCATCATGATGGGCTAACTGGCCTGTTTTCATTCTCATCTATCACCCTTCACTGGTGCTCTGCTTGCGTATCCCGTTAGCGCAGGCGGGGTTACCATACCATTTTCACCAATAAAAAAAAAAAACTCCTTATGAGGGACGCTGTATCCAGCAATGGCTGACACAACAACTATTGAATGAATGAATGAATGGAAACTCTTTTATCGTTCCCTTCAAAGAACGATACAGATTCTAAAGATATGAACAATATGTACACAAACAAAATGGGTTAATTACATTACATAAAAGCAAGATAAAGAGGCAACAATAAGTTTCTTTTGTGCAACTTAGAATGGCAAACAAGCTGACGGCCCACCTGATGGAAAGTGGTAACCGTCGCCTATAGACATGAGCAGTACCGTGGACATAACAGGGCATAATGTTTCGCCCACGATACCCCGCATGCGTTGCCATTCCTGAGGACTCAGGTGTTATTCCTCTGTACCGTGTAAATTCACTGCCATATCGCACCCTTCAAACCGAAACACAGCCATGCAAACACAACTGCTTCACGGTAGAAACACGAATGGGACAGAGGTGCGATATGCGAATAATATTATGCCATATTTATCCTGCATGGCAAATGCGGGATCATTGATATAAACTCAAAATAAGAATGGCCCCAAAATAGACCCTTGAGGTACGCCCATTCCCACAAGCTATATATGAATGGCGGGAACGAGAGTTATGAATGGTGGATATGACAATGTATGTGTGTGCGTGTGTGTGTGTGTGACTCACAGCAGCTCCTGGTAGGTGCCGAAGTAGGCCTGCAGCTGCTCGGCCAGGTCGAGCTGCTGGTCGGCCTGGTCGGCTCGCTGCGTGAGCGCCTCCAGGGCCTCCGTCACGTCCTCCAGCTTCGCCGTCACGTGCTCCTTCGCGTCGGGGAACGCTTCGCCCAGGCTGACGAATAATTCACATGAGTATACTATTTATCGTGAAAGAAATACTTTTAAACAAGTAAACTTAAATTCTTATGAATCTACCGCCCTAGTCGAATATAGTTGAGCTTTCTTCGAGCTAATTTAACGTATTTTTATTTTTATTTTATTTTATACAAAAATCCACAGCTCTTAAAAAACAACTTAACATGCTAAGTCTCTTATGAATACTCGTACAGCCAATAACGGATTTTATTTATACAAACAAAAATTTTGATTCCAAAGCGAGGTAGGCAAGTTAGAATGGGCGTATGCAAGTAATACAAGTGCATGTATGAAAGAAACCATGTATGATAATGAGTGTCCATAAAGTTAGGTTAATTGATATACAAAATAATTAAAATCCATGTTGTTACAGTTCAAATATTGACGGCAATGATTAAGTAATACAAATTCATGGTCACCAATTGTAAACCGACAGTTATTTTTTTTTACAACACAGGGGGCAAACGAGTATACAACCACAACACCAGCGGCATTGCAGGTGTGCTGCCGGTCTTTTAAAAAGGAATATACTCTTTTCTTGGAGGTTACGATGTCGTATCGGTTCGGAAATACTGCTGCTGGAAGTTGATTCCAAAGAATGGTTGTGCGTGGAATAAAGTGCCTTGAAAAACGCACGGTGGACGATCGCCACTCATCCAGATGATTGGGATGAAACTTTAGTTTGTGAAGGGTTGTACGGTGGTGAAAATCAGCAGCAGGTATCAATCTGAACAATTCCTCAGAACACTCCCCATGATAAATTCGGTAGAAGATGCACAGAGATGCAACATCTCTGCGCAGTTTCAGTGGGTCAAGTCGAACAGTAAGGCGTTGACTATCAATAATTCGAGCCGCCCGACTTTGAATGCGGTCTAACGGAAGGAGTTGATACTGTGGCGCTCCTGCCCACAGGTGAGAACAGTATTCCATATGCGGCCTGACTTGAGCTTTATATAATTTCAGGCGGTGTTCCGGCATGAAATACCGTCTCACCCTATTCAGCACTCCTAACTTTTTGGAAGCTATCTTAGGCTTCTCCTCCAGATGACCCCAAAACTGGACGTCGGAAGATATATCAACGCCCAAAATTCCTAGACTCGATTTTTTATCAAGGGAAGTGCCCTGAAAGTGAGGAAATACGACAAACGGCATCTTTTTTGCGGTGAACGTGCAGACTTGTGTCTTCTTAGGGTTAAATTGGACAAGATTTTGTTCACCCCAAATCGAAACTTGATGGAGTGAAGTTTCGATTTCAGACACAAGTCTATTCCGGCACTCATCGGTATGTGCCCGCGAGACCTTTGCATGACCGGTATATAATGTATCTCCTGTACTGTCGTCTGCATAGCAATGAATATTACTGTTCTGTAACATATCATTGATATGCAGAAGAAACAGAGTCGGAGAGTACACAGCCTTGCGGGACACCAGCATTCACAGGTTTTAAATCAGAGCATGCTCCGTCGACTATGACCTTAATGCTACGTTCCTTGAGGAAACTGGCGACCCAAATGCACAGTCTCGCAGGCAACCCAAACGAAGGTAGCTTTGAAAGCAGTGCTCTATGCCACACTCGATCAAAGGCATTCGCAATATCCAGACCAACAGCTAAGGCTTCTCCCTTACTCTCGATTGTCACTGCCCATCGGTGTGTTAAGTAAGCTTAATGAAAGATCACAGGCCGAAAGTCCCTGTCGAAAACCGTACTGGCGATCACAGATCAGCCAGCGCTCTTCTAGGTACCGGAGCAGTTGACGGTCAATGATGGATTCCATAACCTTCGAGAAGTGATAGCTATGGGTCTATAGTTAGCCGGATCAGAGCGATCTCCCTTTTTAGGGATCGGATGTACCAGAGCAGTCTTCCAAAACTTTGGGACTATGCCCGATGAGTAGCAGAGCCGAAAAAGACGCGCAAGTATATAGTAATAATTTATCATAATTTTTGTGTGTTTATGAAACTACTAATAGTAAGATCTGCTCCCCAGTTCGGAATGCAATGTCAGGCCGAAAAGATTGGACAAGGAACTCAGCTGTTACTTTTTCAAGAAAGTTGAATTTTATAAACAATTTATTCTTTGAGCCGGTAACCGTCCACTGCTGACCATTGTTTCTAAATGAAATTTTCCCCTATTTAAATACACTATGGGGATGGCTTCTGTATGAATAAGACGACGTTTCGTTTTATTTTCTAATCCTATGTGGCATACCTGATCTGGCGTATCAAAATAATGATAGGGACAATAACGGGCTATTGTCCATTAAACAAACATTTATACACAATAGGAGCCACAGACAGCCCTCTATGTCGAGGCTGTTTCGACGCTGAAGAAACGGCTGCTCACGTAATCCTGGAATGTGAGGCTGTGGCCCATCAACGTTTAGAAATCCTCGGAACGGTGAGGTCGCTCCGTGAGGCCTGTGAAGATCCCAGGAAGCTTCTGCGCTTCTGGGCGGTGCTAGGTCGGCTGTACTAGCCACGATTCATACGCACAACGGCCTAAATGAGAGGCACATTTACAGAGTGGCGTACCTGGCGGCTTCCTGCTGCAGCGCGCGGTGCGCGGCGGCGATGGCGAGGAGGTCGGCCCGCAGCGCGCGCAGGCGGCGGCGCTGCGCGTGCAGCGCGTGCGGCGCCAGCAGCGGCGCGGGCCCGTCCGCGCGCCACAGCGCCTCCTTGCCGGCCACCCACGCCGCCGTCTCCTCCGCCGCGCGGTCGAACTCGTGCACGCGCCGCGCGCCCGCCAGCGCCTGCGCACACCCACCACTCGCGCACGTCACCACCATCCGGCTCCACGGACCAAACTTATTATCCTCATCCTACTCGGCTACTTACTGCATTTTACTCATATTTGTAAATTAACTCCAAGGACCAAATTCTCCGTCTCTGTCTTAAGTTTGAAGCACCCTCTGGTAAGTGTAAACTCACAAAAATTTATCGATCTGCCACTATACACATTTTAACTCTTATCTCTATTATTTATAACTACCATCCGGCTCAAAGGACCGAACCTCACTTATCTTCATTTACTGCCTAAACAGTGCATGTTTATGCAAGTCATTAATCCGCCACTGTTTTTTATTACAAAATACTTAGTACTATTATCCAGAACTGTAATCCGCCTCAAAGGATCAAAATATTATCCTCGTCCCTAACTAGTGCAAGTGTACACAGACCCTAAACATATTATTAACAAGTGTAACCCGGTCAGAAGGACCAAACTTGCAAGCTCACCTCTTGCCTGGCGAGCGCTAACTCGCGCAGGTCGTCCCAGAGGCCGCGCAAGTCGTCAACCCTCTGCCGCACGCGTTCACCTTCCGGCGCATTCTCTTCCAGCAGCGCCTGGCCTCCCTCGCACACCGCCTCGATGCGACCCTCGCTCGCTGGTTATAATAGACACAAATACCTGTTACTAATCTATTTTTACATTTTTTTATTATTTGGCAATCAGTGCTTAAAGATTATTAATTATATGGTAGGGTTTAACGGCCCCATACCAGCAATATACCCTGTCAAATCAACGTCCACCTGTTCTCCCATAGAAACCATCGTACTGAATTGCAGATGTATTCGTCACGGTAGGCTAACTGACCTGCCTTTTCATCCTCACCTATCTCCCTTCACTGGTGCCCTTCGGCGTATACCGTTACCGCAAGCAGGATTACCATTCCATTATCATCCATTAAAAAAAATGTTCTTTGCTTCCATTCTTCCCTATTCACAGTCATTTTCGAATTCACTCTCATTCTGGCCATATCAACATGGCAATCCTCAAAGTACACGAATAAAACACAGTACAGTGTGTCGACCGACCTTGCAGCTGCGCGAAGAAGTTGTCGAAGGCCTGCTGCAGAGTCTCTACATGCTCCACGTCGAGGCCGTAGTCCTCACTGGCCGCCACCGTCATCTGTTCGCCGATCCATTCGTGCACCTCCTCGCACTCCTGCACGAACCTGCGGACACAATCGGCATATCACAGGGGGCAAACAAGCATGCGGCTCACTTGGTGGTAAGTGACTACCGCCGCCCATGATCACCCACAACACCAACGGCATTGCAGGTGTGCTGCCGGCTTTTTAAAAGGAATATGCTCTTTTCTTGAAGGCTATGTTGTCGTATCTGTTCAGAAATACTGCTGCTGGAAGACGATTCCAAAGAGTGGTTGCGCGTGGAAGAAAGTGTCTTGAAAACCGCACGGTGAAGGACCATCACTCGTCCAGATGGTTGGGATGAGACATTATACAATAAATTCCTGGCAGTGACGGGGCACGACTTACTTGAAGTACTTGAGGCTCTGCTGGAGCCGCTGCTGCCGCTTGGCCGACAGCAGCTTCATCTCTTCGTAGCGGTCCCGCAGCTCGGCCAGCCGCTCCGACACGATGTCCTTGTCTGACGTGTTGCGCTCCTGGTAACACACATCCATGTTCAAATATACATTGTTTAAACGACCCCTACCGGGGGGAAAGGGATTGTTAGTAATGCGGACTACCAGTCCCATTGCTAGCAATATATCCTGTAAGGTCGATCTCCACGTGCTGGAAATCTTCGTGCTGAATTCCTAGAATACCATTCCATTGTCATCCAAAAAAACCGACACCATTAGTAACACACAGTGGCCGTTTACCATCAGACGGGCTGTATGCTTATTTGCTACCTTCGTGGTATAAAAAAATTACACGTGTAGGATGAACAAGCATTTTAGCTCTTTAAAAAGAAAAACAAGCGATTTTCAATCATAAACATTTAGCAATAAGAGTTATCCATTAACCAGCAAGTTACCAACCAGTACTGCATTATTAAAGACTTGTATCGAGATTGGCATACATTTTCAAAGAGCGAATTTCGAACTTACCTCTTTAGTATTAAGAGTTACATATGTCACACACTTTTATAGAGCGAATTTCGAGCTTACGTCGCTAGTAACAAGGGTCAACAAGAGCGTACTGACCAGTAGAGCGGCGGCGGCCTTGTCGAGGCGGGCGTAGGTGGCGTCGAAGGCGTGCAGCTCCCGCTGCAGGGCGTCGAGGCGGCGGCTGAGCGCCAGCACGGAGTCCTGGTCGCGGCCCACGTCGGCCGCCACCAGCGCCGGCCGCCGCTCCAGCAGCCACGCCTCCGCCTCCGCCATCTCCGACGTCAGCTGCGCGTGCGCACCGCCGCATAAAACGTTCACGTGAGGTTACGACGCACGGACACAAACCACTCGAATTCATATTAGAAAGATAACTTTTATTTTTTTAACTAGCGACCCGGCCCGGCTTCGCACGGCTGCTCACATCACATCTCATTAGAAACCTCTAAATTTGTCAGTGTTTCTCTACAATATTATGCATGTATTATACATATAAACCTTCCTCTTAAATCACTCTATCTATTAAAAAAACCGCATCAAAATCCGTTGCGTAGTTTTAAAGATGTAAAGATACATAGGTTTTCCCAAGAGACTACAGCATGGGGTTCTTCAAAAGGGGGGTAAAGAGGTAACTTCAGGGTCGGCAACGCGCGCGTAATACCTCTGGTATTGCAGGCGTTCATAGGCTACGGTAACTGCTTACCATCAGGTGGGCCATATGGCAAGCATACGGCCTATATGGCTAGCTATGGGATGTACGCATACATAGAGACAGACAGGTGGGAAGCGACTTTGTTTTATACTATGTAGTAATCCTCATATTTTTCTCAATTTATCACCATAGAATACATTGAATTGCCGCGTGGTCCCGGCATAGAAACGACCGGCCGCGGCGGTCGGTACGCACCTGCAGCAGGTCGCAGCGCTCGCGCAGCCTGGTGCTGCGCACGGCGGCCGCGTCCACCAGCGCCCGCAGCGCGGCCGCCAGCTCGCGGCTGCGGCCGTCCAGCGCGGCCGCCGCGAAGTGCCCGCGTCTCGACAGCTGGTTCGCGCGCCCGATCAAGCCGCTGATCGTTGGCTCTCTGGCGATTGTAACAAGCGTGTAAACAACAATGTTATCTGGGAGGGGAGGAAATAGCTGTTTTTATAGGGCAAAATGTATTTGTGTGTGGGGCAAAAACTGTTTTATGGGGCAAAATAGGTTCCCTTGCTGGGCAAATTATATTTGTTTGTAGAGCAAAATAAATTTGCTTGTGGAGCAAAATACTTTTGTTTGAGGAGCAAAATACATTTGTTTGTGGAGCAAAATAATTTTTGTGGAGCAAAATACATTTGTTTGCTGGGCAAAACAAATTTTGTTTGTGGGGCAAAATAAATCTTAACTCGTTGGGAGCAAAATGCGGAGCAAAAATTCTTCTAATTGCTGATCTAAACACTTGTATGCTGTTTAAAATATACTTGTTTGCGCTGAAACATCTTATACTGGTCTTATTTCTTTATGAATGAACCCGTTTTATTTCTTTAAGCACAACGTATTTTGCCTTTTTTTTATACAACTTAGAATGGCAAACAAGCTGACGGCCCACCTGATGGAAAGTGGTAACCGTCGCCTATAGACACGAGCAGTACCATGGACATAACAGAGTATACTGTTTCGCCCATGATACCCCCCATGCGTTGCCATTCCTGAGGACTCAGCTGTTATTCCTCTGTACCCTGTAAATTCACTGTCATATCCCACCCTTCAAACCGAAACACAGCCATGCAAACACAACTGCTTCACGGTAGAAACACGAACGGGACAGAGGTGGCCAAGCATACGACTTTTGTAAAAAGTCTCCCTCTGGTTGCAACAACAACAAGCAAGCGAGGCTATGTACCTGGCTATGATCTCCGCCTCCAGCGCCAGGTGCTTCTTGAGCAGCGCCTGCGCATCCGCCAGCGTGCTGCCCAACTCCGTGGAGCCGACGGTCGCCGCGCGCTCACGCAGCCTGATGCAATACATTTATTTATTTATTTAGATCCACATTATTACTATTTTACAGACCTAATACAATAGGGTGGGGGGGGGAAGGGATTGTTAGCAATGGAGTATGACAGCCCCATTGCTAGCAATATGCCCTATCAGGTCAACCTCCACGTGGTTCCCCCTGGAAACCATCGTGAACGATTCTTGTTGAATTCGTCACGATTGGCTGACTGACCTGCTTTCCTCCTCACCTGTCATGTTTCCCTGGTACTCCGCCAGCGTACACCGATAGCGCGGGCGGGGCTACCATTCTATTGTCGTCTCATTTAACTATAACAAGAGTGAGAGGGACAGAAGTGGAGATACCAGCTTACTCACCACTTCATCTCCTCGTCGGCATCCCTCTCCCAGCGGTGCAGGAGGGCGGCGTCCTCCAGGTTGTCGCGGCGGTTCTGCATCGGCTCCTGTAGTTGTCGGTACCTGCAACAAATATATATAACAAGCCTTCCCCATATGAGGAGTTTTGCCAGTAGTTGCCACGCTTGGCAGGCGACTTGGCAATCGCAGTTAGGCTTTTAGAGATAAGTTTTAAGAGGGACGCTGCTGCCCATCCCTAGCCCTCCCTTAGTCGCCTCTGACGACACTCACGGGAAAAGAAGGGAAGGCCCATTCTACGCTAAGCTAGTCTTAATTTTTTTTATACACAACTAAAAATGTCAAACAAGCTGACGTCCAACCTGATGGAAAGTGGTAACCGTCGCCTATAAACACGAGCAGTACTGTGGACATAACAGAGTATACTGTCTCGCCTATGATACCCCCCCCCCCTCTGCAAATATTTCAAAACATCCAAACCAGAGACAACTCAAGTTTGCAACTGGCCACTAACCTTTTAACAGCCACTTCGGCCTTGTCAAGTATCTCGGCGGCCATGAAGTGGTCGCTGCCGGCCAGCTGGCGTGCGTTGTCGCCCAGCTGCGTGGCGGTGTCCGCCTTGCTCGACACTTGCTGCTCGAGGCGCGTGTGCCGCTTCAGCAGCGCCGTCACCGACGCCAGGTCCTTGCCTGGTGCATCATCGCGTCATGAGTATACTCGTTGTACATGGGAGGAAAGGGATTGTGAGTAATTTTTGTTTTAAATTATATTGTTAGACCTATTTTTTTTATTTATACTACTGTGTGAGTCACTTTCTATGAACAAATTTATAGATTCATAGATTTACAGATTCATAGGTTCATACATTCATAGGTTCATACATTCATAGGATCATAGATTCATAGGATCATAGATTCTTAGACACATAGGATCATAGACTCATAGGATCATAGATTTATAGGATCATAGATTCGTAGATACATAGGATCATAGACTCATAGGATCATAGATTTATAGGATCATAGATTTATAGTATCATAGATTTATAGTATCATAGATTTATAGGATCATAGATTTATAGGATCATAGATTTATAGGATCATAGATTCATAGGATCATAGATTCGTAGGATCATAGATTCGTAGGATCATAGATTTATAGTATCATAGATTTATAGGATCATAGATTTATAGGATCATAGATTCATAGGATCATAGATTTATAGGGCCATAGATTTATAGGATCATAGATTCATAGGATCATAGATTTAGGGTTCATAGATTTATAGGATCATAGATTTATAGGATCATAGATTTATAGGATTATAGATTTATAGGATCATAGATTCATAGGATCATAGATTTATAGGATCATAGATTTATAGGATCATAGATTCATAGGATCATAGATTTATAGGATCATAGATTCATAGGATCATAGATTTATAGGATCATAGATTTATAGGATCATAGATTTATAGTATCATAGATTTATAGGATCATAGATTTATAGGATCATAGATTTATAGGATCATAGATTTATAGGATCATAGATTTATAGGATCATAGATTCATAGGATCAATGATTCATAGGATCATAGATTTATAGGGCCATAGATTTATAGGATCATAGATTCGTAGGATCATAGATTTATAGGATCATAGATTCATAGGATCATAGATTCGTAGGATCATAGATTTATAGTATCATAGATTTATAGGATCATAGATTTATAGGATCATAGATTTATAGGATCATAGATTTATAGGATCATAGATTTATAGGGCCATAGATTTATAGGATCATAGATTCGTAGGATCATAGATTTATAGGATCATAGATTCATAGGATCATAGATTCGTAGGATCATAGATTTATAGTATCATAGATTTATAGGATCATAGATTTATAGGATCATAGATTTATAGGATCATAGATTTATAGGATCATAGATTTATAGGATCATAGATTCATAGGATCATAGATTTATAGGGTCATAGATTCATAGGATCATAGATTCATAGGATCATAGATTCATAGGATCATAGATTTATAGATTCATAAGATCATAGATTTATAGGGTCATAGATTTATAGGATCATAGATTCATAGGATCATAGATTTATAGGGTCATAGATTTATAGGATCATAGATTTATAGTATCATAGATTTATAGGATCATAGATTTATAGGATCATAGATTCATAGGATCATAGATTCATAGGATAATAGATTTATAGGATCATAGATTTATAGGATCATAGATTTAGGGTTCATAGATTTATAGGATCATAGATTTATAGGATCATAGATTTATAGGATCATAGATTTAGGGTTCATAGATTTATAGGATCATAGATTTATAGGATCATAGATTTATAGGATCATAGATTCATAGGATCATAGATTCGTAGGATCATAGATTCATAGATACATATACATACATATTCATACATTCATAAATTCATTTATTCATTCTTTCTTTACTTATGAAGTCTAATAGACCCATTGCTAGCAATATACCCTATCAGGTCGACTTCCACGCGGTTCCCATTAGAAATCGTGATTAATTTTGTTTAATTCATCACGATGGGCCAACTGACCTGCTTTCATCGTGTGAGCGATGATAAGATAGAACGAACGAAAGCAGAGGCTCTACGAGGACCAGAAGAAATACAAATTTTATATTAAAACTACATAATACACATACCGTTTTAAAATATATATAAAAAAAAATGTTAAAATATCGTTCCTTTGAACTTTTATAATAGGATTTATGACGAACGAACTGTTTGAACGAACCAAGTGTGTGCATTTACTGGATCGACATCGATACGAGATCGAAACACGAAATTGAATCTAACAATTCGAAATTTCATTCCACGGTAGACACCCAAGTCGGTCGGCTCTTTGCATGATTTTTTTATTGGTGAAATAAATCAAGGTGATATAATTCATGTTCAAAATTAAAGGAAAAATGGTTAAAAAAATAAATTTGACAGCTATGTTTTTTTTTCTGCAAATGAACATTATAAAGGTATCCAGACACGATCAAGTTAAAGTGAACTTGTCCTTTTAATTTTTGGACATTCAATGTTATGATGGAAATTTCAACCATTAGTGCAAAGAAGGATTAACGACGGTTCCTGGGAACCTCGTGGAACTGCTGATGTATATTGGAAAGCGTGTGGGTGTGTAGGTGGTGGCCGACCGTGGTCCTCGCTGAGCAGCTGCGCCTCGACGTCGTCGAGCCAGGCGGTGAAGTCGTCCAGCCCGCGCAGGTACACGCGAGCCTGGTACGCCTCCTGCAGCCGCTCGCGGCGGAGCTTCGCCGCCGCCTGCACCGATAAACAGGGTACAATCTTAGATTATATACATAAAGCTTCGAGCCCCAAAAACGGGTTAACTTTTTGTCAGCTAATTGTCAAATTAGCTGACTCGTTTTTTATGCAACTTAGAATGGCAAACAAGCTGACGGCCCACCTGATGGAAAGTGGTAACCGTCGCCTATACACATGAGCAGTACCGTGGACATAACAGAGTATACTGTTTCGCCCATGATACCCCCCACGCGTTGCCATTCCTGAGGACTCAGGTGTTATTCCTCTGCAATTATGACAGTTCACTAGCAGACAAATGGAACATAGAGGCAACTTGCAGGAACGTCTAACTTTTGCCTCTCAATTAAGAATTTTTGGAAATTAACTTTGTAACTGGACTTAGTGGCGATCAGTCTTATGGAAGGTGGTATATTGTTCCAACATTTTGTGGCTTGATATCGGAAGCTACCATTAAAAGCTGCTGTTTTATGGGGATTACAAGCTAGAAGAAAACGTGACTCTCTAGTACTGTGATTATGTAATCTGGTGAATTTAAGTATAGAAAAGAGGTACTCGGGTCTATGAAACTTCAACACCTATACTTATATATACAGTAACCGTGTGACGTGCAAATATTTCGTTTTGGAAGTAAACTACTTGTGCAGCTTTAACACTAGAACAAAAGGTATAATCATCTATTTATTTTTTATTGTATTGTAATTATTTATATTTATAATAAGTTTACTATTGTAATCTTATGGAGGGAACAATAGAGAGTACCTATCTATCTATCTATTTTTTAATTTTCCTAAACCTATATACTCACTTGCAGTTCCCTCCACAAATTCTCCAAGTCCTCCACGTGTTGCGAAATCTCCTTTGACGCGTAGTGTCCCATTTCTGAAAAAGATAAAAATTCTTTCAGCACTACATTGCCAGACGCGACAGTATAAATCAGAGGCATACTCGATCGACTGTTATCATTGCAGTTTACCTATGATGAAATTCCTTCCCCCCCCCCCTTGCTAGCTGTTTAATTCGTTACGTTAGTGCAATAACAGAGGGTAATAATAATAGAGGGTTGACGTTAGGCAGGTGACCGGTCGTAAAACTAAAAACCAAATCTTTTTGTAATATGGTAAAATCATATTATGCTGACCCCAAATGATTGGGATAAGGGTAGCAAGATGATATAGGGCGAAATTTACGCAGCAGACATTTTAACGTGGTCTTTTAAAAAAAAACTTTATTTTACACATATATACGACTACACCCACACAGGGGCAAAAAACTAAAAAATGAATTGTTCAAATTCTTAGTAAATACACTTTTTTACTTTCCTTATTATTATTTTTTTATACAACTTAGAATGGCAAACAAGCTGACGGCCCACCTGATGGAAAGTGGTAACCGTCGCCTATAGACATGAGCAGTACCGTGGACATAACAGAGTGTACTGTTTCGCCCATGATACCCCCCATGCGTTGCCATTCCTGAGGACTCGGGTGTTATTCCTCTGTACTCAGTAAATTCACGCCATATCCCACCCTTCAAACCGAAACACAGCCATGCAAACACAACTGCTTCACGGTAGAAACACGAATGGGACAGAGGTGGCCGAGCAAACGACTTTTGTACAATCTGGTGTAATTTAGTTCTATCAATTTCATGTATATGTTAATTTGAAACTTCTATAATAATAATTAGTCTATAGGGAAGATCTATATTTATTTATTTATACTCTATTGTACACAAAAATTACATTAATATAATATCTATTAAATAAAGCTGTACAGCAGGCGAGCATCACTCTGTAACAGTTCTCTTGCAGCGCACCCTGAGTGGTAAGGAGCGTTGATTACCAGCGGACAGTGCGCGTACAGTGACAGCGTATAGGAGGTGACAGTATAGTTGTTACTATTAAGAAATAATAAATATGTTGACATATTTTTTTTATACCACTGAGGTGGCAAACAAGCATACGGCCCACCTGATGCTAAGTGGTTACCGTAGCCTATGAACGCCTGCAACACCAGAGGTATTACGCGCGCGTTGTCGACCCTGAAGAAACCTCTTTACCCCCCTTTTGAAGAACCCCATGCTGTAGTCTCTTGGGAATACCTCGGCAGGGAGCTCATTCCATAACCTGAGTGTTCGTGGGAGGAAACATCTCTGTAACCGCGTTTTACGCGACCATTTAGGCTGTAAGGTATGAGGGTGAACTCCCTGTCGATGGCGAGCCGTACGATGATAGAAAGTGGCCGTAGGCATCATATTGAACAATTCCTCTTTTATATTATATTTAATATAATATAGTTACCAATAAGCTCCTCCCCATTGTTGGACACGTCGTCGATGCGTCCCTTGCTCGCCGCCAGTTCCGCCTCGAAGGCTGCGTGCTTTTGGATTTTACTTTGCAGGTTCGATAGTTCTCTGCAAAAAAAAAATTAATATTGTAGTAGTATTGTGTAGGACTCAGATGTTATTCCTCTGTACCCGTGTCTTAGTAATCTCTTATGGACTCCGGCGATACAGGTTCGCCTAGTGCAGGCTCCAATATGTTCACATTGTAGATTTCTTGTATTTATTAAATAAATAAATACAATAAACTCACCAGAGGGAGACTTTGTACAAAAGTCAATTGCTTGGCCACCTCTGTCCCATTCGTGTTTGAACCGTGAAGCGGTTGTGTTTGCATGGCTGTGTTTCGGTTTGAAGGGTGCGATATGGCAGTGAATTTACAGGGTACAGAGGAATAACACCCGAGTCCTCAGGAATGGCAACGCATGGCGGGTATCATGGGCGAAACAGTATACTCTGTTATGTCCGTGGTACTGCTCATGTGTATAGGCGACGGTTACCACTTTCCATCAGGTGGGCCGTCAGCTTGTTTGCCATTCTAAGTTGTATAAAAAAGATACTGTTACTGCATGATAAATCCGAGTTTCTGCGATAAAAAGCGGCGTGCGTGTCACCTGTAGCTCTGGTCGCTGGCGGTCTGCATCTTGAGCGCGATCCACTCCCGCTCGTGGCTCAGGTTGCGCAGGAACTGGTGCAGCTGCCGCGACTGCTCCAGCATCTCGCCGCGGTGGGTGCACGACTCCTGGCGAGAGAGAGAGACGCACGATATGAATTGATACAACTACTAACTTGTAACTGTATCCAATGACTCTGGACAAGGATGCAGGTGGCTCAGGGCCGTTCTTCATGGCAGTCTATAGGGGAAACCTATGTTCACCATTGGACAGATAATGGCTAAGATGACGACTCCTCTCCATCCAAAGGTGGCGTGCAAGAGATCGCTCTCAGCGATAAGGCCGCGCATTGTTCTCTCAGTGCAATATTACCTTGTAATTGTTTGTATCTATAATAAGTTTACTATTGTGATCTTATGGAGGGAACAATAAGGGAGTATCTATCTATCTATCGGTCCAAAATGTACGATATCGCATACCTGATGTATTCATAAAAAATACAAACTCTATAAGCTATAATGGCCGTTTACCATTAGTTGGTCTGTATGCATATTTGCCTTCATCGTGGTTCAAAAAGAGACGTTTTTGTAAATCTCTTAATTAAATGCACACCTTTATAAATATCACTCAATAATAACTAGTTTAACAGCCGTGTGGTCCCGGCATAGAATGGACCACCCCTTCCTTTCCCGTGGGTGTCGTAAGAGGCGACTGAGGGAACTGAACATTCAAGGGATAAGCAGCAGGACACTCTTAACCCTTTAAAGCCTGATTTTTTAAATCAAATTAAAAAATATACAAGTGTACCCTTTACTGTGTTTACTAATGGGGGAAAATAGTAAAAAAAAAATCAAATCGATACTTTTATATATTTATTTTGAAAAAAACATTTGGTAACATGTAAACAGCCAAATATTAAAATAAAATCGATTGTAGGCGCCCAATGCGATTTATAACCCCGGCATCAAATTTGAAACTTCAGGTATTTAAGGGTTAAAACACCACTAGAAGCCAAACTGCGCCTGCCAAGCGTGGTAAATACTGACACCCCCCCCCAACCCCCGGGGGGAAAGGGATTGTTAGTAATGGTTCCCTCGCGGTTCCCTCTGGAAACTATCATGATTAATTCCTGATGAATTCATCATGATGGGCTAACTGGCCTGTTTTCATTCTCATCTATCACCCTTCACTGGTGCCTCGCCAGCATATCCCGTTAGCGCAGGCGGGGTTACCATTCCATTTTCATCCAATAAACTCCCCCCCCCCCCCTAATGGGGGAGGCTATGTTCAGCAGCGGACTGCTAACAGCTAATACATACATAAACTAGTTCGTTGGTGCACATGTTGTCTCGCACGTACCTTGAGCTTGTCCCTCCTGGCGAGTATCTCCGCGAGGCGGCGCTGTATGTACGGCCGGTCGTAGTGTCCGTCCTGTAGCATGCCGGCCGCGAACCGCTCCAGCTCGTCCACGCGGCCCAGCTGGCTGTCCAGCAGCTTCGCGAACTCCGCGTGCTTGCGGATCAGCGTCTCCACCGCTGGTGGGGAAAGTGTCCACTCAGTGTAAGCACAAAACACGAAAATATGTTTACAAAAAGAGAAAACAGATTTTATCAGGGGGAGAGTTTGTACAAAAATCGTTTGCTTGGCCACCTCTGTCCCATTCGTGTTTCAACCGTGAAGCAGTTGTGTTTGCATGGCTGTGTTTCGGTTTGAACGGTGGGATATGGCGTGAATTTACTGGGTACAGAGGAATAACACCCGAGTCCTCAGGAATGACAACGCATGGGGAGTATCATGGGCGAAACAGTATACTCTGTTATGTTCATGGTACTGCTCACGTCTGTAGGCGACGGTTATCACTTTCCATCAGGTGGGCCGACAGCTTGTTTGTCATTCTAAATTGTATAAAAACAAATGTCGATGAATGCCTTGACACCTAAAAAAGAAAAATGTTTAGGTTTCAAGATATCAAAGGAATTCTCTCCTACGACCACTGAGGCTGTGGAATGAGCTCTCTGCCAAGGTCTTCCCTACAGACTACAGTATGGGGTTCTTCAAAAAGATTATATTAAGGTTCCTTCAGGATCGATAACGCGCACGTGAAACCCCTAGTGTTACAGGCGTCCATTGGCTACAGTGACCGTTTACCATCAGACTGGCTGTATGCTTGTCACCTTCGTGGTATAAAAAAAAAAGAAATTAATATAATTGGTGCGTACCGTCCAAGTCGTCTCCCAGGTCGTCGTTGTTGAGGAAGGCCTCCTTGGCAGCGAGCCAGTCCTCAGTCTGGCGCGCCTGGTCCTTCAGCAGCTGCAGCTGGTGGGCCTGGACACACGCGAACATATGGTGGTCAACTTATGAAGTTAGTAAACACTTATACGAGTCGTGTACTCTGAAACTTAATATGGTATTACAGTGAAATCACCATGAGACAATATTAGTACAGTCAATGATGGCAAAAATCAGCTACAAGCTCCGATTTCGGTGAACCTCCCACTCGTGTTTCTACCGTGAAGCAGTTGTGTTTGCATGGCTGTGTTTCGATTTGAAGGGTGGGATATGGCGTGAATTTACAGGGTACAGTGGAATAACACCCGAGTCCTCAGGAATGGCAACGCATGGGGGGTATCATGAGCGAAACAGTATACTCTGTTATGTCCATGGTACTGCTCATGTGTATAGGCGACGGTTACCACTTTCCATCAGGTGGGCCGTCAGCTTGTTTGCCATTCTAAGTTGTAAAAAAAAACACGTTTGTAAATAAACTAGCCAGTCCTCTCATGAGAACGCTTGCCGCGTCTCGTCTCTCTGGAGGCTAGTGTATACAAAATGTTATACGACCGTATAACCCTACCAAATTCAGATACAACCTGCTTGCATAATTTCTACATAAACTGTGTCGAATGTATAATCTAGTAATGTAACATTTGTCATTGACAAATAATTGACATATCAAACATTTTCTATACACCAGCCTGCTGTGAATTGAGAAAAACAGCAACTGATGGTGTATCTTCCGTCCTCTTTTTACTAGTTATATTTGCATAAGAAGAAAGGAGGCAACCATATGGTTTACAGTTTTTATTTTACCATCCCTTCTACGTAATTCCTTGTTCTTAGGTTTGCCATCCCAGTGGTATAAATAAAACTAGGCTAAAAGATAGGTTCAGAGAAATGTCGTAGCAGGAGTGACGCCAACGGCGGAATAATAGATGGGTTACAGCACTGCGTACCTGCGTGAGGTACTGCTTCCTCTGGAGCCAGGCGTTGTCGAGGGTGGCGGCGAGGCTCTCGACCCGCTTCAGCTTCTCCGGCGCCTGCACCACGGGCGCCTCCTTCTGCAGCGCCGCTATCGCCTTCTGCCGCCCCGCGATCTCCGCCTGCACGGAATGGCAGATTTTGAACTTAAAATGTATATAATTAAAAATAATTTTTACTCAACCATGGACAGTGTGGTCCCGGCATAGAATGGACCACACCTTTTCAAGTGTTGTAAGAGGCGATTAAAGGAACTTAATGGTGAAGAGATAGGAAGCAGCAGAAATTGAAACATCGCCAAAACCTAGCTGCGGTTGCCAACTTCCTGCCAAACGTGGTAACTACTGGCAAACCCTTTCCAATAGAGAATGGTCTATGTTCACCAGTAGACAAGTAACAACTGGTATGGTAAACTTAACTATAAGCATTTTTATAAAGTTATTTTTTTATGAAATCTAACACCCAATTCGGAATGCAATTTCAGTTGAGAAAAACGGGCAATAAACTCGGCTGTTGCTGTTTTTTAAATAAAAGTTGAGTATTATAGATTGTGGGATGGTGGGTGGACGAACTGTGTAGTGGGAATAGAGTAGGTAGTATGACTAAGTGGTGGATAGTATGACTGTGTGTAGGCAGTGTCTGTATAGATCAAATGGGTGTAGTGGATACGTTTGTGTGTTGAGTAGCTTTTCATGTTGGATATTGTAACTAATAAGTAGTGTGTGTGTGTGTGGATAGTGTGAGTATGTGTCTGCTAGTATGACTGTGTACTGCGTAGTGTGACTATGTGTCTGCTAGTATGACTGTGTACTGCGTAGTGTGACTATGTGTCTGCTAGTATGACTGTATTGCGTAGTGTGACTATGTGTCTGCTAGTATGACTGTGTATTGCGTAGTGTGACTATGTGTCTGCTAGTATGACTGTGTATTGCGTAGTGTGACTATGTGTCTGCTAGTATGACTGTGTATTGCGTAGCGTGACTATGTGTCGGCTAGTATGACTGTGTATTGCGTAGTGTGACTATGTTTCGGCTAGTATGACTGTGTATTGCGTAGTGTGACTATGTGTCGGCTAGTATGATTGTGTATTGCGTAGTGTGACTGTGTGTCGGCTAGTATGACTGTGTATTGCGTAGTGTGACTATGTGTCCGCTAGTATGACTGTGTATTGCGTAGTGTGACTATGTGTCTGCTAGTATGACTGTATTGCGTAGTGTGACTGTGTCTGCTAGTATGACTGTGTATTGCGTAGTGTGACTGTGTGTCTGCTAGTATGACTGTGTATTGCGTAGTGTGACTGTCTGTCTGCTAGTATGACTGTATATTGCGTAGTGTGACTATGTGTCTGCTAGTATGACTGTGTATTGCGTAGTGTGACTATGTGTCTGCTAGTATGACTGTGTATTGCGTAGTGTGACTATGTGTCTACTAGTATGACTGTGTATTGCGTAGTGTGACTATGTGTCGGCTAGTATGACTGCGTATTGCGTACTGTGACTATGTGTCCGCTAGAATGACTGTGTATTGCGTAGTGTGACTATGTATTAGGTAGTGTGATTGTACGTTAGGTCTTATGACTGTATGTACGTTAGAACTGTACCTTTCGCTCGTTGTGCGTCTCGAGCAGAGCTTCGGCGTCGGCGACGCTCTCCGGCGGCTCGCTGTCGTCCATCCGCTTCACAGTCTCCGACACCCACACCTCCAATTCCTGGAAGACAAGATACAAGTTGTTCAAACGTGCTTTTTTATTTCTACAGAGGCAAACGAGCAGACGGTCCACCTGATGGGAAGCGGCTACCGTCGCCCATTAACACCTGCAACATAAGAGGAGTTGCTTGTGCATTGCAGGCCTTTTAAATATTTGTAGACAAGTTTTTTAAAATGTGTATGAATAATATACCAAAGGGAGACTTTGTACAAAAGTCGTTTGCTTCGGCACCTCTGTCCTATTTATGTTTCTACCGTGAAGCAGTTGTGTTTGCATGGCTGTGTTTCGGTTTGAAGGGTGCGATATGGCAGTGAATTTACAAGGTACAGAGGAATAACACCTGAGTCCTCAGGAATGGCAACGAATGGGTATCATGGGCGAAACAGTACACTCTGTTATGTCCATGATACTGCTCATGTCTATAGGCGACGGTTACCACTTTCCATCAGGTGGACCGTCAGCTTGTTTGCCATTCTAAGTTGTATAAAAAAAAACTTTAAAATCTTAGTGAATATTAGTGCAGTACTTTCACGCACGAAATACCAGCCTTACTAAAATGTGTTGAACAGTTTAAAAGCTTCACAAACAAGTATAGGGGCCATTCGAAGCCGGGGCAGTATGCTAGTAAATAATCAAACACTTACCTTGAGGCTTTCGTCGAACTTGTGTTCCGCGATGGCTTGTTCGAGCAGCGCGGTGCGCTGGGCGGCGAGCTGTTCCAGTTTGTCCCACCCGTCCTGTAGCCCATTCAGGGACTTCTCGATGTGGTCCGCGTGCTCCGGGTGGCTGCGGGGAATATCCACTTTATTACTATTGTGGTCAGGTTTATTGTTGTTAGAGGCAAATGACTGTGTTCGTGTTATCAGAGGAATATCGTCTTTATTACTACTGTCTTTAGGTTTATTATTGTGTGTAGCTATCAGAGGAATATCAATCTTATTACTATTGATTTTAGGTTCATTATTGTGTGTAATTATTAGAGGGATATCGACCTTATTACTACTGACTTTAGGTTCATTATTGTGTGTAGTTATTAGTGTGATATCGACCTCATTTCTATTGGTTTTACGTTCATTATTGTGTAGTTATCAGAAGAATATCGACCTTATTACTATATAGTTTAGGTTCAATATTCTGTGTAGTTATCAGAGGGATATCGCCCTTATTACTATGTACTTTAGGTTCATTATTGTGTGTAGCTATCAGAGAGACATCGATCTTATTACTATTGACTTTATGTTCATTATTGTGTGTACCTATCAGAGAGATATCGACTTTATTACTATGTACTTAAGGTTCAGTATTGTGTGTAGCTGTCAGAGAGTATCGACCTTATTACTGTTGACTTTAGGTTCATTATTGTGTGTAGCTATCAGAGAGACATCGACTTTATTACTATGTGATTTAGGTTTATTATTGTGTGTAGCTATCAGAGGAATATCAATCTTATTACTATTGATTTTAGGTTCATTATTGTGTGTAATTATCAGAGAGATATCGACCTTATTACTACTGACTTTAGGTTCATTATTGTGTGTAGTTATTAGTGTGATATCGACCTCATTTCTATTGGTTTTACGTTCATTATTGTGTAGTTATCAGAAGAATATCGATCTTATTACTATATAGTTTAGGTTCAATATTCTGTGTAGTTATCAAAGGAATATCGTCTTTATTACTATTGATTTTAAGTTCAGTATTGTGTGTAACTATCAGAGTGATATGGACCTTATTACTACTGACTTTAGGTTTATTATTGTGTGTAGTTATCAGAAGGATATCGACTTTATTACTCTTATGTTTAGGTTCAATATTGTGTGTAGTTATCAAAGGAATATCGTCTTTATTACTATTAACTTTAGGTTCATTATTGTGTGTAGCTGTCAGAGAGTATCGACCTTATTACTGTTGACTTTAGGTTCAGTATTGTGTGTAGCTATCAGAGGGATATCGACCTTATTATTATTGACTTTAGGTTCACTGTTGTGTGTAGTTATCAAAGGAATATCGTCTTTATTACTATTGACTTTAGGTTCAGTATTGTGTGTAGCTGTCAGAGTGATATGGACCTTATTACTACTGACTTTAGGTTCATTACTGTGTGTAGTTATTAGTGTGATATCGACCTCATGTCATTATTGTGTAGTTATCAGAAGAATATCGGCCTTATTACTATGTAGTTTAAGTTCATTATTGTGTGTAGTTATTAGTGGGATATCGACCTCATTTCTATTGGCTTTACGTTCATTATTGTGTAGTTATCAGAAGAATATCGACCTTATTACTATGTAGTTTAGGTTCATTATTGTGTGTAGTTATCAAAGGAATATCGTCTTTATTACTATTGACTTTAGGTTCAGTATTGTGTGTAACTATCAGAGTGATATGGACCTTATTACTACTGACTTTAGGTTCATTATTGTGTGTAGTTATCAGAAGGATATCGACTTTATTACTCTTATGTTTAGGTTCAATATTGTGTGTAGTTATCAAAGGAATATCGTCTTTATTACTATTAACTTTAGGTTCATTATTGTGTGTAGCTATCAGAGAGACATCGACTTTATTACTATGTGGTTTAGGTTCACTATTGTGTGTAGTTATCAAAGGAAAATCGTCACTATTAGTGTCGAGTGTAGGTTCGCTGTAGTGGTGTGCGGTCGTGTGGCACCTGGCGGCGAGGCGGCGGCCGGCGGCGGCGAGCGCGTGCAGGCGGCCGCGCACGGCCAGCGCCTCGGCGGCGCGCGCGGCGTGGCGCCGCTGCAGCTCCTGCGCCGCGCGCAGCTCGCGCCCGCGCTCGCGGCTGCTGAACAACGCCGCCTTCTTCGCCAGCCGCTCCTGCGTCTCCTCCACGTCCCTGCGACACCGCCGGCACCATCACCCCCGCCCTCGTTACTGCCCGCCTCATCCAAAGGATGATGGGCTCCTCGCCCAACATCCTTTTCTGATGCCCCGTCAGCGTATACCGATACCACTCCATTTTCATCCATTTAAAATTAATAGTAAACACGCCCGTGGAGGAAGGGAGAGGATAGATACTCTGTATTGTTCCCTCCATAAGATTACGATAGTAAACTTATTATTAGACACAAACAATTACAAGGAAATATTACACTGAGAGAACAATGGGCGGCCTTATCGCTGAGAGCGATCTCTTGCACGCCACCTTTGGATGGAGAGGAGTGGTCATAAACAATTAAATAAAAAAATAATATTGACTTTGACAATCAATATACATAAAATATACATCACTTTATTGTGGCCAGTTACAAAATAAAATATAAAAATGAACACAGCGCCATCTCTTTTCAAATAGTGAAATCAGTAAAATTTTCCTGGGATTAATGTTAACAATTTCTAAATAGCCTTGTTTAATACTGGCCACATATAATTTTTATTTATTGTATATCAAATAGATTCTATTTTTAATAGAGATAATCAAATTTACAATATTGTACATATTTTTTAGTCCTTCAAGCCGGACAGACAGTTACCAACTTGATATTATTATTGTTAAAAAGATTTGGCTACTGCACAGACAAAGTAGCGGGAACAGCTAGCCAGTTTGGAACATAGTGAAGTCACTGACCTGTTGAAAGAATGTATCTCGAGGGCGGCCGATAAGTTGTCCCTGTATTGCTGCAGGGCGCCGCTGAGGGCTCGCCACTTCTGAAGGAAGGCGTCTCGCCGTCCCGACACTGCGTCCGCCTGCTGCGTCGGACCCTGGGGAGGAGAGGTGGAGGTTGGATAAGAGGTCTGTATGTTTTGCTGTAGAAATGTAATATATATTTGCAAAAAAAAAAAAACAATTAAATATCTGTGAATTATCTAATACTCATAATACAAGATCGGCTTAGTTTGGCATTTATTTATCTTTATAAGTAACACCGAACTGCATTTTGGTCCTTCAAGCCGGATATTTAGCCGGCTAGACAGTAGCTAGCTAGATTGATCAGCTTGATAGAGTTTCGTTTTATTATGATTATAAATAACACTAATCTATCTCCAGTTAAGTCCTTCGAAGCGGACAGTTGCCCAAGAAGTAAGGAAGTAAGTTTGGTCTTTCCAGCCCGACATCTCAACAGTAGCCAGGTAGATACCCAATCGAACAGTTTGTCGGTATGTTGTTTTATTGCTACTATAAATAACCATTCTGACGTATTGGTCCTTCGAGCCGGTTATTCCGATAGTAGCGAGCTAAGTACCTGGTCGAGCAGCTTGTCGGCGAGCGCGCATATATTCTTCACGTGCTTATCGTCGACCTTCATGTCGCTGTCCAGGTCGTCCAGCTTGCGCAGCAGCGCGCTGCAGTGCTCGTAGTCGCGTCCCAGCTCGTGCGCTTGCACCTGAACATTTGTGAGATGAAAAATTACACATGACAAATAAATGGCTGTCAATAAATTTACATCTGAAATGCTAATTACGCGACAGACTCACCATCATCTCCTTGTCTCTTAACCAAGCTTCTATTTTGTCCAACTGCTGGTTGAATTCCAGTATATCCTGAGCTTCTTCCAGACCGCGACCTATGAAAGGATGGTAAGTTTTATTAGATACTATTACCACGGGAAAATTTGACACTTGGTGGAACTTGAAGCCAATTATAATTTATAAGTTTGAAAATATTTGTTTTAACTGAGAACCAAACCGAAAATCATATCTTCACAACGTGTCTACCAAAGAGGTCGATAAATAACAGCTGATAGTTGAAAAAAATATACAGCGCCGAGACCAAGTAATAGGACTCTGGGAAGCCCCTGGTAAAGACTACAAAGTACATTTGAAATCTAACCTCTTTGTTCGGTCGCGTGCTCCAGCAGCTGCCAGTCGGCCTGCAGAGCCGCCAGCTGCTTCTCCACCTCCTCGTCCGGTTTCAACTGTTCAGCCAAGGCCTGGATCTCGTCGAGCCTGGCCCTGTTGGCCGCCAGCTCGGCGGTGAACGCCTGGTGTTTCTGTAGCTTCTTGATCTTGTCGTCTAGGCTGGTGACTTCACCTGATAATGTTAAAATAACGCTCAAGCTGTGAAATGAGCTCCTTACTGAGGTTCTTCCTAGAGCTTACAGTATGATGTTCTTCCAAAAGGGTGTATTAAGGTTTCTTCAGAGTCAGCAACGCGCATGTGACACCCCTAGTGTTGCAGGGGTCCATACTAGGCTACTATAAGACAGCGGTGACTCACCGAGCTGCTGGTCGGCGTTGAGCTTGGCCAGCTTGTCGGCCACCCAGCCGCGGGTCTCGGCCGCGTCCCGCGCGAACTGCGCCCGCGCCGCCAGCCGCGTCAGCTGCGCACGCCGCTTCGCCGACAGAGCGTGCAGCTGCCGGACACAATATACGCTTAGTTATGTCTTCCATCAAGTAATAAGCAAATTAGTATAATAAATGCCCCCCCCCCCCCCTCCATTATACCAATCGCCTACACGTCAACTGGCTTGACACAACATGGAACACTTAAAAAAATAGTTTTTTAAATTGACCCGATCGGAAATCGAACCTGGGACCTTCTTGACGCAACACCGTGCTCACCACAGCGCGACAGAGGTCGTCATTGTTAGCATTTGGTATCAATTTAAGATTATCAATAGTAGTTAATTTAAAATAATTAAAATATAATTTTCTCAAACATGCTTGGAAATGTGAGCATTATTTTGACAATTTTCTTCGAGATAAATCAAAATTGCCGTACTGGCCACATACATGCGGCGGCCGGCAAAAGTTGTATGAAAATCCATATCTGTCGTGTTTTGCGGCCAGATAAATTACTATGTAAACTCATATCTGACCTGTAATTTAAAAATGGAATGACCTTTTACTTCGAAACATGGCTACCAAGGAGGTAACTAATAAAAGGTTTTATTTAAATTTCGAACTGGCTTGCGAATAGAAAGCTGTTTATTGAAAAAAAAAAAACAAAGGAACATTATGGCGCGTGAAAAATTATTAATGTTCGTTATTCGTCATTGAACTTAAAAAGTAAAATTGTGTTTTTGATTTCCGCGCATTGTTTGAGAAAAGTACTATACAAGCCTTGGCCACAACTAGGCATTGATGGACTCACGTATGTGTGCCTCGGCTACGCCTCGGCCCACATTTGTACGTTCGTCCATCAATGCCTCAGTTGCTTGCCGCTGCAGTAATGTACTATATGTTTATGAATGAATGAATGAGTATACTTTATTTGCATTATACAATATAGGGAGCAAGCAAGACAATTAATAAATGCAACCATACAGTTGTATGAGTACAGTGAGCCGGTCTTATTGCTGGGAGCGATCTTTTATTTTAAAACCTAATGTTCTTTTTTTTTTATACCAAATATATTGTCTAACTAGCAAAACAAATTCGTGTTTCAACCGTGAAGCAGTTGTGTTTGCATGGCTGTGTTTCGGTTTGAAGGGTGCGATATGGCAGTGAATTTACAGGGTACAGAGGAATAACACCCGAGTCCTCAGGAATGGCAACGCATGGCGGGTATCATGGGCGAAACAGTATACTCTGTTATGTCCGTGGTACTGCTCATGTTTACAGGCGGCGGTTACCACTTTCCATCAGGTGGGCCGTCAGCTTGTTTGCCATTCTAAGTTGCATAAAAAAATATTCAATTCTGAATGGTATAAGAGCGATACCTTGCTCCTGCGGTCGTTGATCTTCTGCAGCTCGTCAGCGATCTGCTGGCTCTCCACGTGGTTTTGCTCCAGCAGCTTCGCGCCGTGGCTGTTCAGGGTCACCAGCTTCTCATCCTAACACAAACAACATTATTTCTCTATTAATTTCTTTTTTATATAACTGCGAGTAATAAAGCAGTACCAAATACCTCTATTAGGGGGAAAGGGGATTGTCAATAATGGGGTTTAACTGCCTCGTTGTTAGCAAAACATCCTAACAGGTCGACCTCCACGCAGTTCCCCCTGGAAACCATCTTGGCTAATAAACCAGCTTTCATACTCACCTATCATTCCTTACTGGTGCCCCGCAGGGCAGGTAACCCATTAAAACATAACCAAAGCCTAACTGCTGTTGCCAATCCACCTGCCAAGAGTGGCAACTACTGGCAAAACCCCCTTATAGGGGGAGGCCTATGTACAGCAGTGAACAAGTAACGGATGATGTAATGTTGATCCCCAATGTGGTAATTACGGGCAAATACTCCCATGGGGGGAAGGGATTGTTAGTAATAGCGAGGTTAGTTCCCATCGCTATCAATATACCTTATCAGGTCGGCCTCCACGCGGTTCGCCCTGGAAACCATCGTGACTAACTTATCGTTGAATTCGTCACGATGGGCTAACTGACCTGCTTCATCCTCACCTATCATCCCTCCCTGGTGCCCCGCCGGTGTATACCGATAGCGTAGGCGGGGTTACCATTTCATTATCATCCATAAAAAAATACTTTCATGGAATATTATTGTATTACCTTATTGTAAAATGTATGAATGTACCTCAAATACTTTATGTCTACATACATACATAACGAGAAATTAACAATATTAGGATGTTTTGTCTCATTCATTCCCTTAATCCGACAGTCCTCTTCAAGCTCCCTGAAGAAGACTTCCTGATGAAGTCGAAACAATTGGGGAAAACTATAAACACGGTGACTTCCTCCATCATCGTCATATCAGCTTTTAACACCTTTGGAGGGTGTTGCCAATAGTTGCCACGCTTGGCGGGTGGATTGGCAACAGCAGTTAGGCTTTTAGTGATGTTTTAAGATAGATGCTGTTGCTTATCCGTCGACCTCTCTTAGTCGCCTCTTACGACACCCTCGGGAAAGGAACGGGGTGGTCCATTCTATGCCGGGACCACGCGGACACCAGTACTTACCTGAGTGGCCAGTAACTTCTCGAAGGCCTCGTGTTTCTTCAAATAATTGTCGACTTCCTCCACGCTGCTCTGCGGTGATATCTCGGTGCCTGGAGCGGAGACGAGTCGTTTAATTACGAACCAATTAAAAAGTGGCGAGTGAGTGGGCGAGCGAGAGAGTGAGTGGACGAGTGAGTGGGCGGGAGAGTGAGTGGGCGGGAGAGTGAGTGAGTGGGCGGGAGAGTGAGTGAGTGGGCGGGAGAGTGAGTGGACGGGCAAGTGAGTGGGCGGGCGGGCGAGTGAGTGGGCGGACAAGTGAGTGAGCGGGTGAGTGAGTGGGCGGGCGGGCTAGTGAGTGGGCGGACAAGTGAGTGAGCGGGTGAGTGAGTGGGCGAGTGGACGGGAGAGTGAGTGGGTGAGCGAATGAGTAAGTGGGCGGGAGAGTGAGTGGGCGGGAGAGCGAGTGGACGGGAGAGTGAGTGGGCGGGAGAGTGAGTGAGTGGGCGGGAGAGTGAGTGGACGGGCAAGTGAGTGGGCGGGCGGGCGAGTGAGTGGGCGGACAAGTGAGTGAGCGGGTGAGTGAGTGGGCGGGCGGGCGAGTGAGTGGGCGGACAAGTGAGTGAGCGGGTGAGTGAGTGGGCGAGTGGACGGGAGAGTGAGTGGGTGAGCGAATGAGTAAGTGGGCGGGAGAGTGAGTGGGCGGGAGAGCGAGTGGACGGGAGAGTGAGTGGGCGGGAGAGTGAGTGGGCGGGAGAGTGAGTGAGTGGGCGGGAGAGTGAGTGGACGGGCAAGTGAGTGGGCGGGCGGGCGAGTGAGTGGGCGGACAAGTGAGTGAGCGGATGAGTGAGTGGGCGAGTGGACGGGAGAGTGAGTGGGTGAGCGAATGAGTAAGTGGGCGGGAGAGTGAGTGGGCGGGAGAGCGAGTGGACGGGAGAGTGAGTGGGCGGGAGAGTGAGTGGGCGGGAGAGTGAGTGGGCGGGCAAGTGGGCGGGCGGGCGAGTGAGTAGGCGGGCAAGTGAGTGAGTGGGCAGACAAGTGAGTGAGCGGGTGAGTGAGTGGGCAAGTGGACGAGAGAGTAAGTGGGCGAGTGAGTGGGCGAGTGAGTGGGCGGGTGAGTGGGCAAGTGAGTGGGCGGGTGAGTGGGCGGGTGAGTGGGCGAGTGGACGGCAGAGTGCGCGAGCGAGTAAGTGGGCGAGTGAGTGGGCGAACAAGTGGGCGGGCGAGTGGACGGGAGAGTGAGTGGGTGAGTGAATGGACGAGCGAGTGAGTGGGTGAGTGGGCGGGCGAGTGAGTGGGCGAGTGAGTGGGCGAGCGAGTGAGTGGTCGAGTGGACGGGAGTGTGAATGGGTGAGTGAGTAGGCGAGAGAGCGGGCGGGCGAGTAAGTGGATAGGCAAGTGAGTGGGCGAGTGAGCGAGTGAGTGCGTGGGCGGCTGACCGAGGGCGGCCTCCTGCGCGGCGCACAGGTCGTGCAGCTGCTTGCCGTCGCGCAGGAAGCAGTGCAGGTCGATGAGCTGGTCCAGCGACACCAGCCGCGCGCCCCACGCCGCCTGCAGCCGCGCGCGCTCCTCCAGCAGCGCCGAGCACTTCTCCTGGATCTCCTGCGGCCACATACCCAATGACATTTCAAATATCTCTTATAAAAATGTGCTCGCTTAGGAATTACCATCAACCTGAAAAAAACTTAACTATTCATACACTGGGCTCTACTTGAGGCGCCATCTATCTGAACCTACCACTAAAATAAAAATTTCAATTTGACGTCACAGCGAAATCTGTATACTAAGGAAAAACAAGCACCCCGCCGCGGCTTCGCACGGGTGCTATACTTGTTTGTGTAGCTTTTAAACTTGCCAACACATTTTAGTAAAGCTGGTATTTCGGCGTGTGTAAAAATGCTGCACTAATATGTATGTATATCAATAATTACTAGTACCGCATTCGTGTATTCTGCCACTTCCCTACGGTTGACTGGGAGAGAATGCTTCTAGCATTAAGTCCGCCATGTACACATATACGAGGTCTGTCCGGAAAGTTCGTATAAAAGTGTTCTGGAATGCGAGAAAGAGGAGTGGGGAGGCCAGGTAAGCGCAGGACCCCTTCCTTATGTCCCTAACAATGCTTCAGTTCTGGTCTGACCGCCGTGCGGTGCGAACTGGCTTGTCACGCCATCTGTGAAGTTACCTCTTAACGAAACCCCGTCGGCATGGAGCCCGCTTCCGTTGAAGAGCAGCGCGTCGTAATCAAGTTTCTCTCGAAACTCGGCAAGAATGGCCGTGAAATTTTTGCCGATCTCAGAACAGTTTATGGGGATGATGCTGTGAAGGAACCAACCGTCCACAAGTGGCTAAAAAGATTCAGAGAGGGTCGAGAAAGCGTTCAAGATGACCCACGTTCAGGACGTCCTTCCACTTCACATTCCGACGAAAACGTGGAAAGAATTCGAACTTGTGTTAATGGGGACCGTCGTTTAACGGTCAGACAGGTGGCTGAAGAGCTTAATTTGGGCAAAACCGTGGTCCACGAAATTCTAAGAAACGAACTTCAAATGAAAAAAATTTGCGCCAAGATCGTTCCGTGAGTTTTTGAGTAAAAATTCCATTACGGTGACCGAACACCCCCCTATTCGCCGGATTTGGCCCCGTGTGACTTCTTCTTGTTCCCAAAAACCAAATTGGTACTTCGGGGGCGGCATTTGGGGGACATAAATGAGATAAAAAAAGCTACGACGGGGCAGCTGAGAAACCTACAACCAGAGGACTTTCAAGGAGCCTTCTCACAGTGGAAACGGCGTTGGCACAAGTGCATTATGTCACAGGGGGAGTACTTTGAAGGGGATAAAATTGATTTACCTGAATAATTGTAAAATAAAATTTTTAAAAAACTTTTATACGTACTTTCCGGACAAACCTCGTATGTACTAATGAATAAATAAATAAATAAAATCCACTTTGGGTGTCGCTGCAAGAGAACTCTATTAGAGTTAAGCTCGCCTCTGTACATTTGATTACCTCTGACATATTCTTGTAACTGGTGTGTACAATATAGAATTAAATAAATGAATAAAATTATAAAATGAACGGCCTAATTAGCAATTTGATATGCGCGCGTTTATATAATTCCTCCCGCGCCCCTCACCCCCGCGCCCCGCCTTCTATACACGCATGGCCAGCGGTCGTTGTAACACAATAATTTTACCGCCTTAATGTTTTCATTTCGCATTACCTTCTAACCGACTGCGTCAATTAACACGCTGTAAAAAGTAAACTATATCTCCATGAAATCCCCATTTTGCTTCAGCTATTTGTTTTTATAAAAATTTGTAACGTATACGTACGAAACCTGTATCCAAACTTGATCTCGTAAAATTTATTTTGCCTTTAACATAAAAATTACATATTAAATATCTCTTTAGTGTTACACAAGTTAGAATCAATGGAGGAATGAAGGCATTTTAAATTCTAACAACTCCGTTGCTAACATTATACTTTGCCATCCGACACCATTGAGATCTGGGGGCCTACCATGAAATGAAATTCCGAATTTTCGCGCTCAATTTCGTGCTTTTGTTCGTACCTAAATCGACTCAGTAAATGGAGCTTAACGTTTCGTTCATCATAAATCCTATCCTAATAGTCCAGAGGAACGATATTTTAATATTTTTAATAATTGTAAACGGCATGTATCATGTAATTTTAACATCAAATTTCTATTTCGTTCGTCCCCGAAATTTCGGAAAATATTTCATGGTAGGCTCTCTGGTCAATCTCCAATCGACGTGGACATCATCAGAATGTGGTGCAACAAGAAGTAAGATTAGAAAGAGGTGATTACCTGCGCGGCGGGATGCCCCTGGCGCACGAGCGCGTCGCCGTGCTGCAGCACGCTGCGGAACGAGTCCTCGCGCGCGTCCAGCTCGGCGCGCGCCGCCTCGTGGTCGGCGCGCGCGGCGTGCGCGTGCGCCGCCGACTGCACGCGGCCGCCGCCCGCGACCTGCGCGCGCAGCGCCGCCGCCCAGCCGCCCAGGTCGCGCGCCTGCGTCGTTAACGTCCACTGTCACCACGCGTGCCGCCGTCACAATACAACAAACTCATCTACAGTCGTACCGACACCGGGAGAGACAACCGGACGGTCACAATGACTGACCTGTGTGAGGAACTGGTGCAGCTCGAGATGCTGCTGCAGGACACGTCTGCGCTCATCGGCGGCCGCTCGGAGCGCCGTCCACGCTTCGGCTAGTGCCTCTTGCTGCAGGCTGATCTGCTGCACATTGCCGCCCGGGTACAGCTTCTGGAGACGGGTGCCCTCCTCTTGGAGCACCTGGAAAGTGAATGTCGAGGATTATGCTGTAACTTATTTCTCATTAGTATTCTTAAGTACACGAGGATCACTGAGGCCACCTAGCGCATCCAGTCGAAATTATCGAATGACAACTTCAATAAGTAACAAAAAATACAATTTACTTTTGTCCCAGTTCAAGCGCAGTGGTAATATAAAAAAATTAACCGCGGCGGGAACAAGAGTTCAAAATATTTTTGGCGATCCTTCATAAAGATTTTTTTTTTGATGGGTGGAAGTGGAATGGTAACCCCGCCTGCGCTAACGGGATACGCCGGCGGAGCACCAGTGAAGGGTGATAGGTGAGAATGAAAACACGCCAGTTAGTACATCATGATGAATTCATCAGGAATTAACCATAATAGTTTCCAGGGGGAACCGCGAGGCGGTCGACCTGGTCGGGTATATTGCTAGCAATGGGATTCTCAGTCTCCACTACTAACAATCCCTTTCCCCCCTCATAAAGATTTATCACCTAGTATTGAATGATTGGCCGGTGTACCGGTACGGTTCGCAGTTCGCCCAGTATAATAGGCGGAGGGTGTGCAGCGCGGGACACTGACCTGGAGCTGCGCGTCGACGGCGAGCAGGTCGGCCTCGGCCTTGTCGTGGTGGCGCAGCAGCGCGGCGGCGTGCGGCAGGTCGCGCGCGGCGCGCGGCGGCGCGGCCAGCAGCGCGCGCTTGTCGGCGGCGCGCGCGCGCAGCTCGGCCGCGTCGCGGTGGTAGCGGTGGATGGCGGCCGCCGCGCGCAGCCGCCCGCCGCGCGCCGCCAGCTGCTCCACCAGCCGCTGCCACCGCTCCCTGCGCCGCCGCCAGCCGTCACTACACGCCCACACACACACAGACACTGCGCGCGCTCGCGACAATCGTGCGGCGCAGGGGGAGGGACCAAGTAATAACCGGTTCACTGGCATATTGAAACCGGTTGGAAACGAGGAGCCTCTCAGTTACTACATAACCCTGTCATTTATAAACCGATTGGAAGAATTCTTTTTTTACTTGAAAGGATATACTTTCAGCTTAGACCCGTAGAAATTTTATCAAAATCAGTTCAGTAATTTGGTTTTTAACAAAAATAGTTATTTTTTAATGTTGATAAAGAAATAAAAGGAAATGATGTAATCATAGTTTTAATCAGGAAGACTAGTTTTACACGAGTGACTCTCACCCGAGCGTCTCCTGCTGCTTCTCGATGTCAGCAATGTAAGGACTCTCAGACGCCAGTAATTTCTTCGCCAATTCCTCGCACTGGTTGAACCGCTCCGCGCCGCTCTCGACGCGGTGACGCAGCTCGTCGAATTTGGACGTTAAGATCTGTACGTATGGTACATTTTACTTTGTATCCTTATGGTCCGTCGAGCCGGATTAAAATAGATAACAGCTTCAAACAAGTGGATCATTTCAAAGCATTTTTAACGCCGACTGAATCGGAACAGATCTTAGCTAAGTTCATTGTATGATTTTTGTTCATTGTATTAATTATTTTTTCAAATTCTTGTTTAAAATTGAGTTGCAAATCAATCAACATATTTATGGTCCATCGAGCCGGATTTTAACGAAATAAGGTTAAAAAAATTAGAAGTGTTTTAATTAAACCTGTGCAATTAGTAACCAGAATACGAAACGGAAAATATAGTTAAAATATTAATTAAGTTCTGTTTCAACAAATTTAGCAACACAATTAAATAGATTTAACTCGTGCTTATAATATAATAAACTTTATAACGTTGCTAATAAAGTACAAATTCAGACCAGCAAATGTTCGTAGTCCTGTCCGTAGTCCTCGCTGGAGGCGGCCGCGTACTGCTCCTGTATCCAGGTCTCGAGTTCCGCACTCTCCGCTATGTACTCATGCCTGTAATATCATTGCAAGTGCTATATATCGTCATAACGTAATAAAATTGTAACTAGAGGGAGTAGGACTTTGTAAAATAGGTCGTTTAGTGCAACTTAGAATGGCAAACAAGCTGACGGCCCACCTGATGGAAAGTGGTAACCGTCGCCTATAGACATGAGCAGTACCGTGGACATAACAGAGTGTACCGTTTCACCCATGATACCCCCCATGCGTTGCCATTCCTGAGGACTCAGGTGTTATTCCTCTGTACTCTGTAAATTCACGCCAAATCTCACCCTTCAAACCGAAACACAGCCATGCAAACACAACTGCTTCACAGTAGAAACACGAAAGGGACAGAGGTGGCCAAGCAATCGACTTTTGTACAAAGTCTCCATCTGGTGGGTGTTTTATCGTAATACGTTATCTAGAATTGGTTTATTACGTTGTTGTACTTCTGAAATCCACACGTAAAAAGTAGGCGGCAAAACCTAATAGATAAATAAATGTAACAATCATTAAGTGTGACAGCGTGTAGTTACGAATGGTGGTGCGTAGTCACTTCTTGTGGAGTTATACCATATGTGTCAGACTATATGTGGAATAGTGTAAGGATGTGTGAGATTTCATTTGGTGACATGTCGTCTTTTGTAGTATTGTGAGATTGCGCATAGCTACATGTGGTAGCGTGAAGTAACGTGCGGTGGTTTTCATACAATTGGTGGTGCGTGGGAGAGTGTGGCGAAGTGCTTGACGACGTACCTGCAGACGCTCTCGACGAGCGCGCGCTGGCGTTGCGCTGCGAGGCGCTGCAGGCGCGCGAGGCTGCCGGCCAGCAGCTCGTGCCGCTCCAGCAGCGCCGGGCCTTCAGGGTGGCCGCTGTTGGCCATCGAGCTGGCCACGTGGCCCATCTCCGATATTATCGCAGCGTATGTGTCCAACTCCAATTCTACAGCCTGAATATAATGTTACTGCTTAGTTTATAAGAAGAGAAGAGCCAAAATGCTGGGCCACCTTATACCACATGACGATTTTTTTAAGAGCATAGTAGAAGGAAAGATAGAGGGCAAAAGAGGAAGAGGAAGACCGAGGAATAACTACATGGGACAGATAGAGGAAACACTAGGCGTCATGTCGTATAGGGAGATAAAGGATATGGCCTGGGATAGAGCTGGCTGGAGGAAGATGCATGAGTTGGTTGCACCGACAAGAGGAAACTCTGAAATGAAAAGAAGACTTAGTTCATAATATCCTAGTGATATATACCAGTTGTAGAGTACACAGGTCGTGAGTTCGTATCTGACAAGAAACTTTTGACTAGTCAATAAAAAAATGTACCCGAAACTTTCAGGCAATAAAAACACTGATAAGAAATCAAATTAATTCAAGTGATGGCAGTAGGTTTTTATTGTACCTCCAAGTGATTAGTTCTAGTATATTCGACGGGCGTGGAAGGGGGAGGGATTGTTAATACTAGGGACATAACAGTCTCATTACTAGAAATATACTTTATCAAGTCATCTTCTATGCGGTTTCCACTGGAAACTAACTGCCCTGCTTTCATCTCCACCTATCACCCGTCACTGGTACCCTGCCACAGACCGTTAGTGCGGGTGGAGTTATTATTCTATTATTATCCATTACAAAAATAAACCGCAGTTAGGGAGGGATGGCAGCGCACGGTAGAGGCGGCGCACCTTGTGCCTGGTGAGCAGCTGCGTGGCGCGGTGGCGGTCGCGGCCCACGTCGGCGGCGCCGAGCGCGGCGGCCTTGTCGGCCAGCCAGGCGTCCAGCTCGAGCGCGTCGTGCAGGAACTGCTGCGCGCGCAGCGCCGCGTCCAGCCGCGCCGCGCGCGCCGCCGCCGCCGCCGACAGCGCCGAGTACGCCCGCTGCAGCTCCGCGCACAGCCGCTCCATCTGCACCGCCACACAACAACATCTACCACCGTCTAATAGAGCTACTTACAAAGTGATTTTAAGCAGTACAGCATTAATTTTTATCCAATTAAGTACCTTAAACACATTGTCCATTCAACATAGATCAATATTGCCCTTTACAGCATGTAATCTAAATGAATATATTCGAAGATATTACAGATTTAAAATGCGGGGACATAGCGGTGCGGCGGTACCGGCTCGGCCGGCGGCGTGTGCCTATATAATAGCGCATCGAAGGCCGCGCATCGCCCTATAGCACTTTATCATATTTGTATTGTGTAATGACAAAAAAGCTGTAAACGTTGTTTATAACATTTTGTAATGGGTAGGTATATTTAGTATCAGCATTGCACCCGTGCGAAGCCGGGGCAGGTCACTAGTTAGTAATAAACAACATGGATTTAAAAATCACTCGACCACATCCAATCTTTTGGTGTATACAAGTTTCATTCGTTCAACTTTTCTTTTAAAGAAATTATTTCACATTGGTATACAGAGAGATCTGCTCAGATGGACTGAAAGTTACTTAAAGAATCGAACTCAACTCGTGGCAGTTTATGGATATGAGTCCGTACCATTTACGGCATCAACAGGCGTACCTCAAGGTTCCAACTTGGGACCTTTATTTTTTCTTATATTTATTAATGTTAGACTCATTTAAATGTAACTGTCTGGCATACGTGGACAATATAAAATTATATAACGAAATAACATCTATAAACAATTGCATACAAATTACCACCTTTTTTTTATACAACTGGTGTGAAATAAACCATATAATTTAATATTGTTAAAAGTTGTGTAATATCTTTCATTAAAAATAAAAATATATACCAATTTGACTATAAAATAAAAAATAACTAAAAAGAGTTACAATTGTTATACACATAGATACCTGCAGATGATTTATCTCCCTCTGACCGAATAATGACTGGGCTCATAACGTATCGATTGTATTTGAAACAATAAATTACCTTCTCAGCCTGCGGATGCTTGTCCTCGATCAGCGCCCTCCCCTGTGCGATGACCCGCTCTATGAGGGGTTGGCGCCCAACCAGCTCGTTGCGCAGCTTGCTGTGCTTCTTCTGCGCGGACTGTGCCGCGTGCAGGTCAGTAGGCATGGTCTCTGAAGACGCGGCCGCCTGTCGCTCCGACAGCCAGTCTAGCTCGCCGGCCACTTCGGCCGCGAACTTGTGTAGTCTGTGATAAAGGAAACGTTAGTATGATCTGGGAGACTTCGATAAAACAAAATCGTGTCAGATGAACAAAATTTTTAGTAACAAGTTAATAAGAATGCCCATCAACATCACATCAGCTGTTAACTGTCCACTGCTGGACATAGGCCTCCCCGAAAGGGGGGGGAGTTAATAGTTGCCATGGCGATAGTATTCTATGGGCCATCTCTTCCTTTCCCGTGAGTATCGTAAGGCCCGATTAAGAGAACTTAATCATAGAAGGATGGGCATCATTGTCCTTCTTAAAACATCTCTAAAGCCTATCTGCGGTTGCCAATTCGCCTACCAAGCGTGGCAACTAGTGGCAACCCCTCCTCTCCTCAAAGGAAGAGGCTTATTGTCTAGCAGTGGACAGTTAAAGGCCTAGATAGAATGAATCCTTGAGTTCAGGAATCACTTTTAAAGCATGTTTACTGTTTAAGTAGTAAGAAAAGTTTTTATCGCGCAAAAGAAATGTATAAGAGCGATTTGTGGTGTTGGTCCAACAGAATCTTGTAAACCTCTATTTAAAAAATTAAAGCTTTTGACACTTACCTCAATGTATATTTATGAGGTGGGAATATTTGTAAAAAACATTTGTATTTATTTACAACAATGACAGAATATAATAAATTCACACCCAGAGACCCCACACAACTGAAACTACCCACCTGTAAGTCAACGCTGCATCAACAAAATTGCGGTGTAATGGCTATTCGAATTTATAATAGGATACCAAAAAAAATAAGAGAATTGCCATTAAATTATTTTAAATTAAAATTGAAAACATGGTTAATAGAAAATAATTTTTACAATATTAATGAGTTTTTGTAAAATATAAATGCTGTGACATTGATTTAGTTGAAATTTAAATTGTAATTTTAATTTTATTTGACATTTTTATTATTTTATTATTTGTAGTAGCTTTATTGACTGTTTGTAATGCATGACCAAAGTGACACTTCGTACTAATAGTGATTTATTGTATATGTAATTGAAAATTAAATATATGATGTACCTGTATAAAATAGAAAATGGATAAATTCAATAATTAATATTTGCATGCCATTTGATGTGGCGAAACATAATGGACATCTTATAAACTTCACAAATGCAACACCTTTTCTACAATGTTTCTAGCAAATAAATTTCATTTCATTTCATTTCATTTCATTTCAACAAATATGTATATAAATAAGTAAAGTATGGTGCGGGCTGCACGTACTGCAGGCTGCTGTCGAGCGCCTGCCGCCGCTGCGCGGTGCGCGGCTGCAGCGCGCGCACGGCCTGCAGCAGCGCCGCCGACTCCTTCTCTATGGCCGGCGCGTCGAAGTGGCCGTCCGAGACCAGGTCCGCCCCCTGCGCTGCCAGACTCTTGCCCTTCTGCTCCCAGGACGATAGCTCTTGTTCTAGCAGCTGCGGAATTAAGGGATAAATACTTATTCATAATGTATCACAATGTCGAAGAAGGTATTAGCAATGCAGTATATGTCCTGGAAACCTTAGTGGTTAATGATTGTTGAATCCGTTACGATGTGCTAACTGCCCTGCTTCGTCCTCACCCACCATCCGTCACTGGAGCGCCGTCAGCGTTTACCGACACCTAGGTTTCTATACCCATTAAAATGGTTAGTCCCGGTCGTGGTGGCTACCTGGTGCTGGTTGAGCAGCCGCCTGCAGCTCCTGAGGTCGGTGCCCACCTCCTCGCTGCGCAGCTCGCGCTCCAGCTCCACCAGCCGCGCCTTCGCGTCCTCCACCGACCTGGACACGTGTATATTTGTTTAAGAGCTTTCATATTAAAATATTTATTAGCATACGTTTCGACGACCTCCGAAACGCGGTATTGAGTACGTTGCTTTGCGTAAATGAAGACGCGGATTTGATTTCCGGCAGTGTTAATTTAGAGTCCGAATATTTCTAAATATACTAAAAAAAGTGGCTATTTTTATTTCACATATTTCTTAAGAAAATAGTAAAAAAAAAATAGTACAATTAGAATAAGCCGCCGAAACGCAACTTTGAGCAATATGGCGTCAGTGACGTCACATTGAAGTAAACAATCACCGAGTGTCGTACACGAGTTTGATCAGTATTTTCTTTTTGGAAACGCCTTAAACAAATATTTTAGTTGGCACGTACCTCCTGTGCTTCCTCTGCAGTGCAGCCTGCCGCAGCTTGCTGCCCTTGTCGCGGGAGGCGGCCACCAGTTCCTCCCAAGCGGCTTGCAGCGATTGCAGCCGCGCGGACACCTCGTCGGCGCGCGCCGGGTCCGACTGCTGCAGCGACTGACCGATCTGGAGACAGGGGCGAGTTTAAGGATATATTATTACCGATGACTTGAAAGATAACGCTGACATTGAACGTAAACGCAGGACGATGGCTGTAAGGGGTAATATGTTGGCTCGCAGGTTTGCTCGTTGCTCGACTGAAGTCAAAATAATATTGTTCAAGGCATATTGCCAATCTTTTTACACGAGCAGCCTGTGGGTTGACTATACACAGCGGGCATACAACGCTCTGCGTGTTCAATACAATAATGTTTTCAGAGTGTTGTTACGGCTGCCACGTTTTTGTACTGCATCCATAATATTTGCAGCGGCATGGACAGATGACTTCTACGCCATCAGACGCAAACGGATCGCATCTCTTTTATACCGATTGCGTGGCAGCAGTAACAGCATTCTGAGGGCATTGTGTAATAAATACGATAGCCCGATCCTCTCATTGTGGCTCAAAATTATTATAGGGGCCATAAAATGAATTTTGTATTTTTTTTTCTACTAACATAGTTTAAGTCAATTGTTACTAACAAAAATGGATCTTTGTAATCTATAATAAAGAAATATTATTATTATTATTATGGCATCTCCATCGACAGCTCTGGTTCAATCATGTTTCAGTCGTGTCAATGCTTGCACGGCTGTATCAGTTTCAATGGTGGGATATGGCAGTGAAATACTATATCTATGGTATTGTTCAAGTCTGTAGGCAATCATTATAATTTTTTAAAGACAATTAATGTAAGAAAAAGTTAATGTAACAAGATCATGTTAAGAAAAATATAATATCTTTTACATCAGACTAAACCATAACCCCGGCCCTGAAAAGATAAAGTGCTTGCTGTTTTTTTTTTCTTTGCTTCACGGTAGAAACACGAATAAGACAGAGGTACCCAAGCAATCGACTTTTGTACAAAGTCACCCTCTGGTAGTATATTTATTTAATTAACATTTTTTTTTAATTTGTGCACCGCCATTCACTCTCTCTGTTTATCGTAACGGTAGACTGGTAGAGAATGCCATCAGGCTTTGAATCCGCCCTGTAGACTGTAGATATACGTAATATATGCAAAAGTATAAATAGATAATTAAATACAAAAATATTAGAAGATTGCGCAGTGAATTGAAATATTTTTTTACAACACAGGGGGCAAACGAGCACGCGGCTCACCTGATGGTAAGTGACTACCGCCGCCCATGATCACTCACAACACCAGCGGCATTGCAGGTGTGTTGCCGGCCTTTTAAAAAGGAATATACTCTTTTCTTGAAGGTTATGTTGTCGTATCGGTTCGGAAACACCGCTGCTGGAAGTTGATTCCAAAGAACAGTTGTGCGTGGAAGAAAGTGCCTTGAAAAACGCACGGTGGAGGACCGCCGCTCGTCCAGATGGTTGGGATGAAACTTTAGTTTGTGGCGGGTTGTACGGTGGTGAAAATCAGCAGCAGGTATCAATCTGAACAATTCCTCAGAACACTCCCCATGATAAATTCGGTAGAAGATGCACAGAGATGCAACATCTCTGCGCAGTTTCAGAGGGTCGAACCGGACAGTAAGTAAATTTCAGCAAATTCGGAGCCAAGTTTGCTTAAATTTGAAAAATCTAAAAAAATTGCCAACCAACCACCCTTTGGAATCAACTTCCAGCAGCAGTATTTCCGAACCGATACGACAACATAACCTTCAAGAAAAGAGCATATTCCTTTTTAAAAGGCCGGCAGCACACCTGCAATGCCGCTGATGTTGCGGGTGATCATGGGCGGCGATAGTCACTTACCATCAGGTGAGCCGTATGCTCGTTTGCTTCCTGTCTTGTAACAAAAACCTAACGACCATGTTAACTTGGCGCGTTTGACAGGACTACTTGTATGGGGTCGGCTGGTTTGCAGCATCAATAAGGATGTACTTACGCTCTCCACGTTTCTGAGCTGCTTCTCGTTGGCCTGCAGCTCGCGCTCGAACGCCTCGTGCTTCTGCAGCTTGCGCTCCAGGTTGGCCAGGTCTCTGTTCGTATGGACATCGCATTAGTTTTAGATTTAACATATATATCACACTACTTGAACTGTTAAATCTTAAAATCATTTGACTAAATTTCTAATGTAAGTATTAATAATAATAATTCGTTTATTTTAACATTTTTTTTTATGCAACTTAGAATGGCAAACAAGCTGACGGCCCACCTGATGGAAAGTGGTAACCGTCGCCTATAGACATGAACAGTACCGTGGACATAACAGAGTATACTGTTTCGCCTATGATACACCCCACGCGTTGCCATTCCTGAGGACTCAGGTATTATTCCTCTGTACCCAGTAAATTCACGCCATATCCCACCGTTCAAACCGAAACACAGCCATGCAAACACAACTGCTTCACGGTAGAAACACGAATGGGACAGAGGTACCCAAGCAATCGACTTTTGTACAAAGTCTCCCTCTGGTAAAATATTATATACGTAGGTAGGTATTGTATGTATTTATAGTGTATGTATTTATGTAATATTTTATTATATATTTTAATATTTTATTTAACTGTATATTTGTTTATGTATTAATAGTTGTAGCACTCCAGCTGCCCGCTAACGAAATGCTTTCTCACTGTACTGGGTTGACTGGAAGAGATCTCTGTCAGAGATAAGTCCACCCTTGCTCACAATATTTACACAGAAACAGTACACTCTGTTATGTCCACGGTACTGCTCATGTCTATTGGCGACGGTTACCACTTACCATCAGGTGGGCCGTCAGCTTGTTTGCCATTCTAAGTTGTATAAAAAAAAAGTGGTTATAATAATAAATAAAATTTTTGCATTTCCAGTCTGTCAGTACGTGATTACGTACTACATTTACGGTGCTGTTCATGTTACACGCCTGTTACACTTCCGATTCAGGCGAGCCGTCAGCTCGTTTCCTATTTACCTGTAGCTCTGGTCCTTGGCAGTTCTCGTCTTGTCCTGGATCCATCCCTGCAACTCCTCCGTGGCAGCCACGAACTGTTGTACGAAATATTTTTTTTAAGTAAACATTCCACTACGAGATCAGTCCACGATAGATAGATAGATAGATAGATAAACACTTTATTTGAGCCATTTACGACACACGACAAATTAACAAATGAGTTTATACAATCAGATTATTTACACTTTTTCAAATAAAAACCAAAAGATGAAGTATGGAGATATGTTTTCACCAAGTGTGTCGCAGTGACCCATACAGGCTACAGCTCAGTGAGTTTAGCTTAAAAGCAAAGCACTGATTTTCAGCTGCAACCTGAAGTAAGGCTACACGGACGCGTGCAACAAACCCAGAGTGTAACCTGTGTTAATTTAACAGCCAAAGGTAAAATTGTATTATATTTATTTATTTATTTTTTGGAAAACATACAGCTGTATTACAGTCCATACATAATCAAATTTATATCTATGTGATGACAATGATCGGTTTTTATATATGCAAAATACATACATACACACACATACATACATACATATCTGTCACGCCTGTCTCCCATTAGGATAAACAATGGAACGCCAAATGCTTCGATTCAAACAAACCTATTTCGCTTCCTCCACATTCATCAATCTTGTCATACACGCTCGCCGGTTACGGGTACTTTTAATTTGGCCCTCCTTCAGCACGTCGCCTGTTCGGTCGACATACTTCCGTCTAGAGCGGCCCCTACCGACATCTCCATTCATTCTTGCTCGATAAATCACTTTCGTAATTCTTCTTTCATCCATCCTCTCCAAATGACCAAACCAACGCAACATTTCTTTTTCAATTTTTGTCACTACACCGTCTTTCAGTCCACACTTCTCTCTAATCACACTGTTTCTTACTCTATCTTTTAATGTAACACCACACATACTTCTCAGAGCTCTCATCTCTACAGCATTTGTCTTACTTTCATGCTTCTGCCATACCCACGATTCGCTTACATACATGAGTGCTGGTGTCAGTGCTCCTTGAATTATGGCAAGGCGAGCTTTGCTCGATACATTTTTACTTGACATACTCGAGAACAGTGCACCGTTAACACTGTTTCCCGTTTTACATACATACACACACATTATATATATATATATATATATATATATATATATATATATATATATATATATATATAGATAGATAGATAGATACTTATATAAATGATGCATAAATACTATATTTAATTAATTAATGAAACATACAGTATAAATATTAATTAACACAGTAATTATTATGTTAAAAGCGATACCAAGCTCACAGGCGGTATCTAGCTTTCGAATCTAAGGCGAGACTGCCACCTTCTGCGTGTTCTACCGCTTGTATAAAAAAAATATATAGATTTGTATTTGGCAATTTATTAATTACAGATTTACATTGAAAAAAATATTAAAATTGCCGTGTGGATTGTTTTTTTTTATACAACTTAGAATGGCAAACAAGCTGACGGCCCACCTGATGGAAAGTGGTAACCGTCGCCTATACACACGAGCAGTACCGTGTACATAACAGAGTATACTGTTTCGCCCACGATACCCCCCATGCGTTGCCATTCCTGAGGACTCAGGCGTTAATCCTCCGTACCCAGTAAATTCACGCCACATTCCCGGCATAGAATGGGACCACCGTTTCCTTTCCCGTGGGTGTCGTAAGACGCGAATAAGGGACAGCGAGGGATGGGCAGCAGCGTTTCTTTTAAAACATCACCAAAGCCTAACTGCGGTTGACAATCCGCCTGCCAAGCGTGGCAACTACTGGGAAAACCCCCCAACGGGAGACCTATGTCCAGCAGTGGACAATTAACGACTGATCGATAATAATTATTAAAATATGACAATTACATTTCGATTCTTACGCCTGTAAGCAATGTAATTAAAAAAATAACTGATAAATCTCGAAACGGACAGGATTAACTCCTGGCCAATACGTTCTGGTGGGGGGAAAGGGATTGTTAGTAATGGAGACTGAGAATCCCATTGCTAGCGATATATCCAACCAGGTCGACCTCCTCGCGGTTCCCCCTGGAAACTATCACGGTTAATTCCTGTTGAATTCATCATGATGCGCTAACTGGCCTGTTTTCATTCTCACCTATCACCCTTCACTGGTGCTCCGCCAGCGTATCCCGTTAGCGCAGGCGGGGTTACCATGCCATTTTCAACCAATAAAAAAAAATACGTTCTGGTGGGCCAACAGACCTGTTCCTTCCTCACCTATCATCTGTCACTGGTGCCCCGTCAGTGTATACCGACAGCAAAGACTAAAGTTTGATGCCTCCGGGGTCATTTTACAAGTTACCGTTCCACTGTATCCTCTCCCCCTTCTGTAAGTGAAGTATGAACAGTGTACGCACCTGGTGATGAGCAAGCCCGGCCTGCAGGTGGCGGCGGCGGGTGGCGGCCGCCGTCCGCACGCCGTCGCGGCGGGCTAGCGCAGCCTCGCGCCGCGCCGCGATACTGCAACAGACCATCAGGCTAGCCGTATGCTGGCGCGAACGCAGTCATGGAGCAGGCGAGTTAATTATTCAAGGTTTTAGGTCAAAACACACAGCCTTTCATGGTCATCATTTCAGCTACTATCCGTCCACTGCTGGACGTAGGCCTCCCCAATAGACCGCCATAAGGAACGGTCCTGAGCCACCTGCATCCACTGACTCTCTGATTTTTTAGACAAACGGAAGTGACTATTTTATGTAGTGACTAGCAATCCAACCCGACTTCGCACGGGTAGACAGAATTTTCCAAAATAATACGTAAACTATATTAATCGTTGACAATGTAGCTTTGTACAGGTGAAAGAATTAAAAAAATCCGTCGAGTAGTTTTTCTGAAATGAAGAATATTATAAAGACGCGTGGAGCACGTCCCCGGGCTCTGTACTGACTGCGCGGCGGCGTAGTGCGGCAGGCGCTGCAGCTGCAGCGCGCGCGCCTGGAAGGCGGCCAGGCGCTCGTCCTGCGCCGCCAGCCGCGCCTCCAGCTCCTCGTGCCGCTTCAGCAGCGCCTCCGCCTCGTCCACCGACGCCTGCGCACCACGCAACCAGTTGCTGTTCAGTTGCACTACATTGTTGTGTGTTAGTGCTCAATTGCAGTGTATTTGTTGTGTTTTTTATACAATTTACAATGGCAAACAAGCTGACGGCCCACCTGATGGAAAGTGGTAACCGTCGCCTATAGACATGAGCAGTACCGTGGACATAACAGAGTACACTGTTTCGCCCATGATACTCCCCCATGCGTTGCCATTGCTGAGGACTCAGGTTATTCCTCTGTACCCTGTAAATTCACGCCATATCCCACCCTTCCAACCGAGACACAACTGCTTTACGGTTGAAACACAAATGGGACAGAGATACCCAAGCAAACGAATTTTGTACAAAATCTCCCTTTGGTGTCGTTGTTGAGTTACACTACACTGTTGTGTTAGTGTTGAGTTGCAGCGTATTGTTGTGTCGCTGCCGAGTTACACTACATTGTTGTGTTAGTGTTGAGTTGCAGCGTATTGTTGTGTCGCTGCTGAGTTACACTACATTGTTGCGTGTTAGTGCTGAGTTGCAGCGTATTGTTGTGTCGCTGCCGAGTTACACTACATTGTTGTGTTAGTGTTGAGTTGCAGCGTATTGTTGTGTCGCTGCTGAGTTACACTACATTGTTGCGTGTTAGTGCTGAGTTGCAGCGTATTGTTGTGTCGCTGCCGAGTTACACTACATTGTTGTGTTAGTGTTGAGTTGCAGCGTATTGTTGTGTCGCTGCTGAGTTACACTACATTGTTGTGTTAGTGTTGAGTTGCAGCGTATTGTTGTGTTGTTGATAGATATCAATGTATTACTGTGTTATGTTGCAGTATACTGTTTCGTTGTGTTCAGCACAACAATACACACTTATCAATACATCTATCTGTCATTCAACTATACCGACCCCGCATTCCTTGTACTCCAGGTAGGCCTCGTGCGCGCCGCTGGTCGCGTCTATCTGGTCCGCCTCGCGGTTGAAGCACTGCAGCTGAACCAGCTGTTTCAGGTACGCCTCCTTCTCCTGCCAGGCTGCAATGGAAGATGATAATTAAAATTTGGAAATAAAAACCGATCATATTTGTATTATAAAAAATCACACGACGAATATCTAGGAGCACTATCCGGAACACCCTGAATAGTTCATTTCTGAATGACTAGACCAAGAACCGAATCCGGAACCGCATTTAGGTAAAGCAAAGTGCCCGCTACTGTGCAAACAAGTTGACGGCCCACCTGATGGAAAGTGGTAACCGTCGCCTAAAGACACGAACAGTACCGTGGACATAACAGAGTATACTGTTTCACCCATGATACCCCCATGCGTTGCCATACCTGAGGACTAATGTCTTATCACCGACTCTTCAAATCGAAATATTTATAAGCACAGCACAGCTGCAGACGACTCATGTACAGTCTCCTCCTGGTGATTATAGTACAGACCTTTGTCGAGTGCCCGCTGCTCGTCCTGCAACAGCTTGATCTTCTCCGCGACGTCGGTGAGGGACGGGTTGTTGGCGAGCAGCTGCTGACCCAGCCCTATCACCTCCTTGAACCTGCGAATGATGGTTGCCATGAGTAAAGAGAGGCAAGGGAGTGTTAGTAATGGAGATTAGCAATTCCATTGCAAGCAATATACCCTATCAGGTCAGGGCCTACACGCGGCGTTCCCTGGAAACCATCGTGATTGATTTATTGCTGAATTCGTCACGACGGGCTAACTGACCTGCTTCATCCTCACCTAACATCTCTCACTGATGCCCCGCCAGCGTATACCGATAGCGCAGGCGTTGTTACCATTCCATTATCATAAAAAAAAAACCATCAGTAAAAGGGGAAAACACTCCAATTGCTATATGTTCACTCCAGTCGTACACATGGTTCTGGAAACTGACATAGTGTGTACTGGTGATTTGTCACGATGGCCCAACTGACCTTCCATTCCCTCAAAACACACTTCACCACCAACAAACCACCTTTGGCGCAGGCGGGGTTACCATTTTATTAACACTCATTTAAAAAAAAAACAAAAGTAAACATTTATATTTGTCGTGTGGTCCCGGCATAGAATGGACCACACCTTTCAATTACACCTTAGAATATTTGGTACAATACTAACTCGTCATTGTGCGTCTTGATATCATCGAGTAACTCCTGGTGCTGCTTGTGGAGAGCCTCCGCCGTGGCCACGTCCTTCGCGGTCGCCTCCTGCGCCAGTTGCGCCTGCGCAGTCTGCCCACAAACAACATTTATTTTAATTGACTAGAAACTGAAGGTTGTGTTAAACTTCCCCCTCCCCCCTCACCAAGATGTCAGCAATCCTATTGATATTTTCATCTCAATATCCCAATCGAGGGGGGAGAATGTAGCAAACAAGGATATACCCTGTCTGATGGTAAACGGTCACTGTAGCCTATAGCCTGAGGAAACCTTAATATTCCCTTTTTGGAAAACCCCATACAGTAGTCTGTTAGTTGCTAATAATGGTGTATAGTGGCTCCACCACCAGCAGTATACCTGATGGGGAAGGGGATCAGGTCTACTTACACACTTTGCACCTGGAAACCATCATTTAATCCCTAGTGAATTTCCATAATCATAAGTACCAGACACCAATTGTATGGTCATCCAGCGGTTGGTGTAATCGTATATCATAGAATGATACTCAGGGTTATGGGAAATCAGGCATCGAACTCTCACACTCGAGGAAAGTTCATTTACTAAATTAAATCGACCAGAAATCGAACCTGGGACCTCGTTTCTACAAAGCAACGGTGCTCACCACGATGCCATGGTGGTCATCAGTTACTCAAGCCTGCCGCACTCACCTGCAGCCAGTCCTGCAGCTGCGCAGAGCTGTTCCCGAATATCTGGTGGCCGACGGCGCTCTCGAGCCGGTTCCTCCTCTCGGCCGCCTGCGCCTGGCACCGCTCCCACATCTGCTGTATCTCCCGCTGGCGACCCTCCACGTTGCTCCTCTCGTTGGGGTACTGGGATTTGACGCTGAGGAATTAAATACAGCATCAGTGGTGTAGTTGTGATCTGGGAGTGAAGGATCCAGGAGTACTAGTTGAAACTCCAAGAGCATCACTGAGAGCCCTTCAAAATTTGGGGAGAATTTACGCTAGTGCATTTAAGAACTGGCATAATTGTGTTTGAATTGTATAGTAGCAACGCCGAAGTGTGGCAAGGTTGGGATTCTGTAAAATATTGTTATTTTTCGTATTAAATGTAATTGTTTTTTTTTTTATTTAATTTAATCAAAACACAAGACCCTAGTTCAGGCTTTCATATGGTCCTTCGAGCCGGATATGAATTAGTGACATGTGGATGGACCAGGGTATGTATACATTACCTCGTCGTTTAACGCTTATGAGAATTCACGATCAAATCCTCTTCTTTCACGTATTAAATGTAATTACAGTTTTTTTTTTTAAATTTCTGCTTATAACATTTAATAGTATCTTGTTTTATATTTTCCTTAATTTATTACAAGTCTTTAGCCGCGACTTCGTTCGCATGAGCGGGACTCATTGATCACGATAAAAAGCCCATGACCTTCTCCCTCCCGTATAGTACGCGTATACCAAATTTACATAGTAATCGGTCAAGCCGTTAAGGTGCTATAAGGTAACAAACAAACACACTTTGTAATATTAACATGGATTTAGCTATACATTTATTTACCAATGCTTCTCACACCATTTCAAAAGGCTGCGTGCGAGAGAAAAATTATTGCTCAGTATGAAATGTTACTTTTATGGTAAGGATTTCGCGTTGCATTGGAAACTAATTTACTTTTTAATTGATCTTGTTAATAAACCTAGTATCATTATCTTCTTTTTTTTTTATTCTTTACATTAATTTGAAAAATCAAGGAAAAAAGGGCTTCTGGTGGCTTCTGGGATAATCGGGCGCTAAAATGGTAATACCGAGAAAACCAGTAATGTTGAGTGTGCCTTTTACAGTTCAATATGCCCATAAGAACCCCACAAAGTTTCGATTCAATCGCTTCTTCACGGTACACACAGCTGGGGACAGAGGTGGCCAAGCAAACGACTTTTGTACAAAGTCTCCCTCTGGTAAGTTTTTATGAATCGTTTTTATCAATAAGGGGACAATCACTTCAAATACTTCGAATCCTCAGGAATGGCGAAGCATGAGAGGTTCTTAAGCAACATTATTCTATAAAGTCTATGACACTTTACGTTTTTTTTTATATACAACTTAGAATGGCAAACAAAGAACAAAAAAGAAAGTCTCCCTCTGGTGACGGCTAATGGGCTAGCTTGACCCCATTACACCATCATCAACATCTCAGCCATTATCTGCCTACTGTTACACATAGGCCTCCCCATAGACTGCCAAAAGGAACGCTCCTGATCCACCTGCATCGAGGTTATCACTCCATCTAGTGTGGGATCGTCCTGCCTTGCGTTGATGCCGTTAAAATGGTATAAAAGTAGGTCATTTCACTCACGAGTCTGCCAGCAGGCTCACAGTGTTCACTTTCTCCTTTAACGGCTCCAGCTCCCTCTCGAGCTGCGCGTGACGACGCTGCAAGGCCCTGACGGTTCGTAGGTCAGCAGCAGGGTCGGTGCTGGCCGCGAGCTGCTGTTCCTTCTCGGCCATCCAGTCGAGGGCATCGTCGCAGGTGCGGCTGAAGAGTTCCACGCTGGGAAGGAAGTAAATAATATTAGCTTAATCAAGAATATTCTTATCTACTGAGAAGAACTTGTTGGAAACTCAGCGGTTTTTTCCATAACAAGTAGATATTAAATTTACAGAGTCATGGTACCTACTCATCTAGATGACAAAACGGTTTGGATGTACAGTAGAGTAGAAGAAATCGACTGAAGTGGAACGACTCTCCAACTCCTCATAATTGTTACTGGTCCAGAGTTGACCTAATTGCCTGGTCAAGGTTGGATTCTAATAGCCATTTTAAAGATGAATTTCTTTGAATTAATCACAAACTCCTGAAAAATCCAGGGTTATTACACTTTATTGAAAACCCACCTTGATGCGCCTTCCAAACTCTTTTCCTTTTGTTCTTTGAGCCGCAGCAGCCGGTCCCATTGTTGACGCAACTGCTGCTTTCTGGCGGTAGCTTTAGCGGCTTGGCCGTGCTTCGCAGCCACCAGCTCCTCGGCAGCTGCGTCGATATGCTCCAGCCGTTTGGAGGCCGCAGACAGATCCGTCACGAATTTCTATGGAATAATTCAAATCACAAACACTCAAATGCATGCCACTAAAGAAGTCTTTTTAATGTGGTCTTTTTTTATACCACTGAGGTGGCGAACGAGCATACGGCCCACCTGATGGTAAGCGGTTACCGTAGCCTATGAACGCCTGCAATACCAGAGGTATAACGCGCGCGTTGCCGAACCTGAAGAAACCTCTTTACCCCCCCTTTTGAAGAACCCAAATTTCTTTTATAACTGTACCTAATTCAGTCCATGATTTTACTGTTTTGGCTGCACTTCCTCACCTCATACTTCCTCTTGGCGGTGTCGACGCTATCTTCAGCGTCGTCCGCTCGCAGCATCTTCTCCTTGTCTCGTATCCACTTGTCGAAGTCGTCGCACTCCGCGAAGAAGCTGTACAGCTTTATGGCGTCCTCGAGCTGGGCGCGGCGGTTGGCCGACAGGGTCAGCAGCTCGTCTGGAATGGGCGAGGGTGATCAGTGAGGTCAGATACTTAGAATGGCAAATAAACTGACAGGCCACCTGATGGAAAGTGGTAACCGTGGTAAAGCCAAAACAATGATAGATGAGGATGAAGCAGGTCAGTTAGTCCATCGTGACGAATTCAACAAGAATTGTTCACGATGGTTTCCAAGGAGAACCAGGAGGTCGATCTACTTCATGTATTATTACTCGATTACTCGAGATTTCGGCTTTTGGTTTAACGACGGGCCGCGTGCGTGGCGTGAACCGTCCTCGGCAGTGCGTGGCTGGGGCTCACCGTAGTCGCGCTGTATGTCGGCCATGCGCGCGTCGACGGCGGCGGCGGGCGGCGGCGCGGCGGGCGTGCGCGAGGCGCGGCGGGCGGGGGGTCGGCCGCGCCGCACGGCCACCACCTGCTTCACCAGCACCGTCTTCTTCACGCGCTGCACCGTGCGCACCTTCTCCGGCCGCCGCACTTGCACCTGCGTACAACACCACACCAATATTCTACCGCTCTCTGCTACGAACAGCTTTTTATTTTTGGACTTTTTATTCGATGCAGTAAACTCACAATTCCAGTGTTGCAAGATACTGTGTTATGATTTTTTATTTATAAAAAAGTAATCAAGATAGGTATAAGTAGATAATAGGTAGGTACTTATTAACCCCCCCCCCCCACACTCCTCTAAAGTAGGTATCTCTTCCTATAAAGTAATTCTAAATGCGCCAAATACAGCCAAACAGAGGGAGGGGGAATGAGAACTACCAGTCCCATTGCTGGCAATATACCCCGACAGGAAGACCTCCACGAGGTACCCCCTGGACACCATCGGGCTGAATTCCAGGTGTATTTATCATGATGGGCTAACTGATTTGTTCTTATCCTCACCTATCACCCCTTACTGGTGCCCTGCCGGCGTAAACTGTTAGCGCAGGCGGGGTTACCATTTTTTTTTTTTTGATGGGTAAAAATGGTATGGTAACCCCGCCTGCGCTAACGGGATACGCTGGCGGAGCACCAGTGAAGGGTGATAGATGAGAATGAAAACAGGCCAATTAGCCCATCATGATGAATTCATCAGAAATTAACCATGATAGTTTCCAAGGAGAACCGCGAGGAGGTCGACCTGGTTGGGTATACTGCTATCAATGGGATTCTCAGTCTCCATTACTAACAATCCCTTTCCCCCGGTGGGGTTACCATTACATCATTACTCATTAAAAATAAACCTTCCCCCCCCCCCTCTAAAGTAGGTAACTCTTCTTATAAAGTGATCCTAAATGGGTCAAACGCTGATAAAGAACAGGCACTCACCGGCACGAGCCTGGGCTCGATCTCCCTTACGTAGTTGGCGGGCACGAAGCCGTCGGTGCGGTCGGCCTTGCGCACCGACCACCAGTCTGGATTCGTCTTGTTGATAAGGAACATCACCTCGCCCTTCTGCATCGAGATGCCCTGCCCCGTGAACGCGTACAGCGCTTTCACCTGGTGGACAAAAAGCAAGATATCAGAGTGGGTACTACGTACTAATGGGTTGTATAACCCGTAACTTAGGGAGGAAGGGCTGGTTAAGGGTTGTTAGTAATAGGGATTAACTGCTCCCTTGCTAGCAATATACCTTATCAAGTCGACCTCCACGCGGTTCCCCCCCTGGAAATCATCTTGATAAATTCTTATGAAATTCGTCAGGATGGGCTAGACAGATCAGTACCTGTTTTCATCCACACCTATCATCCCTCACTGGTGCCCCGCTAGCGTATTCCGATAGCGCAGGCGTGGTTGTTTTTTAACAGATGAAAGTGGAATGGCAACCCCACCCGCGCTATCGGTATACACCCGGTGGGGCACCAGTGAAGGATGATAGGTGAGGATGAAGTACGTCAGTTAGCCTATCGTGACAAATTCAACAAGAATTGTTCACAATGGTTTCCAGGGGGAACCACGTGGAGGTCGACCTAATAAGGCATATTGCTAGCAATGGGGCTGTCAAACTCCATTGCTAACAATCCCTTCCCCCAACATTGGAACAGATTTTAAACGCGCAGGCGTGGTTACTATTCCATTTTCATCCATTAAAAAAAAATACTTCATAACTGGTAAAGATATTGTTAGTAATGGAATGTAATGGGGGGTGGGGGAGAGTTTGGAAGGGACTGTTGATAATAATCTTGATCCTTGCGGTTCCTTCTGGAAATTATCGTGTTCTATTCCTGGTGTATTCATCACGATGGCCTAACTGACCTGCTTCCATCCTCACCTATCATCCCTCACTGGTGCCCCGCCAGCGTATATACCGTTAGCGCGGGCGGGGTTACCATTCCACTATCACCCATTAAAAAAGAGCCAGCAGTGTTTGCCGTACCTGGGGCACGCTGCGCTCCTCGGTGACGGTGCGGTGCTCGAGCCGCTCGACCGGCTCCTCCTCCCACACCTCGGTGGGCACGAGCCGCGACTCGTTCACCCACTCCTCCTCCTCCATCGCCGGCGACGAGTCCACCTCCGTCGGCAGCTGGTGGGTACACACATTTGTTATTAATCTATACTTATAATAAATCTGTAGAGAGGTCAATTCTGTACATGAAATATATTTACAAAATAACTATCACGCGGTGATTAGTGATCGATACTGATGCCGAAAATGCAATCAGTAAAATTCTTGTCTGCCTGTCTGTATGTTCGTTATAGAAACAAAAACTACTCGACGGATTTGAACGAAAATTGGTACAATTATTCTTCATACTCCCAGGCAGGTTATAGTATACTTTTCATCACGCTACGATCAATAGGAGCGGAACGGTGAAGGGAAATGTTAAAAATGTTCACCCGTGCGACGCCGGGACGGGCCGCTAGTAAATAATAAATATCATGAATGTTAAAGCGTGCCATGTGTCGGGCGCAGTGCCGTGCAGTACCTGCAGCGAGTGTATGCCGGCGGCCAGCAGCCGGGCGGCGTGTGCGCTGAGCGTGTCCAGCTCGGCGCTGTAGGCGCGGATGTCGTCGTGCAGCGCCCTCTGGCGGGCCAGCAGCGCGCCGGCCGACGGCGCGTCGCGCCCACAGTCCTCCGTCGCCACCAGGGGGCGCTTCTCCTTCATCCACGACTCCGCCTCGTTGGCGTCGCCGTAGAACTGCAAACAAAAAATAAAGTTGACATATATTATGTTCACGTACTGGCCACTAATAATATTGTAACGAAAGGGATTGTTATGGAGACTGAGAATCCCATTGCTAGCAATATACCCAACCAGGTCGACCTCCTCCCGGTTCTCCCTGGAAACTATCATGGTTAATTCCATCGTCATCATGATGGGCTAATTGGCCTGTTTTCATTCTCATCTATCACCCTTCACTGGTGCTCCGCCAGCGTATCCCGTTAGCGCAGGCGGGGTTACCATACCATTTTTACCCATCAAAAAAAAAAATTTAAGTACTGGCCAGTAAAAATGTAATCCATTTATTCTTTTAATAAATAAATCAGTGTTTGACCAACTCGCTGGTATAGAGCTGCAATATACATGTCACGTCTGCATATATTATGCGGGGTACCTAATTATATGATGGCACAGTACCTGGTGCGCTTCAGCGGCGTCGGCCAGCTGCTTCTCCCTGGCGGCGGCCAGCTCCCGCAGCACCTCCCACTGCTGGTTCAGCGACGACAGCCGCCGCTCGATCTCCGCGCTCTTCGGGTGCTTAGCGTCGATTAAGCTGCAACATACGTTGGAGTACATTAAGTAGACTACTTCATAAAGTTTGTGGGTCAATAGATAATCATGTGGTGTGGTGGTGATGTGTGTGGTGATGGTGGTGTGTGTGGTGGTGATGTGTATGGTGGTGGTGATATGTGTGGTGGTGTGTGTGGTGGTGGTGGTGGTGTGTGTGGTGGTGGTGAAGTGTATGGTGGTGGTGGTGTGTGTGGTGGTGGTGGTGTGTGTGGTGGTGGTGGTGTGTGGTGGTGGTGATATGTGGTGTGGTGGTGATGTGTGTGGTGGTGGTGGTGGTGTGTGTGGTGGTGATGTGTATGGTGGTGGTGGTGTGTGTGGTGGTGGTGATATGTGGTGTGGTGGTGATGTGTGTGGTGGTGGTGATGTGTGTGGTGGTGGTGGTGTGTGTGGTGGTGGTGATGTGTGTGTGGTGGTAGTGACGTGTGTGGTGGTGGTGATGTATGTGATGGGGATGATGTGTGTGGTGGTAGTGATGTGGTGGGGGTGATGTATGGTGGGAGTGATGCATGGTGGGGATGATGTGGCGGTGATGATGTGTGGCGGTAGTGACGTATGGTGGTGGAGTATGATAGTGATGGTGGTGGAATGTGGTAGTAGTGGTGGTGACGGTGGTGGTGGTATATGTGATAGAAGTGGTGGTAGTGTGATGGTGTGTGGTGGCGGCGGTGGTGGCGCGTGGTGGCGGAGGTACCTCTGTCCCTTGGCGCGGTGGCGCTGCGAGACGTGGTCGCGCGCGCGCAGCTCGTGCAGCAGCGCCGTGTGCTTCTGGCGCAGCGCCATCACGCCGCGCAGGTCCTTGGCCGCCACGTCCGCGCGGCAGATGCGCTGCTTGTCCGTCACCCAGCCTGCACACGACACCACAGGATTCAAGCCACACGGTTTTACACATCCAAATGAAACGTAGGCTGTACTATAAACATCATTCCGGGATCAAAAGTGCCCAATGGAAGAGCGTCTTACCCTCTTCCTCGTCGTGGTCTTCCAGGAACTGGTAGAGGTTCCTGGCGTCCTCCAGTCTCGCCTTGCGATCCTTAGCTGCGGCCAGGAGGCTGTAACAGCAGTAAAGGATTTAACATTGGAGATGGAGAAGATCAATCTATGATCCTAGTTATTATAAATTACATGGACGAAAACTAGCCGAAAAATATTTTTAAAGGAAACTCTACAGACGGAACAGAGGTACTTCTGCCGACATAAGTAGTACCTTTTTTTGTATACAACTATAATAGCAAACAAGCTGACGGCCCACCTGATGGAAAATGGTAACCATCGCCTATAGACATGAGTAGTACCGTGGATATAACAGAGTATACTGTTTCGCCCATGGTACCCCCCATGCGTTGCCATTCCTGAGGACTCAGGTGTTATTCCTCTGTACCCAGTAAATTCACGCCATATCCCACCCTTCAAACCGAAACACAGCCATGCAAACACAACTGTCTCGGCTATTTTTCTTTTTTTTTTACACCACATAAAAATAAGCGTACAGCCCGTCTGATAGTAAACGGTCACTGTAGAGCCTATGGACACCTGCAACACTAGGGGTATCACCTGCACGTTGCAGACCCTGAAGAAATCTTAACAAACCCTTTTTAACAACCCCCATTTTCTGCTGTGAAGCAGTTGTACTTGACTGTGTTCCGGCTTGAAGGGTGGGATATGGCAATGAAGTTACAAAGCCTGGAGGTAGTTATACCATAGTCAGAGTAGGGATTGTTAGTAGTGGGGTTTTAACAGCCCCACTTCCCCTGAAAACCATCCTAGTTAGTTCTAGTGGCATCACGATGTGCCAACTGATCTGCTTTCATCCTCACCTATCATCTCTCCCTGGTGCCCCGTCAGCGTATACCAATAGCGCAGGCGGGGTTACCATTCCATTATCACCTATTAAAAAAGACACCATAGTCCTCAGGAAAAGCAACGCTTGAGAGGTACTAAGTGCTGTGCATTATATTCTGTGATGTCCACCTTGTTGCTCACGTCTATAAGCGACAGTTACCACCTTCCATCAGGTGGAACATCAGCTTGTCATTCTAAAAATATTCACATTGGGTTCCCACCTGTCATAAGCTTCTTCAAGTTGCATCAGCTGCTGTGTGAGCTGCTGCTTGGGCTGCGGAGGACCTTCAGCAGCAGCGCCCTGGCGCACGAGGCGGCGGATCGAGTCGTCGAGCGCACCCAGCTGCAGCTCTTGCAGCGCGTGCGCCTGCAGCAGCCGCTCCACGTCCACCAGGTGCCGCCCCACCTCCTCTGACTGGAACTGCGCCTATGGAAATGTTCCATGTACGTCAGTATTGCTACTATTGGTGTTGCCCTTTGGTGTTAACGATGGATTTGATAGTTTTTTATGCAACTTAGAATGGCAAACAAGCTGACGGCCCACCTGGTGGAAAGTGGTAACCGTTGCCTATAGATATGAGCAATACCATGGACATAGCAGAGTTTAATGTTTTGCCCTTGATACCCCCCACGCGTTGCCATTCCTAAGAACTCAGGTGTTATTCCTCTGTACTCTGTAAATTCACGCCATATCCCACCCTTCAAACCGAAACACAGCCATCCAAACACAACTGCTTCACGGTAGAAACACGAATAGGACAGAGGTACCCGAGCAATCAGGTACTCCGCCAGAAAATACTAACAACCATTTCATTAACGTCATTAAAAAACAATACTTAAACGGTAAACCCCATGATACCCCTCATGTGCCACCATACCTTCATTTCCATTAGCGTGTGTCCGACCGTGTCAGCCTCCCGCAACAGCGCCATCAGGTGCGCGAGCCTCGCCAACGAGGTCCGGTGCCTCTCCAGCAGTTCCAGCAACTCGCGCCAGCGCTGCAGCACTGCTTGTTCTGTGCGGGACACCGCTTCAGCTCCGTGATAGTTCTCGCGGACGAGCTCCGCTGCCATTGCCGATAGATCCTCGAAGCGTTCGGTTCTAAAACAAATGTTCTGACTTTAACACCTGCTTCCCATAGTCCACCAATTTTTGTTTAATAAAATCGTCATCATCATCATACCGGCCTTTAACTGTCCACTGCTGAACATAAGCCTCCCCTTAGACAGGTTTTGCCAGTAGTTGTCATTCTTGGCAGGAAGATTGGCAATCGTAGTTAGGCTTTAGAGATGTTTTAAGAGGGACGCTGCTGTCCATCCTTCGCCCTCTTTTAGCCGTCTTTTACGACACTCACGGGAAAGGAAGAGGTGGCTTATTCTATGCCGGGACCACGCGGACAGTAATATAAATGTGTCATGACTATTATTCTTTTATTTGCAAAGGAAACTTCGAAATAAAACAATACAAAGCCACTTGGTCAGGGAGGTTTTTGTGGACTATACTTTCTTTTAAGTAGCGATTCAGGGCAATGGGACTTTATGTTTAAAACATGTAAGAATTTTTTTTTTTAAACAACTTAGAATGGCAAACAAGCTGACGGCCCACCTGATGGAACGTGGTAACCGTCGCCTATAGACATGAGCAGTACCATGGACATAACAAAGTGTACTGTTTCGCCCATGATACCCCCCATGCGTTGCCATTCCTGAAGACTCAGGTGTTATTTCTCTGTACCCAGTAAATTCATGCCATATCCCACCCTTCAAACCGAAACACAGCCATGCAAACACAACTGCTTCACGGTTGAAACACGAATGTGACAGAGGTACCCGAGCAATCGGCTTTTGTACAAAGTCTCCCTCTGGTAAATAATTCAATAGCACTTCACGGATTGTTGTAAATATGCCCTTAAAGGTCATTAAATTCGCTTTAATATAAATAAATAAAACTTAATTGCCGAATATAGTGAACCCATCACCTATTTGATTCTATTTTTTTGTGTTTGTATGAAATGATAGTTTGTTTGAAAGAAATTTAATAAATCGTACAGGAAGTCAAAAATTTAAATTGCAAAATCTTGTTATTAAGTGAGCGAGAGGGAAGATTTTGTCTCATACAAATAATAATGAATACATTAACACATTCGTACAAAGCTGAATTGAGTATCTAGCTAGTAAACTTACCTGGCGAGGATGTCGGCCGATATGGCTTCATGTTTCTTGACAGTAGCGTCAACCTGGGCCAGGTTGGACCCGTAGCGGGGGTCCGACAGCACCAGCACCATCTCCTTCAGGTAGCCCTTCCTCAGCACCGACTGTCCACGACAAAAACAGATATAACCACTGCTATGTATATATAACATACCGTCAAAGTTTTCCCAAGAGACTACAGCATGGGTTTCTTCAAAAGGGGGGTAAAGAGGTTTCTTCAGGGTCGGCAACGCGCGCTGAATATCCTGGTATTGCAGGCGTTCACAGGCTACGGTAACCGCTTACCATCAGGTGGTTGGTATGCTTGTTTGCCACCTTAGTGGTATAAAAATGTTAGAATCCAACGTGACAATAGGCGAGCCTACAGCAATGAATGTTTCTTCACACAAAGTCGCGGGTAAGAGCTAGTATGAATTAATTGGTTATTGCTAATAAATTTAGGTACAAACTATTATAAATTTCGGAACTATTAAATTGTCAGGTTAAAAGATAGATTTAGAGGAACGGCGCGTCGGAATCGATCTCACCGATACCTTATAAATATTGATGCAGCTGTTACAGCTTTTTTAGCCGTCTGCACCCCCTCTCAACCCCCCTCCTTTGCAATATTGCCGCCTCCCATTCTTGCCCAGGCAGTAGTTCGACTACACTTCGTTGTTAGTAATGCGAATTTCTATTCCCATGTCCAGTAATATATCCTTTCAGATCGATCTCACCGCGATCCCCCCTGGAAACTATTCTGCTCAATTCCAGGTGTATTCATCACGGTGGCCAAACTAACCTGCTTTTCATCCACACCTATCATGCCTCACTGGTGCCCCGCCAGTGTATACTGTTAACACAGGCGGGGTTACCATTCCATTACCATCTTTTTTTAAAAAAGACACTACCCTCCTCCTCACATCGCTCTCCCATAATGGGTTGTTCTGGACTGGTGGACACGTTACCTTGGTGTTGAACTTGTAGTTGAGCTGCTCGAGTCGCTGCTGCCTCAGCAGCTCGGTACGCAGCGCCAGTTCGCGAGCATGCTCGGCCTGCGGACAACACCCACGTAGTACGGTACAGACAGAAGTCAAAGACATTGTTATATATAGATATATTACTCGGGGAAAGGGATTTTTAATAGTGAGGTCTAAGAGTACCCTATCAGGTTAAACCATCACACGGTCCCCCATGGAAACCATCTTGTTTAATTCCTGTTGAATTCGTCACGGTGAGCTAACTAACCTGCCTTGGGGGGAAAGGGATTGTTAGTAATGGAGACTGAGAATCCCATTGCTAGCAGTATACCCAACCAGGTCGACCTCTTCGCGGTTCCCCCTGGAAACTATCATGGTTAATTCCTGATGAATTCATCATGATGGGCTAACTGGCCTGTTTTCATTCTCATCTATCACCCTTCACTGGTGCTCCGCCAGCGTACCCCGTTAGCGCAGGCGGGGTTACCATACCATTTTCACCCATTAAAAAAAAACTAACCTGCCTTTTCATCCTCACTTATCATCCCTTACTGGTGTTCCGCCAGCGTATTCTAAAAGCGCAGGTGGGGTTACCATTCCATTATCATGCATTAAAAAAAAACAATCATTATGAAATTCGCTACATGGGATGAATCTATATATCTATATATCCTTCATAAGCTACTTTTCATCCCGATCAGTGGATATATACCGGTCCCGCGGACTATGCACGACTTCGACAGCATCATAAGTATCACAGGATACACTGTGATGCCCCCAATACCCCGTCATGCATTTCCATTCCTGAGGACTTGTCTTTATTTAACTTAGAAAGGACCATTTCATCTAATGAAAAGTGGTAATCATCGCCTATAGACATGAGCAGTACCATGGACATAACAGAGTATACTGTTTCGCCCATGATACCCTCCATGCGTTGCCATTCCTGAGGACTCAGGTGTCATTCCTCTGTACCCAGTAAATTCACGCCATATCCCACCCTTCAAACCGAAACACAGCCATGCAAATACAACTGCTTTACGAAGATCATGTCGCCTGGAATATAATTAAATATAAGAACCTGTTCAAGCTGCTGCCATGCCCTCTCCAGGTCCTGGGGCAGTTGGCCCTCGAGGGGGGCCCACGCTTCGCCGATGAGACTCTTCTGCATAGTGTTTATGTGGAAGTACAGGGCTTCGATCTCTGAACGCTCCTTGTATCTGTTTTAACAAGAGTTTAATTACAACAAGCTAGAAGATTTGTCAATGATCCCAGGCTTACAAGCGGTATCGAACCCTTAAGTCTTAGAAGAGATTTTGCCTCACTCTGCGTGTTCTACCACTTGTACAACGAACTGTGCTCAGGGGAAATGTTACCTCTGTCTACCATCGTACGGTTTGCCATCGACGGGGAGTTCACCACCATACTTTAGAGCCTAGATGGTCGCGTACAGCACAGTTTCAGAGATGTTTCCTCCCACGAACGCTCAAGTTATGGAATGGAGGTTTTTCTAAAAGACTTAAGAGTTAGTAGGGGTCTGTATCCGGGAGTAATCAGGGGGACGGGATTGTTAGTAGCGGTGGTATGTATCCGGGAGGACTAGTCTGACCTACAGTAGGCGGGGGGACGAGATTGTTAGTAGCGGGGGTATGTATCCGGGAGGACTAGTCTGACCTACAGTAGGCGGGGGGACGGGATTGTTAGTAGCGGGGGTATGTATCCGGGATGACTAGTCTGACCTACAGTAGGCGGGGGGACGGGATTGTTAGTAGCGGGGGTATGTATCCGGGATGACTAGTCTGACCTACAGTAGGCGGGGGGACGGGATTGTTAGTAGCGGGGGTATGTATCCGGGAGGACTAGTCTGACCTACAGTAGGCGGGGGGACGGGATTGTTAGTAGCGGGGGTATGTATCCGGGATGACTAGTCTGACCTACAGTAGGCGGGGGGACGGGATTGTTAGTAGCGGGGGTATGTATCCGGGATGACTAGTCTGACCTACAGTAGGCGGGGGGACGGGATTGTTAGTAGCGGGGGTATGTATCCGGGAGGACTAGTCTGACCTACAGTAGGCGGGGGGACGGGATTGTTAGTAGCGGGGGTATGTATCCGGGAGGACTAGTCTGACCTACAGTAGGCGGGGGGACGGGATTGTTAGTAGCGGGGGTACTAACTTACTTCATATATCTTAGAGTTTGTAATAGATATTATTACTAGTAGGTAAGGAGGTCTTGTAAAATATCGTGGCTTACTCTTTAGAGAATTCACCAGAATAGACTAAATAGATCTGACTTCATTCTCACCTATTACCACTCACTGGAGCCCCATCAGCGTATTCTGGTAGGGCGGACGGGGTTACCATCTCACTGTCGTATATAAAAAGTACTGGCTACTCCATTCTGATGATGAAGAGCATCAGAACTCACTTGGGCGGTTTCTCGACAGTGCGGTACTGCTTGAAGGCGAGCAGTAGCCGCTGTATGCCGTCCAGCGAGTTGGGCAGCTGGCGGCCGTTCAGCTCCTGTATCTTGAGCCGGATCCACTCCAGCAGCGCGCTCACCAGCCGCGAGTACTCCGCCTTGCGGTCGTCGCAGTCCTTCAGTTGGCCGATGATCTGGTAGAAGCACTTACTGTCTTAGTCTCCACATACTTACTGATAAATGGAAAAGTTACTGTCTCTCTGTTACCTTATTTTACACTTAAACTACTGAACTAATATTGATGAATTTTGATACAGAAACAGATTGGACCTTCAAGAAGGACATAGACTAGTTTTTGTAGTAAAAATAAAACTTGAAGGGGATGAAATACGGGATGAAAGTACTTGTGTGGGAAATCAAAGTAACATAGTACATTGCAGTTCGATAGCAGAGCGCTTTTTATAATACATACATACATATTTGTCACGCCTGTCTCCTATTAGGGTAGGCAGAAACATTGGAACACCAAATGCTTTGATTCAAACGGACCACTTTCGCTACTTCCACATTCATCAATCTTTTTTACACACGCTCGCCGGTTACGGGTACTTTTAATTTGGCCCTTCTTCAGCACTTCGCCTATTTGGTCGACATACGTCCGTCTACGGCGGCACCTACCGACATCTCCATTCATTCTTGCTCGATAAATCTCTTACGTAAATCTTCTTTCATCCATCCTCTCTTTTTAAAATAATCAGAAAATTGTTAGATTCTTGTTGATATGTTTGTTTTAGGATGCACTAGCGGCCCGTCCCGGCTTCGCACGGGTGGACATTTTTACAACATTTTAAAAAATGGCTATTGTGACATAACGATAATAGTTGGACATATAGTTTTTTGTAGTTATTGATATTTTCTTCAATATTGTAGAACATACTTTTGTTCTATCACCAATAGTTTCCGCAGCGCACGCGACCAAAGATATTTTATAGCATTTTTCTACACCTCGAGTTACGTTACTAAAGTTTTAGTAAGGATCCCTAATGTTTTCTAGCAATAAATATAGCCTATGTTACTCAGGGTGAATGTAGCTTTCTAATGGTGGAAGAATTTTTGAAATCGGCAAAATAGTTTTTGTGTTTATTCATTACAAACATACTATCTATCTATCCTATTTAAGAGCTGCGCTCTTGTCGGTGGAGCTCTCGCCACTCACTACGATTGTCAGCGAGTCCCCTCACCACTTGATACGACACGACATGCATACACACAAAAATACAAATCTTTCCTCTTTATAATATTAGTGTAGACATACGTTGGCGATCCTGCGACCACTCTTCTGCTCGTTCTTCATCCTGGCGAAGGTGTGGTAGTAGCTGGCCACGTAAGTCATCACCGACTTCTCGTCCGGGCGGCTCGTGTCCACGTCTAGACAAGAGAATAGAATACAAATAATCTTTACTGAAAAAGACTTAATGGGGGGGAGTAATTGATAGTAATGGGGGTTAAACCCATTGCCAGCAATACACCCTCTATCACGTCGACCTCCACTTGGTTCCCCCTGAAAACCACCTTGGTTAATTCTAGTTGAATTCGTCACGATGGGCTAACTGACCTGCTTTCATCCTCATTAGTCATCTATCACTGGTGCCCCGCCAGTGTACACCGATAGCGCAGACGGGGTTACCATACCATTATCACCCATTAAAAAAAACACCTAGTTCAGGAGAATATCTACTGTAATCAATGGTACGTACCCTCGGCGTCAAGCAGCTTGGGTATGCCGAGGTGTTTGTGGGCCACGTCGAACGCATGGTTTAAGGTCTCCACGTGGTCCGTCGCCGGCACCTCCGCCCACCGGAACAGGTCGGGCCTGTGGCACGTGACAACATAAATAAATAAATTAATTAAATATAAAATACTATTAAAATAAACTTCATTGTAAGCATTTCGGTCGTGTGTTCCCAGCATAGCATATGCTACCCCTTCCTTTCCCAAGGGAGTCGCAAGACGACTAAAGGAGGGCGAGGGATGGGCAGAAGCGTCCCTCTTAAAACATCTTTATAGCCTGACTGCGGTTGCCAACCTGCTTGCCAAACCTGGCAACTACTCGCAAAACCTAAGAGGGAGGCAGTCAACCATAGGGAAGTGTCAGAGTACTCGTATGCGGTACTAATAGTTTTTTTTTTATACAACTCAGATTGGCAAACAAGCTGACTGCCCACCTGATGGAAAGTGGTAACCGTCGCCTATAGACATGAGCAGTACCATGGACATAACAATACTGTTTCGCCCATGATACCCCCCATGCGTTGCCATTCCTGAGGACTCAGGTGTTATTCCTCTGTACCGTGTAAATTCACTGCCATATCGCACCCTTCAAACCGAAACACAGCCATGCAAACACAACTGCTTCACGGTTGAAACACGAACGCGACAGAGCTACCCAAACAATCGACTTTTGTACAAAGTCTCCCTCTGGACATACGTGTACTGTATGTGTTTTGAACTAGTGGCGGGCACGGTACCTGTGCGCGTGTATGAGGGCGTTGAACCCGAGCCCGGAGCGCCACGAGTCGGTGAAGTTGTGGATGTTGACGCCGTGGTAGCCGCTGGTCTTGCGCTGGCACCACAGCAGCAGCGCGTCCTTCGCAGACTTCTTCTCGGACGACTCATTCTCTTCGTCCTGATCGCAGATACGACAATTTTTAGGATTTTTTTAGCACTGAAGTGGCAAACCAGCATACGGCCGGGGGGAGAAGGGATTGTTAGTAATGGGGGTAAATAGCCCCATTGCTAGCAATATACTATATCAGGTCGACCTCCTCGTGGTTTCCCCTGGAAACCATCATGTCTGATTTATTATTAGATTCGTCACGGTGGGCTAATTGACCTGCTTTTTCCTCACCTATCATCACTCACTGGTGTCCTGCCGGTGTATACCATCCATTACAAAAAAAAAACAAGCATACGGCCCACCTGATGGCAAGTGGTTATGAACACCTGCAATACTAGAAGTATTACGCGCGCGTTGCCGACCCTGAAGAAACCTCTTTACCCCCCTTTTGAAGAAGCCCATGCTGTAGTCTCTTGGGAAAACCTCGGTAGGAAGCTCATTCCATAACCTGAGTGTTCATGGGAGGAAACATCTCTGAATCCGCACTGTGTGCGACCATTGGATACTTTAGTAAAATACTCGTAATTACATGGGACAGGAATCGCTAGGTGTCACTGGTGCCCCGCCAGTGGTTTCTTTTTTTATACAACTTAGAATAGCAAACAAGCTGACGGCCCACCTGATGGAAAGTGGTAACCGTCGCCTATAGACATGAGCAGTACCGTGGACATAACAGAGTATACTGTTTCGCCCATGATACCCCCCATGCGTTGCCATTCCTGAGGACTCAGGTGTTATTCCTCTGTACCCTGTAAATTCACGCCATATCCCACCCTTCAAACTGAAACACAGCCATGCAAACATAACTGCTTCACGATTGAAACACGAATGGGACAGAGGTACTCACGTAATCGACTTTTGTACAAAGTCTCCCTCTGGTAAAGTATATGTGTAAACCGATAGTTTGGACGTTGTCACTATGTTACCTGGATATAACGCGGGCGAAAATACCATATTACAATCACCTATAAACAAAATGGGGCAGTCAGAGACATCAGAGGCCTGTTGCGGTTATGGTGGTATCTCTATCACGCCATCGATTTGGTCTGCTAACGTCGTTTCCGATCACCAGAGAGCTATTCAGTAAAGTCAGTATATACTTACCACGTCGATCTCAATCTCCTGTATCTGGAAGCGCAGGATGATGGTCCAGATGAGGCCGAGGATAAGGCGGGGGTTGCCGTCCACGATGTCCTCGGCGCCGATCGACTCCAGCCGCACCTGCAGGCACACCGCAATCATTGATCAATGCATCCAAATAAGAGGGGAAAGAAAGGTAGAGTACAAAGTTAAAAGAGTTTCCTGGATTAGAGAGAAAGAAAGAAGCTGGTTTGTTGATAAAATTTTTTTTGTTTAATCCCGCCACCATCAGTACACGTGTGACTGCCAACACACGAAGATGGACCACCACTGTTACTACCATTTCCCCAGCCTTCCATACTAGCCTTCATATTTCATATTAATATATTTATCTCAGAACGTGGTAAAATATATTTTCTCAAACATGCTCGGAAATGTGAGCATTATTTTGACAATATTCTTAGAGATAAATCAAAATTGCCGTACTGGCCAGATACATGCGGGCAGCGGCCGGCAAAAATTGTATGAAAATCCATATCTGTCGTGTTTTGCGGCCAGATAAATTACTATGTAAACTCATATCTGTCCTGTAATTTAAAAATGGAATGACCTTTTACTTCGAAACATGGCTACCAAAGAAGTAACTAATAAAAGGTTTTATTTAAATTCCGAACTGGCTTGCAAATAGAAAGCTGTTTACTGAAAAAAAAAACAAAGGAACATTATGGCGCGTGAAAAATTATGATTGTTCGTTATTCGTCATTGAACTTAAAAAGTAAAATTGTGTTTTTTAATTTCCGCGCATTGTTTGAGAAAAGTACTATACAAGCCTTGGCCACAACTAGGCATTGATGGACTCACGTATGTGTGCCTCGGCTACGCCTCGGCCCACATTTGCACGTTCGTACATCAATGCCTCAGTTGCTGGCCGCTGCATTAATGTACTATTCTATTATTGTTATGACTAGCGATCCGACCCTGCTTCGCACGCGTAGATATAATTTTCAAAAATAATATAAATTACAAGTTGATAATGTAGCCTATTCTATAGGTGAGGGAATTTTTAAAATAGATTGAGTAGTTCTTGAGTTTATCTATTACAGACAAACAATTAAATCTAATGTTTCCTCTTTGATATTTGATGATATCAGTCGTTAAGTGTCCACTGCTGGACATATGTCTTAGCTCATAGGGGGGGGGGGGGGTTGTCCGTAGTTCTCACGTCTTGCAGGCGGGATAGCAACCACAGTTAGGCTTTGGAGATGTTTTAAGAGGGACGCTGCTACCCATCCCTCGTCCCCTTAGTCGGCTCTGATGACATCCACGGGGAAGGAAGGGGTGACCCATTATATGCCAGGACATATAGACTAGTATAATTTACGTCAAGTGACATTTTTAACCGAAAACCAAGGTAATAGAGCTGGGAATGGATCGTGCATGGAGAAGCCTCACAAATGACACCGGAGCCGAACTTATAAGGCATCTGTAGGAATGCTGCATACTACACACAACGAACAAGTAATCCCGTATTGAATTTCGTATTAGAATCTTCATGGTCTGGTGGGAAGAGAGTTGCTTTGTATAGACGAGGTATTGGGTTCGATTTTCGACGACATAATTATCATGTGGTATCGTGGACTATGATATCGACACCTTTGGTAATTCTTTAGTGCAGTTCACTAGGCTTATTAATAATATGGATTGGTAGTTTTTTTTTTTTGATGGGTGAAAATGGTATGATAGCCCCGCCTGCGCTAACGGGATACGCTGGCGGAGCACCAGTGAAGGGTGATAGATGAGAATGAAAACAGGCCAGTTAGCTCATCATGATGAATTCATCAGGAATTAACCATCATAGTTTCCAGGGAGAACCGCGAGGAGGTCGACCTGTTGCTAGCAATGGGATTGTTAGTAAATAGTAAATTGTTAGTAATAGGGTTTAACTACCCAATTGCTAGCAATTTACCCTAACAGGTCGACCTCCACGTGGTTTCCTCTGGAAACCATTGTGCTAGATTCTGTATGTAGTCATCACGATGGGCTAACTGACATGCTTTTTCATTCTCACCTATCATCCTTCACTGGTGCCCCGCCCGTGTATACCGATAGCGCAGGCGGGGTTACCATTCCATAATCATCCATTAAAAAAAAAACACTTTTATTAAAAAAACATCTTTGGGCGTGACCTACTCGCCCCCCCCCCCCTCCTTAATTATGCCCATACTTGAAATTTCAAAAGGTTTCCCTGCATCATACCAACACTCACCTTCGTGTGCAGGAAGCTCAAACTCTTGTTGACGTTCTCAATCTTGTGAACCCGCATGCGGCCGGAGTTGGGCCTCGGCAGCCGCTCGCCGCTGATGATCTCCAGCAGCTTCAGCAGCCGCCGCCCGTCCGCCAGGTCCACGAACAGGTCCTCCACCTCCATGCGGGCCTGCGGAACGACCGAGGAGTAGTTTATACAAATTCAAATCATCGGGGGGAAAGGGACTGTTAGCAATGGAGTTTGACAGCCCCATTGCTAGCAATATACCTTATTAGGTCGACCTCTACGTGGCTCCCCCTGGAAACCATCGTGAACATTTCTTGTTGAGTGCCTTTCCATCCTCACCTATCATCCCTCACTGGTGCCCCGACAGCGTATACCGTTTGCGCAGGCGGGATTGCCATTCCATTATCATCCATTAAAAAACAATACTCTCGCGTTCAAGGCTAAAGAAGACCCAGATTGATACACCGATCCAACCAACCACTTTAATACACCATTGACATGCTTTAGTCTATTTTCAACTTTACTGACGATTTTATTGTATGACTGTAAAATAATTAATGTTATGTGATTAATTGTATTGTATGGGTGGGCTACCCATACATCGGGCATACAATACAATGTTTTACTTTAACACGTTAATAACATCTTACGAAAAGTTGTAATGTAATAACAATAAATATTTATTCTATTTTATTTCTGTTCTATTTCTATTCTATTTCTATTCTATTTCTATTCTATTTCTATTCTATTTCTATTCTATTTCTATTCTATTTCTATTCTATTTCTATTCTATTTCTATTCTATTTCTATTCTATTTCTATTCTATTTCTATTCTATTTCTATTCTATTTCTATTCTATTTCTATTCTATTTCTATTCTATTTCTATTCTATTTCTATTCTATTTCTATTCTATTTCTATTCTATTTCTATTCTATTTCTATTCTACTTCTATTCTACTTCTATTCTATTTCTATTCTATTTCTATTCTATTTCTATTCTATTTCTATTTCTATTCTATTTCTATTCTATTTCTATTCTATTTCTATTCTATTTCTATTCTATTTCTATTCTATTTCTATTCTATTTCTATTCTATTTCTATTCTATTTCTATTCTATTTCTATTCTATTTCTATTCTATTTCTATTCTATTTCTATTCTATTTCTATTCTATTTCTATTCTATTTCTATTCTATTTCTATTCTATTTCTATTCTATTTCTATTCTATTTCTATTCTATTTCTATTCTATTTCTATTCTATTTCTATTCTATTTCTATTCTATTTCTATTCTATTTCTATTCTATTTCTATTCTATTCCTATTCTATTTTATTCCATCTAGACGTGGTGTACGAGTGTTTAATTGATTTCCTACAGGGGGAAAGGGATTGTTAGTAATGGAGACTGAGAATCCCATTGCTAGCAATATACCCAACCAGGTCGACCTCCTCGCGGTTCCCCCTGGAAACTATCATGGTTAATTCCTGATGAATTCATCATGATGGGCTAACTGGCCTGTTTTCATTCTCATCTATCACCCTTCACTGGTACTCCGCCAGCGTATCCCGTCAGCGCAGGCGGGGTTACCATACCATTTTCACCCATCAAAAAAAAAATTAATTTCCTACAAACTTTCAACTAGACACTGTTTAAGTTTCAGACACGTAACACTTTGTACATACATATGTGTTAACAATATGTATATATGAACAAATGTTATTTATTATCAACACCTATATATATATGTATATATAATATACGGAAAACATTGTGTCAGAGGTGAGGTCATCGTGGCTCCCAATACGAGCACAGCGGCGTAACCAATCGACCCACTTTGTCATACGTGTATTTAATAATCGAACGACGCCGCTCACTAGTTGTAACTGATAGGGGGGAGAAGGGAGTGTTAGTAATGGAGATTAGCAATCCCATTGCTAGCCATATATCCCTATCAGGTCGACCTCCACACGGTTCCCCATGAAAACTCTTGTCACTGATTTATCGTTCAATTAGTCTCGATAGGCCAAATGACCTGCTTCATCCTCACCTATCGTCCATCACTGGTACCCATCCAGTGTACACCGTTAGCGCAAACGGGGTTACCATTCCATTATCATCCATTAAAAAAAAAAACAATTATTCGATTACTCGAGTCAACCCGACACATGGGCACATCACTGACGCCTATTTAAACATTGTTAACGTTGCCTGGTATGTAATAATTCTAAATAAATAGATACTTTAATTAGCAATAACGTCATCATAATTCCTTTAGCAGACACAAGTGGGTAGCACAGTATAGTGTTTCTTACGTAACTTGTTGATTTTGTATCGAAAAAATGACGATTTCCAGAATGACAAAATGAATATTAGTTAGTAGTCTATTTATTTATTTATTTATTCATTAGTACATATATGTGTACATGGCGGACTTAATGCTAGAAGCATTCTCTCCCAGTCAACCGTAGGCAAGTGGCAGAATACACGAATGCGGTACTAGTAATTATTGATATACATACATACTAAAATTTCTATTTTTCTTATGCAACTTAGAATGGCAAACAAGCTGACGGCCCACCTGATGGAAAGTGGTAACCGTCGCCTATAGACATGAGCAGTACCATGCACATAACAGAGTATACTGTTTCGCCCATGATACCCTCCGTGCGTTGCCATTCCTGAGGACTCAAGTGTAATTCCTTTGTACCCTGTAAATTCACTGCCATATCCCACCCTTCAAACCGAAACACAGCCATGCAAACACAACTGCTTCACGGTAGAAACACGAATGGAACAGAGGTGGCCGAGCAATCGACTTTTGTACAAAGTCTCCCTCTGGTAAAAAAGCTACTTTAATTGGGTAACTTATATGTTCCTATCATTCTATCGTTACCACCATATCAGCTGTTAATTCTTCACTGTTGAACACAATTCTTCCCTCTATTAGGGGGTTTTTCCAGTAGTTACCACGCTTGGTAGACATGTTAGCAACGGCTGTCATGCTTTGGTGATGTTTAAACAGTGAAGCTGCTGCCCATCATTCAACCTCTAAATTCTCTTAGTCTTAGTCTATGCTATAACAAAAAATAAAAATTAAGAATGCAGAATTATCGCTCACCTTCTGCAGGAACGAGTTGATCCATTTCGTGAAAGTCTTTTTCTGTATGTACATGCGCTCATCCTGCAATGCCTTGATGCGGCCCTGCTCGAACTTGAGCGCGTCCTCGCGTTGCGTCATGTTGGTACGCTGCTGCACTGCGCCCGCGTACCCGCCCGGCTCATACTGCGGCCCTGCAGCACGGACAGAGGCGCCGGTCACATTTCATTATGCTCACCTTATGCTCCCAGCGTAGAATAGGCCACCCCTTCCTTTCCCGTGACCATCGTAAGAAGCGACTAAGGGTTTTTTTCTTAATAGGTGATAATGGAGTGGTAACGGGGGGAAAGGGATTGTTAGCAATGGAGTTTGACAGCCCCATTGCTAGCAATATGCCCCATTAGGTCGACTTCCACGTGGTTCCCCCTGGAAACCATCGTGAACAATTCTTGTTGAATTCGTCATGATGGGCTAACTGACCTGCTTCATCCTCGCCTATCATCCTTCACTGGTGCCCCGCCGGTGTATACCGATAGCGCGGGTGGGGTTACCATTCCATTATCACCCATAAAAAAAGAAATGGAGTGGTAACCAATGAGAGATGATAGATGAAGATGATAAGGCAGGTCAGGTAGTCCATCGTGGCGAATTCAACGATAAATTAGTCACGATAGTTTCCAGGGGGAACCGCGTGGATGTCGACCTGATAGGATATATTGATACAAATGAGGATTAACCTCTGCATTACTAACATAACTAACTTTTTTTTATGGGTAAAAATGGTATGGTAACCCCGCCTGCGCTAACGGGATACGCTGGCGGAGCACCAGTGAAGGGTGATAGATGAGAATGAAAACAGGCCAGTCAGCCCATCATGATGAATTCATCAGGAATTAACCATGATAGTTTCCAGAGGGGAACCGCGTGGAGGTCGACCTGTTAGGGGTATATTGCTAGCAATGGGCTATTAGACCTCATTACTAACAATCCCTTTCCCCAGAAAGCAGGTATTTCTTATGCAATGATTAAATTTTATTAAGAGGGGGCCTGGCTGAGGACCAGCGCTGTGCAGCTGTACACACTGCACTGGGACACTCGCAGCGTCAGCCGAGCCAGTTCCTCTTGCCTGATACGGGACACTTTTTATACTATATTTTTTATTATTACTATATTTTCTGACAATAAATATTTTCTATTCTTTTATTTTATCAGCCGTTAACTGCCCACTGCCGGACATAAACCTCCCACTTTTTTTAAAATTTTGCCAGCAGTTGCCACACTTGGCAGATAGGTTGGTAACCACAGTTTGGCTACCATTAAGTTTCCTTGATCGCCTCTTACGACACCCACAGGAGAAAGAGAGCTGGCCCATCCGGCTTACATAGATTATGTTCACTAAAGAAATCCATTCCTTGTAGCTGAAATTTTAATTTCAGACATAGGTTTAGAGATAAAAGGCCGGCAGCACACCTGCAATGCCGTTGGTGTTGTGGGTGATCATGGGCGGCGGTAGTCACTTACCATCAGGTGAGCCGCATGCTCGTTTGCCCCCTGCGTTGTAAAAAAAAAAAGATACGGCGTCTCAAAATCGACACCAGTGAGGCAACCGACATCAAAAAAAGAGCTCCTCAATGAGGCTGCATTTTTTATGTTTGTATCTCGTAACAAACATAAAAAAAAATACTCGGTTAGCTGTGAACCAATTTGGAAAATTGATCCGAGAGATATTTTATCAAAATCGTTTAAGTTTAGTTTAGTTTAGTTTAGTAAATCTAGTTTGGCGAATGACATCGGTGCTTTATTGCGGAAATTTTTAAATAAAAAAATAGAAATTTTACGTCAAACTAAAGACACATTAGTATAAATAGATTATTTAATAATTAAGTGTTAAGATAATTGTACAATTGCTGCAGAATTAAAAAAAAAAAGAAAACAAAATAATTAAAAACAGAAATAGATATAAACTCAAATGATGGCCGCCATTTTTTACTACATGAGCGAACTAACTCCACAGTTTAATTTGTAACATGTTAAAACTGTGTAGCCATACGACACAATACTAGCATACTCACCATATCGTCTGCTAGGTTGGTAGTCCTGGTAGCTCCCTATGCTAACATTGCTCAGCTGTCGCTGCATGTTTCGCGCTATGTCTCATCAGGTTGACAACACTGATTTAACTATAATTTCACTTTTTTTTTTCTATTTACACTATTCTACGATTCTATTTCACTACTCTTTGGTTTTTATTTGTGCCTGTAATTTAGTATTTTTTGTTACAAACAATTCCCGTGAGTAATTTTATACGCTCGTAATATCTTCTTATACGAATTTACTTTTTACAATCTATAATACGCGGGTTTGCCTTCTAGAATTAATTTAGCTTTACATATACATACATAGATCTCTACCCAGAATGTAATTATACTTTTTTTTATATCACAAAGGCGACAAACAAGCCTTAATTTATATGATTAAGGCTTTCCGGATATATATTCAAACGTAGCGTAAAAAAAGCACTTAGTGAGCCGGCCACCCGCGAGCAGAGCATTCTATTTCGGTTGATCGTATTCATAGTCCATATTGTCTCTACTCGCTCGGGGTGTCGTACTCACATACAGTGCTTTAATAAAAAAAAAAAAAATACAGCCCATCTGATCGTAAAAGGTCGCCGTAGTCTATGGACGCCTGCAATACCAGAGGCGTCAGTCGTGCGTTGCCGACCCTGAAGAAACCTTAATACGCTCTTTTTGAAATTCGAATTCAAATCATCTTTGTTCAAATAGACTTTTGTTTATAAACACTTTAAAATCATCATTTTTTTAATCTACCACAGAGTTTGGAAAGTTTTTTGTACTTATTAGATAAATATTGTCCATCTAGAATTAAAATGATTAACAAAAAAAACAATGTATATATACATATACTTTTTAAGTATTATAATATACAATTTATTAAATACTATTACTAATTATAAGCAATCTCCCAAAGCACCACACCGAGGCAGCGCACCCAAGATGCTGGCAGCATTACCTCTTTGGTTTGCTAAACTTTTGGGCAAAGTAGCTACCAGCTCTCGGGTTACCAGTAATGGCTTCAGATATAGATGACGTAACTCCATATTTATAATGTTTATATCATTAAAATGACATTATTATCAACACAAGATAACGATTATAATTCTTATCTGAATTGTACCTGTAATGTACCTATAGCGCCTTTTGTAATTTTTTTATCATTAAGTGGCGACTCAGCCCGGCTTCGTATGGATTTAACTCTTTGACCGTTTTTTTTTAATTTTCGCACATCGCTTTGACAACAAATAGCAGTACAAGTATTTAGCCATCTAGCGAGATTCTTTTTTTTTTTACAACACAGGGGGCAAACGAGCGTGCGGCACACCTGATTGTAAGTGACTACCGCCGCCCATGATCACCCGCAACACCAGCGGCATTGCAGGCGTGCTGCCGGCCTTTTGAAAAGGAATATGCTGTTTTCTTGAAGGTTATGTTGTCGTATCGGTTCGGAAATAATTTTGAGAAGCAATATCAATGTAGGAAAACAAAAATCGCGGGATAACAACGTCAAGAAACATAAAAAACGCGAGCACGTCGTAATGGCGGGATGCGTATTTACGCATCTAGTTGAAACTAGTAGATACTGAAATTTATTTTTCATCGTAGTATTACCTTTAATCATTTAAACAAAAGTCATTAACAGAACAATAACATCAAAAGGGATCGTAGTTTTATTTTTAAAAAATTTAGATGTATAATTTTTAACTGGACAGGTAGTTAATTAAATAACACTAATAATATTTATTAATTCATTTATATTTCAATTTTAAACCATTTCGAAAAGAAGGTTCACAATACGGTTGGAATTTTTTGTTTTTTTTATACCACTAGCATACGGCCCACCTTACAGTAAGCGGTTACCGTAGCCTGTGAACGCCTGCAATACCAGAGGTATTCAGCGAGCGTTGCCGACCCTGAAGTAACCACTTTACCCTCCTTTTGAAGAACCCCATGCTGTAGTCTCTTGGGAGAAACTCGGCAGGGAGCTCATTCCATAACCTGAATGTTCGTGGGAGAAAACATCTCAGAAACCGCGTTGTACGCGGCCATCTAGGCTGTAGGGTATGAGGGTGAACTGAGTTAGTGGACGTGGGCATCATATTGAACAATTCCTCTGAGTACAGTCCGTTGTACAAGCGGTAGAACATGCAATGTGAAGTAAAATCTCTCCTAAGACTTAAGAATTCGATACCGTTTGTCTTGCATGTTACATGAGGTAGGGGCCGCCCTAGAGGGACGTATGTCGACCAAATAGGCGACGTGCTGAAGAAGGGCCAAATTAAAAGTACCCGTAACCGGCGAGCGTGTATGAAAAGATTGATGAATGTGGAAGAAGCGAAAGAGGTTTGTTTGTACCGAAGCATTTGGCGTTCCATTGTTTCTGCGCTACCCTAATGAGAGACAAGCGTGACAGATATGTATATATGTATGTATGTATATTGAGCACGTTATTAGTCTATGGTTCAGAAAAAGTAATATAATCGTGTAAGATGGCCTTAAAGCAGTTTTGAGGCAAAGGTGAATGCATAACTTTATCTTTGGCACAACTAGTAGCTCTTGTACTTTATCGTGTTACAATACCAATGTCATAAACTGATAAGTGGATTAAAAAAAAACGGTTGCATTAAAAAAAAAATGTAACACACTGAACTGATAATGTATCAATAGACATTTTTGTAGAGTGAATAATATGAAATTAGTAAAACAAACTGTATTACCAAATCGTTTGACAATCGACATTGAAAACCGATAATGAACACGGATTTACGGATCAAATTTTTAATTACAAAATAATTCAAGGTGTGCTGTTGGTAGGCATGGGTAGTATCTTAGATTATGAAGTAGATATTACGTAGTCTATGGGTGATATGGATACCTAGCCAATATCTATACACTGGGTTTTTTTTTTTTGATGGGTGAAAATGGTATGGTAACTCCGCCTACGCTAACGGTATACGCTGGCGGGACACCAGTGAGGGATGATAGGCGACGATGAAAGCAGGTCACTTAGACCATCGTGATGAATTCCACTAGAATTAACCACAATGGTTTCTAGGGAGAACCGCGTGGAGGGCGACCTGATAGGGTGTATTGCTAGCAATGGGTCAGTTAGACCCCATTAACTATCCCTTTCCCCTGCATTTATAATATTAATAAGATTTATCTAATTGCCCTGTGGTCCCGGCACAGTATGGACCACCCCTTCCTCTCTAGTGTGTACCGTAAGAGGTCACTAAGAGAATTTAATATTCGAGTCGATGGGCAGCAGCGGGAGAGAGGGATCTTAAAACATCACCAAAACCCTAACTGCAATTGTTAATTGCTTTTTTTTTACAACACAGGCGGCAAACGAGCACGCGGCTCACCTGATGGTAAGTGACTACCGCCGCCCATGATCACCCACAACACCAGCGGCATTGCAGGTGTGCTGCCGGCCTTTTAAAAAGGCCATACAAATTAACATAGCACGCGCGGGATTATCAATCCATTTAATAAATCACCCCTATAGTACGTAATGTAACGCCTTTACATTGAAGGGTAGACAGAAATGACTAGAACAGTAATAGCGATAGAAAATTACGCAATTAGTCGATTACAAGCCAACCGACACCGTTATGGCACGCTTCATAGTTCACCCGCAGGCGCACACGCGCCGCCGCGCTCTAATGATGGGCTAATGAAAAGGGTTGTTTTGCCCGTAGTAGCCACGTTTAGAAGGCGAGTTGGCAACCGCAGTTAGGCTTTTAGAGATGTTTTAAGAGGGACGCTGCTGCCCATCCCTCGCCCTCCTTTAGCGCCTCTTACAACACTCACGGGAAAGGAAGGAATGGCCCATTTTGCGCCGGGGCACACACGGCAACGACCATTTGTCACCAATAGAAAGCTACATTAACAGAGCATAAATATAACATAGTATATATTTATTCAACTAAGAATGACAACCAAACTGACGGTGTATAAAAAATTCATAGGGCACGTTAAGTGAAAAATTAATGGGATATAAAGTGTGCGCGCCGCCAGTGGAGCGCACGCGCGGCCGCCGGACCGGCGCGGGCGCATTACAATAATTAACATTTGCGCGAACCAGTCCGCGTGCACTCATCGGGTAACTGTACTGTAACCGACTACGGGGCCTGTCTGTTTGTTTGTACTATACTAACAAGGCGGCTAGCCACTCTAACATATTATTAGAGTACAAGTAAGGAAAACAAACCATTTGAAATACTAATCGTATCCTTACTAACTTCAAAAATCAAGAGTAAAACGCGCTGACAGTATTGGCAAACTTAGTAGGATAACGTAGCGTGTGTTTTACAAAGCGTGTGGAACGTACACACAAAATCGAAAGAAGAAATATGTAGGTATTTGGGTCATTCAAATGACCTATGTTATGCTATATTTTGTTAGATTTTTTTTATGCAACTTAGAACGGCAAACAAGCTGACGGCCCACCTGATGGAAAGTGATAACCGTCGCAAAGACATGAACGCTCGCGATACCCTTCATGCGCTGCCATTTATGAGGTGCCTTTGTCCTTTATTAACTGATTTAAATATTTAGTTGTAAACCGATCTGAAATTCACTTTTATTTTTAAAAAGATATATTTTCAGATTAATCCCTTGGAAATTACATCAAAATTGTTTCTATGGTTTTGTTACGATTGGAGTTTTATCTTACTTAATCTGTGGTAGTTATATTTTTCTTAGTATCTTCGAATAAATAATACTAAAAGTTCATATTTGTCAAACAGTTCATTTCAATATTGGCGTGGGACTGCAGGTCAATGCACTGTTCTGTATGTTTGTTTCTCACTGGAGCGGTCAGCCGCGATACATTCTCGTTTACTAGGTACTTGCTACCTTGCCTACTCCACTCGGTGCAAAGTTATATGTTTCACTATTTGGTAGCATAGCTACTACCCGTATAGTATTTATGTACTTCGATTTCGCTCGGGTGTTTCAATTCTTCGACTTTTTTATGAGATGAATGGAATACCAACCCCTACTAACAGGGGCAAAGGGGATTATTAGTAATTAGGTATAGTCCCTTGTGGTCCCGGCATAGAATAGGCCACCCCTTCCTTTCCCATGGGTGTCGTAAGAGACGACTAAGGGAGGGCATGGGGAGCAGCATCCCTCTTAAAACATCTCCAAGAGCTAACTGCGGTTGCCAATCCA